TACGTACCTAGAGGTGTTTTGTTTGTGGGCAAATTACACGTACATATTATACCAGCATAAAGGTTTTCTAGACATAAAGGTAATTTTTAAAAGTAACATATTTCTCATACCATATTGTACATATATGTGGTATCAGCTTCAGCAATCTATTAAATACTCTACACATCCCTAAAGGAAGCGCATAAGGTTGTAAAACGTAAATAGATCGAGGCTAAACAAGTCGAGGGATATAATGACTCTAATTTTTACCTCACTAAAGGTGAAAGAACCTCGTTTGAGGTCACCTCCTAAGACTAGAAAGCCAGTTTCCTTAGGAGATGTCTTTAAGAAACTAGGGCCCCTACAGTTGAGTCCTCATCCTCAATAGACACCACTTGACCTAGTAACCTGCGAACATTCAAATCGTGGCTCGTTCAAACCCGACGCTCAACGCAAACGAGTACCTACCACCTTTTAAAAAAATCATGAAAAGACTACAAGTGGAACGCGTATCTTTTTAAAATCACCTCAATGTTGACACTACTCGGTTGACTTGGAAAATGGCACAAAATACAGCTTTTCGAAGTTACACAATAATCGACTTTAATACTATAGTATTGGAGCACGTATTCAAACATCTGCTGTTGATACCGATGGTTTTGTCTTTCAGTGTGATGTACCTAGGTACCCTAGGACGGAATTAAAAGCGTCGCTCTTTTGATGAAGAGCGTGGTGCAATCATTTTTAGCGCGATAATTGCGGATGGAGACCGGCAGCTGTGTAATTTCATAATGTTCTTTTATATTCTCAACAAATATACGTTAAAAATCTTCAGCCTTATACATTTTAAAATTATTTCGCCGTTCAATAATTTCTCGGCACTCTGAACAAAGCTTTTTTCAATAACGTTTTAGCACCCCTAATAGAATTTTGTAAGCAAATTGTTGTATTTGTAAAGAGATGTAATATTTGGAGTAGGCGCCAGTATAATCATTTTGGTATTAATGTAGGCAGATTATTCGTGCATAATGATGTGTTTGTAATAAATTTACATAAAAGCCCTTGTTCGGCTTGTTCACCATACGATACCTACACAAATAGATCAAAGGAAACACTCGAACAACAAATAAATTCACGAACAATTGATTTTGTTTGCACATCATTATTTCAGCTTGTGAAACTCGGGGTGTGTCAATCACAATGTCGCAAAATTGTTAAACAAATCATTACGGATACACTGTCGTGGAACATTTTGATAACTATACATAGGTGTAAATTATGGGTTTTTGACTAGAGTTGTGTGTAATTTTGGAAAATGATCATTATTTGCAATTTCAGTTGGATTACGTACTAAGATTGAATAGATAGACATGGTTTATAGGCTGGTGTATATGAAGCTATAAATTATAGCTTCATATAAAATATTTAACAGACTCTAGTTTACAATAAAAAAGCGTAGCGTACCCTTCAGTGCCTAAATGAGTAAATAAATAACATATGTGCCTACTAAGTACCTACCAACTGAAGCAGGAATAAAAAAAACATTATCTACATAAATATTAATTTGTTTACGCACCTTCATCTTCACTCATCTTTAATTTGTCTGTTAAGTTTGGAAAATCATGTTCCAGCCATTATATCTAACGTTAAGGGTGGCTTTGAAAAAAAATTCTGTTCGTAGTATAAGAATAATATTAGCATGACGGCAGATTACTTACCCCAAAACTCCTTATTCAACTGCTAACAATGAATGCAAGAAAGAAAGGGCTCAAAAATTTTAAAATGAGGTTTTATAACCATCAACAATTGAACAGGGAAACAAGAAAAAGAAAAATCCTCACCCTTTTAAAATAATTACGAGCAGAAAATAACAATAAAAGATGCAAAGATTGTGACGCAGCACAATTTGCGTCGAATCGAGATTGCAACATCATTATTTTTTAACAATTTGTTTGTATCTATGGTAGCAGAGAATGAGTAGTAAATTGGATAGGATAGTTAGATAGATAATAAGTAATTTGATCAGGGGTTGCTGGTGTAAGCGCAATACCTACTTATTGTATCGCTACCCCGAAGAAGGGGTGGATATTAGTCAGTAAAAGTCTGACACTCCCTCTTCGGGCGGAGAAGTAGGTACTTAATTGGATAATTTCCTCCGACAAAAAAAATATGTAGATAATTGATTTATATGTGTTTTATATTAAAAAAAAACGGACTAACATAATTTTTGCCAAAGCTTGCCTGAAGCTTGACCAAAATAGTCAATGCTTCAGGCAGGATCCTTTCGCAATAATTTCGTGGATTGCGTACCTACCTACTGACAAACTGAAAGATGAAATTTTTGATAGAACTTATACGTCGTTATTGAGTTAAAAGTTTAATGATACGTAATTTTATAAGTACCTATATGACTAAAATAGAAAAAGTTATCGATGTTATAAGTACTTACAAAACTTTCTTGGTACCTAACTTCAAGGCAGGTAAATAGCTAGGTACTTAACAATAACGAAAAAATGTTGCAAAACTTAAAAAAGTATGGCTGTTATATGAACTTCTATAATTTTGAACATAATTTATGAGATGTCAGCGAAGTACATCGTGAAAGCCACCATGAAATAAAAACAATGGAGCACTGCAGATGAGATATTCACATGATGGCTGAATTATTATGATGTGACGTGATTGCCCTGATCAATACCGCTCCGAATCACAAAAAAGTACCTTTATTTCTTAATACTTACGTAGATATAATTTTCAAACCTTACTTAATGTTTTTTTAAATGTGTATGTACCTATTCTTCTTCTTTCTTATAAACAAGAGCTGCAAGCTGTATGAAAAATGTGACTACCTACTTAGTTTTCTTGTATCAGGTACCTACCCTACCTACCGACGATCTTAGCCACCAACATAAGTTTCGGATCCAGCGGGAGGAAACGCCCGAGTGTCGTCATTGCGAGGACCACCTAGAGGATACGGTGGAGCATACGGTGGCGGTATGCCCTGCCTGGGCTGAGCACCGCAGTGTCCTCAGGGAAGTGATCGGCGGCGGCGACCTCTCGCGCCCGGCCTTAGTCGAGGCCATGGTGTGGAGTGAGAGAAACTGGGACGCCGTCTCCTCCTTCTGTGAAGCAGTCATGCTCGCAAAGAGGGAGGCAGCCCGCGTGAGGGAGCAATCCTCCTCCTCACGCCCCGGCCGCCGCAATAGGCGACATTCCGAGCGCCGGGGCTCAAGGGGCGATCTCCGGCCACCGTAAGCGCGGGTCTGCGGTCGGCGAGCGTACTGCTCGTAGCGTTCCGCGCGCGCCTCAAAGAGCCAATAAACCACCACAGACGGGGCCCTATAGGGCTGATGTTCAGCCGGGTTTGCGGGGTAAGCGCAATGTGGCACCTCGACCTCGGCCCAGAGCAGGAGAAGGAACAGGGGGGTTTTTAGTCAGTAAGCGTCTGACACTCACTCCCGCCCGGCCCTGGGCGGGAGAACTCATTTAATGATTTCCCCCTCACAAAAAAAAGCAAATAGGTCAGTGTTTTGTATTACATTCAAGATAGAATTTTTCAATCGGATTTAGGTCCACATTAAAATGTTCTCTTTTATCGTGGGTGCGTTTACAAACATACCCACATATTACCTATACCCAAACTTGAACAACAATGTGTGATCAACTATTGAAGAATACCTAAGTACCTATCATAAAATAGCGGTTTTATAAAATGACGGCTGACGAGCCGTAGCTATTTTCGGGCATTGTCTAAACATATTATGCGAGCACATTATAAAATGTCTTTTATCGAAATCTGCAATAATGATAATAATAAACAGATATCTCGATCCCAACTTACTCAAAAAATTGTCTCGGTACAACTTTGTGGCAGATCATGCAGAAAATCGATTTTACCCTTCGGCGACTTTACGAGCCACTCTTCCGGGTCGTTATCCTATGAAAAAAGATGACTGAAGTAGCTATAGCTACTTATCACTATTCAATACGTTATCGTTAAATAACATACAATACTTTGCATTGTGCTCGTTCGACGTGTCAGAAGCAACCTTGCACTAGGTATCTACTTATTTTCTAATACTTACCACTATTCTCTACCACAAGCTCCCTTCGCATTTTTAAACATTCTTTTTTGTTCTTCAATTCTCCCGTTAATAAGAATAAAGAGAATATTAGAATAAACAGTCATTGCGTAGTGTTACTGGTATAATTGCAATCAATAAGGATTCTTCTATTTAGACTGCATGACATGCAAGTTGGCGCGATGGCAGGGCAACTAAATGCCGCGCAACGTGTCGCGGCTTGATTCCCGCATGGAATAACTCTTTGTGTGATCCACAAATTATTGTTCCGGGTCTGGGTGTGATGTGTATATGAAATCATATGTTTGTTAACACACCCACGACACAGGAGACAAGCCAAGTCTGGCGCAACGTTTTTAGGAAAACTACAAGCTCCCTTTGTATTTTAAAACTTCACTTCCCCGTTAAGAATTTCAATAAAGAGAATATAGTCTCAGCCTCAAATATACCTATACGAATATTCAGTGTACCCATTCAATTATCTAGACGCATAAAAATCACCAAAATGTCGTCACAAAAAATCACCATACAATGTTACTTAAAGGTTCACTCAAAGCTTAATTCACGTCAAAATCGCATTAAGTTTGAACTTAATTCATTGATATTGAGAACTTTGCACCCTATGTCTGTAACAATGAAGGTCTACCGTATATCTGATGATGGAGACCACCGACTCAATGACAGTCGAGGGAATTCCTCAACGGTTTACAGCACTGAAGTTTAACACAGGACAACCACTAGGTAGGTCAGGCAGCTTATGCCGACCCCATGGACTTGCCTTCCGGGAGGTGGCTGGTTCTTCATCTCCGGTTAGTCCTCGTGACTAGCTGGCGTGTACACTGATTAGGAACAAGCCCTCCTACCTCATTCTTGCCTTAATTGGCTGGCTTGAGTGGAGACTTGCAAGTGAAAACGAACATACAAAAAATAAGAATAAAACACAGTTTATAACATAACGTTTATTACACTAACATATTATTATCTAGAGTAGAGTGTACACTAATTGTCCCACTTCTTAGATACATCAATGTATTCGCCGTCAGGTGTGGCGTAGTCCTTAATAGCAGGTGTCGCCACTGTGCCACTCACCTCGTAGGGAATCAACTGCAAGTCGGGCTGTGGATAAAAGAGTTTTTATGAGATAGGTCAGCAAGCGAACCATAGTTATTGCCCAGTAGTACCTTAGGAATAGATACAGCACATGGACACTCATAACTCCATAGGATTTACATGTTTTGGATTTTTGGGGATTGGGAATAGGGAGGGAGAACACAGGAATGGAACAACGCTGTGGCGTTGCTTTACGCCGGTTTTCTGTGAGGTCGTGGTATCATTTTAGATGAAACAAAGATCATTCGAGTGATACTATTACATAAAAATACATGGCTATAGAATCTTATCCAAAACATAGCATAACAATTCACATCTAATGTTTTTTAGATTCTGAGGAAAACATTACATTTTTATTCCCCAGATGAGGGGGTAGAGAAGAGACACAGACATGAAATGTGACTGTGACTTTTATAGTAAGGCTATGAAACAATCACCTCATACCAGAAACATTTACAAAGTCATGTTGTTACTAAAGATTTTTGGTAAAGCTCATGAATCAAATTTTTAAATAAACTATTTTATAATTAAAATAAGAATCTAAATAGCCCGAAGGAGATTGAGATGTACATGTATTGAGTGCAGATACAGAAAACCTGTCCCTGTATATTGACACTCATTGCAGAGCAGAAAAAGTTCGAATGCAGAATATGGACACGAAATATTTAACACTAGCTACTCCAGCGCCGTTTCACTTGCTGCTTAGCTCCATTTGATTGTAGCGTGATGTTTTATAGCCTATAGGCTATAGCACTCGGGAACAATATAGCTATAAATAAGTGAAAGAATTTTGGGAATGCGACCAGTGGTTCCAAAGATTACCCCCTACATACACTCTTACAAATTTTACCTCCTTATAATATTAGTATAGATTGCTTGATAATTTTCAAATACAAACCATAATAGCTTCATTATATAGATCTTCAGACTCTTCAAGCAATTTATCCAAGGCTCTCCGCTGTGCCCTCATGATTCTGTCCACTTGAGCCACATTAGCCATGTATTCCTCTCTCTTGTACCTTGCCCAGTCCTTTTGAAGAAGTGCACGGGCCTCTATCACTTCTGCCGACAACTTGGGCTGCGGCCTCTTTCGTTTGCTGTAAATAAATATTGAATATCAGTCAGAATTTTAATTCAACCTCTTTTTGGGACTTTGTAATTTTGGAATTGATTTTAAATAAAAATAAATAATAGTTAATTTGAAATGTCTAAGGCTACAATTTTTAATATATTACCAAGTTATTATTACCATCAATATGAATAATTCCTCACCTGAAGTTATCAAGCAGCTCAAGAGGTACTTCCATCTCATCAATGGGCTTCAACTGTCTAGCATTTTTCTCCAACCTTCTGATCTGTTTCTCTAGTTTCTTACGACGCCTCTCCTCACGAGCTTTCACAATTGCTGGATCTATCTTCTTTTTCTTTTTCATTGGTTCTGCCCTGGAATGCACAACATTGATGACATTAAATGATACTTAGTACTATTATGCTGTATTGTAGATTATTGTTAGGAGATAAAAAAAGCAAATCATTTAGATATATGTTGTACAAATGGTGGCCCTTAGGGGTGTACTCTCAGCGGTGACCAGCCTTAGGATGGATATTAGAAATAACAAAAGACTAACAAGTTTTATCTATTGATTAATGGAAAATAAAGGTAATATTGGCTAAATTTAGTGAACAAAGTTATGTTCTAAGTTTATATACAGAATCTAAGTTTGAGTGTAACTTACCATAGTTGATCTGTAATTTTAAACTGTACAGCTGCAGTTGTGGTTATATTTCTCCTGCTAATAGGTATCTTTGTAGCGGGACATATTGCTAACCTGCATTTAAAGCATAAAATATCAGTATTTCTTGATAGAAAATATCACATAATAATATTATTATAGGTTATGTTGATAAATGCTTGCCAAACAACCCACCTTGAAAATTGCCTTAATAACGATAAATTAAACATGGTTTTTACACCACTTATATATAGAAATATTGTATTTTAAAATTAAAATAAATAGATTCACTAATAGAAAAACACTTCTCTACGTTTCGTTTTGCCTGCCTACAAATTTGACATTTGTCAAAGAAACGTCAATTGAGAGTAAACTCTAAGTATTTATCTAATAGTGTCTCGTAAAATTAAAATATTAATACACAAGTGCGTTATCTATGTCTTCAAAAAATAATTCAATATTATTTCATTTTATATTTCTGTTATTAATTATTAAAAATAATTTACTCCAAACGTATATCGGAACGTAAAGTTAACGTTCCGTTACACAAAATATCTTGTAACACCGAACGCGTCTTATATTATTTTTATCAGGGATTTTTTTTTAGTTGACTTGATTTTGCTTTTGCAAAAATCATCATGTGTTAATGTGTAAAGTATTGAAGATACCTCTAAGGAAAAAAGGTAGTAAACCTTTACAACTATTTGCCCTACACAAGTAAATTCTTATAAATTTATAATATCTTGACCTGACCAACTATATAGTCTCCTAGGGAAGTAAAAACAAAAGCTGGACGCAGCAGATGGTTTAACTATAAATATAAATTAATTTATCTATCTATACTAATATTATAAAAAGAGACAAAATTTGTAAGGTTGTATGTTTGTAAGTTTGTATGTAGGGGGAAATCTTTGAAACCACTAGTCGGATTGTCAAAATTCTTTCATTAATAGATAGGTAGCTACAATGTTCCTGACTGCTATAGGCTATAAAACATCATGCTACATACATAAGAGTAGTTAGTTGAGTCTAAAATTCTCAACTCATCCACGTAGGTCGGAAGAAATTAAAGGGTAGGTACTTGGGACTTTGAACAAACCTACAACCTACAGACAAACAGTGAAATACTATTAACCTGAATTATATTATAAGAAACACATGTGGTAGGTATTAGGTATTCCCAGTTGAGGAACAGGAAGACAATAAGTTACCGTTAACTCTGCTTAGGTAGGTAGGCTCTTTGCTACCTTTTCATGTGACAAAAAGATTGATTAGTAAATAATAGGTATGATTGTTTGAAAACGTAATGTATAACCTACACACATAGCCTGTAGTAAATTTCATTAAAATTAATTGTATTATGTTTGGCATGAAAAAAACACACTACTGCGTATAGATACCTATGGGTAGATAAGTATAACCAGGGCCATTTGGACCATTTGGACCCAGAAGATAAAAATATTTAAAAATAAAAGTATTCTTAAGTAATTTATCGTATGTAGGTAGTTAGTTTGTAAAATGCTGTAAGATGTCTCTGTCTACCTTATTGATTTATAAATAAATAGGTAGATATACATCCTGAGTTACCTACCTATCGGCAACATTTAACTATTTATACATACCTATACTATAACTTTTCCTTAGGTAGGGTAGGTAGTTTTGTCCAAAAGAATCATGTGACATATATTTCATGATGAGGTTTAACTGCCCATTGTACGTCAACTGCCATCGCTAACGAAGATAATGGAAGTCATTTTGTCCGCTAATCGTCTCATGATCAAAAGAATTATCTTTACATCAATAGAACATGCCGTTTTCTATACACTTTTGTATGTTCGATACCAAAATATTAATTTTGTATGACCACATAACAAGTAGGTACCTATTTAATTAGGTAGCTATTTGCTTGAGTCGAACTCTTTGATTGTAACACGCCGAATAATCTTAGTGGGTAGATACCTAATAGACTGGAACCTGAAATTGTCCCCGGTAATATTTTGTCGATCCAGTTTCATTCTTCCTGCCTAACCATTTGTCGACTATCGCAGAGATATTCGACACCTACCTATAAAGGTATACCAAGTAAATGAGACTGTTAGGCAGTTCGATTTACGCGTAACAACAAGTCTCGCTTCCTTGATTCTAATTAAAATAGATCGGAGAAAAATAACCTATTGCTGATCGAAGGAAATAAATCAACCTCTTTGTACTAAAACGTCGTGGGGTTATCTAAGGCAACCCGCTTCACACACATGCGGGAGCGGATTCGAAATTGGTCGAGTACCAATGTGACCTTTTCTGGGTTATATGAACTTTCTATGATTATTTAGACACCACTGACTTACGGTGAAGGATAAACATTGTGAGGACTTATAATTTAGATATATGAATGCTCAAACAATCTCCGTATAAGAAGAGTCCTTTTCCCAGCAGTAGGTGCTTATAGACTGGTGATACCTAATGAAGTAATGATGTCAACCTTACCATCAAATCACATCTGCATCGACTTTATCCAACGTCAATGAGTATCCCCTCATACATAATTCATAGGAATTATTAGTTTTCGATATATCGAAATAAGTATTGAGTTTGACAATTTGGCAACTACCCTACCTATCTATTCAATATTCAGAATGTATGTGTGTAATGGTACCTACCTATGTGTGAAGGCATACCTCTGAAAATCTACATAATTCTTCGGGGAAATCCTTTGAGCATCCCGGTCACGACCACTTATGATAATAGCATCACATAGGTACTAAAAGTCCTCCAAATTAATTTGTTATTCACAAAAATAGTTCCAGAAGTGACACGTTAGTTTCAATAAAGTTTTCAAATCATTAATAGTTTCCTCATATTTCCTGCAAAACAAACGCTTTGTCATATTCTTTGTAGTGTTTGCCAAATATTTACATTGTACGTGTCACAGTTGCCCGCCATTATGGAAATCAAAGTCCGGCAAAATTGTAAAGATTTCAGGAGCGTCGGTAACTACTTAGTAAGTTAGGCAAATAGGTACTTACCTGAAATATTTTTTTCTTTGTAAACATCCTCATTGAACGAATTTGTATTCAAAGCAAAGCACTAAGCACTTGTAATGAACATAATTGGCAATATGCTGTAGCCTATTCAAAGAGGCAGGAAACTAAAATTTTACAGATATTATATTTTATATTACAGTGGTTCTGCACACTACTCGAATCACATTGACTCCAGTTACTGGTTACAGTTAAACTTGATTTAGATTCAATTTAAATTCACAAAAAAAGGAAATACACCAGTTACCTACATTCGAAAAAAATTGACAAAAAAACAATATCATTTTATCAAATGCCTAAACGAATTGTCTAAACGCTCGCTGCAAGCATAATATCTCAAATATCGCGTGACCACATAAACATTCTCATTGAGGAACCATAAAACATGCAAATCAACTCATTACAACAAACAAAACTTCGACCAGAGTCAGTGGCATCGTCATGACTCCGTGGTGTTGTGTTTGGAGTCATTCTTCACTGACGACCGACGGCATTTACATGTGTTCGCTAATATTTCGTAACTTTATTTTATTTCTTATACTCGTCCGAATGGTGCGGTAGTCCAAAAACATGGAGCTAGAAGACACGAATATTACGAACTTTAAAACGAACGTAACGTTAGATCAAGTGATGGATTTTTTTAACTTAAACCTTTCTAATGTGAACCAAAGTGAAGTGTCACAAATACATTTGTTCGATCTATATGAAGCGTACAAAACTATTGAGAAGGAACAGCTAATGGTGTACAAGTCTGTGGCTTACATTATCGGGACCCTCATCATTTTAAGCAACTTAACAGTTGTTATATCCAGCGGATTGATACTACGAAAAGGTATGCATAACTTTACTATGTACAATTAACGTATGATTAGCATTTGTGTCTTAAATAAACTTTTATACGGGTTTGCTTAGATATTCAAGGCTCATCACAAACAATTTTGACTGTCTGGATAAAGATGTAGCTGTCATATTTTTTAGAAAAAACAAAACGTATACAAGCGTAAAGATGCCTGATTTTTACAAAAAAATAACTACCAAAATCTTCCTTCTCCTTGCCTGTTATTTTTCTAAGACCTCTAAAACTTAATTTTATTGAGATAACTGTCAATAATCCTTTAGGTACCTTAAATTTTTTATCTGGAACTTGTCAACACTAAAGTTAGTCACCAAAAATCCAGTAATTATCTTAACATTATGTACATCTTTTCAATACTAAGTGCCCTGGTGATTGTTGGATGCATTTCGACTGAATCAGAATTTGTCCAAACAAAATGTTTGTAAACATTTTATTTGATTGCCTTGTTTTTGTTGATGTCACGAAACTTTTAATGTTAAAGTGCAACCTCCTTACTTATTTTAAACTAAGAACCTACTTGGCAGGTCAGTCTAAGCGAAAAAAAACTTACGGAATTCGATTTTTAAATATAGCTTTCGAAAATTTATTAGACATGCCATTTTTAAAACATGAGTCATATTGAGATGCTCATTTGTTTGCGTTTTCGAACAGGTTAGTTAGTAGGCTATATCCACAAGTATTTAATGACACAGCAGAATGTTCACCGGGGTAAAGTTTATGTAAGTACATTATTTACTTACAATGAGCTAGACACCTACGTACAAATCTTTCAAACATTTAGACGCGCTGCTTCACTGCTGACGGAGAATTAATTTAGCTAGGCATACTTAGGCGAAAACCTTAAATTAAAATCCGTATCGACATGCTTGCATATATTTACATTTATTTCATCTTGAGTACTATAATATCTATGTAGGCATACTTATAGGTATATATGTCGCAACGAGATAAATTAGCTATTCAATTTAGGGCCGAAATAATTGACTAAGCTAAGAATATCTCACTTCAGCCGTAAATTGAAGGGTGAGGGAATTGTCATTAAAACCGGGTTACTGCAAGAATGGGTAGGTTAGGTTAGAATTAGGAACTTAATTCTTTGCGTTCAGCTACGAAAATAGTATTAAAGATATTAAGAGATTCGGATTAGGAATTGATTGACAAAGAATTTGGATTGGTAATTTATAACCTTCTATGATTTTAGTGATGTTTTAATTCAGAAAAATTAAAGTAGTTTTGCTGTAGATAACCTTGATGAAGGTGCTTATGTTTAGGTACTAGTTTTTGCCAACCGATTGCCGGTTTCACCGGCTGCTCAACTCCCATTAGGCGATGCGTAATATTTTATAGCCTGTATCCTGTCACGATAAATCGACCACACAAAAATACTAAAATCCAATAAAAATTGTTTTTCTCGATCCGAACCGGTAGTTCCTGAGAGTAGCGTATTCTATAAAACATAGGTACTCTTACTACTCTTCAGCAACTCTTCAGATGTGTCTGAAGCGAAATCCACTAGCACGAGTGTTGACAGATAATATAATTATACAATATGATTTGTCTATATAAACTTTCATACGTATGTAACGAACATTTGTAAGCTAATATCTATAAAACTATGCAAGATAATGAAGATGAAATGAATCGTAAAAAGGCACATTTCTACTTTCCATCAATATTTCTAAGTAAGTAATAGGAACCGAGCCTGCTGATATAGCCTTGAACCAACTTGAAGACAGTTTGGAAATCCACGCGACCTCCAAAAACAAAAACGATGGACCAACGAGGCCTTCAATAGCGGCTAAATGGGAATAACCAATCAGAAAACCAAATATGAAGTACAGTATACACACTTATTTTGTATGTAGGAACAAAAAATAAAGATTGATTCAGTACAATATACCGAGCGACTATATTTTTTTTTTTTGACAAACGAGCAGACGGGTTTCCTGGCGGTAGGCATTCTGAGCTATAGGGATATGAGGATAGAGGATGGGGAAGAAGGCGCGTCGAAAGTCAATGTAAGTGGTGTCACTCCGGTCGAGCCAGCCCATTCGTGCCGAAGCATGGCTCTCCTAAACTTAACACAAACTCTATATTGGTTTCACTTAAATCATATATAAATTTAGTGCGACAATAGCTCCTGTCTCAGTACATCTTTGTTTTTATAGGTACCGAAATCTATTTTAAATTATTGTGCAGACTGTACTTACTAGATACATAGATATCATGATGAACGGTAGATAGCTAAATGTGGGATCTTATTTGTATATGACGATCCTCTGTGTTAATTAAGGTAGCAAACATAAATAGTAGCCATTCTGTCCATAGCTGTGCCAGTTAGACACCTATTTCCTTATGTAAGTAATGTGGGTATTTGGAGAACTTTTATAAATCACGCAATATTATCAGTAATTTTTACCGTCATGCTAAAATGTTATGTGACATGCACTGCCTCCGTGCGTGCTTTTCGTACAATTTCATTGAACCGATGTTTCTTATTTTTCTACAATAAGTTTTTCGTCTATAAGGTTCCAGCCGTAAGTATTAGCAAGGTAATTATGATATTTTTACTGTGGTATTAGTTTTATAAAGAATTCCTCATTGGTTGACATGGTAAAAAAATCTGATTCCAATTCTGACAATGGCTTTCACTGCATTCAGGAAAGTTTACCATCCACCATTTACCTCCATCCTTGGCTTGTAATTAAAGTCGTCCATTGACGGCGCCGATTGCTTACTATAACAACAAAACGCAAAATTGAGATATAGAAGATTATGGGGTTGGGGAGAGATAGGGGAAAGGGAAGGATTAAACATCCAGTGACCTCACTCACAGGGCGAAATAAAACAAAGCTGTGGTTGTTTCACGCCGATTTTTTTGTTTTCTGCGTGACCGTGGTATCGCTTTATCGAGCCGAAGCATGGCGCACTAAAACATCACGCTACGACAAATAGGAGCTGAACAGCGAAGCCACGCGGGAATAGCTAGTCGCCAATCATAAATGTCTACAATCAATAATAAGTAAAACAAATACTGTATGTTTATTAACCGTAAGCCTAACTAACCAATTACATGGACTTACTGTCCTTACCATCTAGTTTCTATACACCTCCGCTAAAGACTCTTCTAGTACAAATTCCATTGACCTTGAATGCAAATTGAGTTTCGCCATCTATGTCACGCCCATCTACATCATGGGAATTCAGAAAGACTTTGCCCCGAAGACGTGATATAGCGGGTTATCAAAACAATCCATATTTAGCACCGGTATTTGTATATTCATAATGTCGTAAAACTGATCTATTTTAAGCTTATATGGAAATTATTTCATTAATACTTTAGGGTAACCGTTGTTGTTGGTGACGGAATAGTATAGAATATATTCGTGTCTATTCCTCTACGGAGGCAGTAATAAAGAACTAAGAGAGTACCCATTTGATAGGGGCTGATTGAGCATCAGGGTTTGAGTGCCCTCTTGTAAATATGAATGTTTTTAGCACTGATCTCTAACACGATTGACCCAACCTCTAATCAGAAGCTAAGGATGGAGATGACGGTAGTATTCTCTTGAAGGCAGTGGAAGTCCGAACTTATGTGTACAATTTTTGACAATTTAAAATCCAAAAATATTATTTGTGACATATATTCATAGCTACGTATGTATACAGATATACCATATAATAAGTAACCAAGTCAGTACACGTAGATGTTAATCTTAATCAACACAACTACATATTATCAAGAACAAGTTTTTATTGCATTAATCAGTTTTTTACACATTCAATCTCAAAAGTAACTTGTTTGAAAAATAAGTTTGACATTTTGATAATACTAAGTCGAATAAGTACTTCTTACGTACGTATAATTAATGGACATATGAAACAACGCCACATACATTTATAAAATATATTTAAAAGACATCGTGGTAACGACGAGATTAAGCCCACTTATCTACCACAAAGAGTATATAAACACTAGGTACGTTCTAATCAGGCAGAAGGAGGGTGCAAGTGTGTAAATGCAAGTAACCAAATCACCACTTTTGTCCGACAGTGAAACATCACAAAGAAAATAAGATCTAAATAAATTTGAAATCTGAGATCGCCAATCAACTACTTATATGTGTGACATGTCAGAATAGATTATTTTGAAGGAAAGGCAGGTGGGAGAATTCTATGACATCTCCCTCCTTTGCGTAGGGCGAGAGGAAATCGCCGCGTTCCTTCTCTTGCGGTGACAAGGCTCGTGGTACATAATCGCACTTTGCCCATCAAAGAATGTCCTTTTAAGAAAACTTATAATAAAAATTTTTTCTTAAAAACAGCCCCGAACGTCTTTGGTTCCTTAAATCGTACCTAAATCTCAACATGCATAAAACATATTACCCACAAATTAAGAAAATTCACCAATTTTTTTTAATGGCCATGTTTACTAAGAACTGTCAGCAATATTATGCCCACATTACCAACAAAGATTTCCTGGTATATTTTACTACATCTATAAAGATAATCACAGATGTTTGTGAAAAACTTGCATAGATACTATAGGTAGGTACTTGAATAAACACATCGTGAATCACAATTCTACGAATTTAATATAAAACGTAGATACTAATAAAATTGTGACACGAATACCTCCAATATTTAAAGTAAAATTGTTGACACTTTATTTTTGAAATAACTATATGGGTAAGACGCTATATTTTAACACATGCTAGAGTAAGATTGTAAAAAATATTGGAAAATGTTCAGAGAATATTCATAATGCAGGTTATACTTCATAGGTTCATCCAAACTAATATTATAAATGCGAAAGTAACTCTGTCTGTCTGTCTTTTCCTCGTGCCTAAACTACATTTGTGTGAAATTTGGTACAGACATAGTTTGGAACTCGAGAAAGGACATAGGATAGTTTTAAAACCAAAAATCTGCAGGAAGTCACTATTCCACGCAAACAAAGTCGCGATCAAAAGCTTAGCGATAAAATTATATAAGAGATAGCCACTTAGATATTAATAAAACTAGTAGTAACAAAAAATAACAAGATCACAAAACAGTTACTGAGTCTGACGTCAAATAAAAAAATAAAGACATAATAAACAACTCAGTATAAATAACAGGTATACCTACATGATTTGTTACCGTTGCTAACATTTGTTACGAAACGATGCCTTGCACATTCATACCTCTCTCTGTAATATTTGGACTAGCCTCTAATGAAGGCTTGGCTTTAATAGCTTCGAAAAACAAAAGTGTGTCAGCAGTTCACATTTTTACTGATTATTTTAGCGGTCAATGTCTTATTCATTGTACACACTTATTGATGCGGCTATCTCAGAACTCAATACCATGCCAATGGCCAAGTCTTTATGCTTTATTGCCGCCATCTATTACAAAACGATAGCCCAAATTGAATCAAAATTGATGTACCTGTTTAGGAGTTCATTGCCAAACAACAACAATACATAAGTACCTATTAAAAGATTATCTAGGTACTAGCTTCCGCCCGCGGCTTCGCCCGCGTCAAATTAGTTTTTGTCAATCCTGGTCCCTTATGTCTAAGAGACTCTTACAGGGGCCAGCCCAGGAGTACCATTTTCAAATTCCATACTTCTTGTGGAATTTGAAAACGGTACCCCTCTTGCTCATTGCTAAACATAAGCGGGTATTGTAGTGCGTCATAAAACTTGTGTGTGTCGGACACCCTGATCAATGTGTTATCATGGGTTTGAAAAACAATACCGCGCGATGCAATCTGTTCACCACACACCATGGCAGCGACTTCGTTTATTAAGGGTGCATTATAACGTCTTTCATGTTCCCCGCTTGGCGTACGATCTCCGAATATTACTAATTTGTGATTTTCCCGTGGCATTGTTTCTAAGGCTGTTTTGAAGGTGTTAATGAGGTTATTATGTTCGTGCAACACTCTTTGAATTTTTAAAACAATGTCCCTCTCATCTCCATCAATATTTTGCCATCAACGGTCAACCTCGCTGTTTTCGTCTCCCATAAAATCAATCTGTAGAAATTTTGGTTGATCATTGTTTGTGGAAAGCAATGAACCAATCCTATGATAAAATTGCCCTTGTACCGTAAATGTGGGTGAAAATCCAGGCATGATGACAGGAAAAATCGCCGAGATTCATTGCTGTCCTTTCTTCTGTCGTTGCTCCTCGTGGTCACCAAGCGTTGGTACCGATACTTTGCCTCCAGAACAGCACATATCTAGGGTCTCTTCCTTCCACTTGAGTGCCTCACAGTGTCTGCATTTATTGGCCATTCTACCTATGAGGACTAATCGATGATTAAAGTAATCAAGAAACAGATCATAATTAAAAGCAGCATCGACAAATACCTCCCACGTATTCATAATAAGCGTACGTCTCCTTTCTGCTTGCCGCTCGGCATTAATTAAACGTCGTCTACGTATTACTTCTGCGGCTATGTACGAAGCTTGACGCTCAGCATCTAAGATTTGGCGAGCTTGGGTGTGTTGAGAAGTCTCAGCAGCTCTTTGAGCCGCGTGACGCTCTGCATCAATGGCTTGGCGAGCTTGGGTCTGTCGAGAAGTCTCATTCCAGTGATCTGGCAAGTTTAACAGCCCGAGCTCTGTTAAAGCTTTTAGCTAAATTGGACTTTCGTTTGCGAGGCATCGTAGAACAATAAAAATGAAATGAATCGAACAAAACAGATATACAGTTTAAGATTTATTATATTAAAAAAGCTTTGTTTACCCTACCTGCACCTACTTGGATAAGTACTTATTTACAACCAATGCAAAAAAGTAGGATGCTATTAGATTAATTGAATAAAATAAGGAAATAAAAGCAAATCGTATTTATTTAAAGTAACGGAAACTATCTTTCCTACTTGTAACGTTGTAACTATGAACTAAAAGAAATATTAAGTATGTGCAAAATTTATTTACAGGATATAATTAATAAAAAACAATTAAAAAGTTAGACGAAACAATGAAATAATTTTACTGGATCGAAAAATGTAATTCTCTAAAGCGCAAATTTTTCTTATCGCACCCGACAACGACCTCTGTCCTCACGTGTCTGTCCGTTCGGGTAGACACAGTTAGATTCGTGCGCTTCCCCACCACACGACAGCGCCGCGCCGCAGCGACGGCGATGCAGAGTGTTCATTAAAAGGAATTTATACTTCGAAAGTAAACTATTTTGTAACTTGATACACCCAAAACCCTTCTAAATTACATGTTCCTAGGTTCAATAGTTAAGATTTCGTATACCTACATAAAGGTTAGCTTTGTAGATCCCGTTCCGAATCCGTTCCGGGTTTTATCTTCAATTCATCCCCTATTTCACTACATATCACACTGAAAAAATTTTCAAATTGCTAGTACAAACGATTTTTTGTTTCTTATGACGTGATATTTGCCGAAATTGCATACTAACTTTCAACCCTTATTTCACCCCCTAGCTGGTCGAAATTTCAAAAATGCTAGAACCAATATTTCATATTTTCTTATCAAGTACTTAAATATTAAGTTTTATGGTTTTATCTTTAAAAATTAAGAAATCCCATACAAACTTTTAACCCCTATTTCAACCCCTTTATCCCTATTTTTTGAAAAAAAAGTAGCCTATGTTCTGTCTCAGGATCTAAAGATTGTCTGTACCAAATTTCATTAAAATCGGTTGCGAGGTTTAAGCGGGAAAGCGTAACAGACAGACAGACAGACAGACAGACAGAGTTACTTTCGCATTTATAATATTAGTTAGGATAATGGGAACATGAATTGCATGATATTCCTAACACGTATGGTTGATTGAAATGTTATGCTAGTAATACATTTTAAAAAGGTACAATAAAACATTTAAGAGGTACTTATCACGTATTCTACTTCAACATTTTTTTTATGTTTATTTTATGCAGTTATAAGCATGATTCTGTTTGACGCAAAGATACAACTGGTTAAAGTACATAAAACAAGGGTCATTGGTTTTTTTATAAATGATTATGCTAATCGTTCTGTTGCGCAGTTCAACGAGAAATTGCCCAAAATATACTATATACGAACGTATGGATGGATGGGTGTATGTTACTTTTTCACATGCTATCTACTAAATGGATTTTGATGAAAATTGTCACAGTGATAAATTATAATTTATTTGATGATGTATATCGGAGGACTTAATGCTAGAAGCATTTATAATCTAAAATAACGAAGACTACTGTTCAGAGGGGTAAACAGGTGAACCCGTTGGTACATGATATTATTATGTTTATTGTTATTGATATTCTTTTGTAATAAAAATACAATAGTGTTTTTAATATAGCATTACAAAACTGTAAGGATTAGATTGTTACACAAAATATAATACTCGATATATTTTAAACTTAAAGGACGGTTAGGTAAAAATTATTCATAACTCAAATATTTTGTTGCAGGTCAACAACCAAAGAGCACCTATCTCCTACTGGGAAATGTTTCCCTCGCCGACACCATCGTCGGGTTCTCTCTAATTTTCGGAGTCACAGTGGACAACTCTGTGAGTTCCAACCCCTTGTGTATCTTTCAAATAGGTAAGCTGACATTCTTTTAGGATAAATCTATTCAATAGTTCTTAGTTCGAAATATTTTCTACGTGAGTTATCGTTGCCTATTAAACTAAGTTATTCTAATAGTTGTTTGGTCATGTTCCATTAATACAAATAAAATAATAAGACTAAAATAGTAAAATATCCCCAATACATTGTGCTTTATCGTCAGATGAGATAATTAATATCTTAATCTATATTTATTCATCGTAAAAAAGCATGAGTCGACTTTAGTAAAACTTAAGTACATGGTAACATAATAGGTATCAACTTTTAAGTATATCATTACTTAATTACTGAATGGAACTAATAAAACACTATCTACCGGCAACACAGCAAAAAATAAAACATCAACTTATCAAAACAATTACATATCAACAAAGATATCATAAGCCACAGAAATAATCACCTTTGAAACAACAATTTATCTTTTACCGAATAAACCTCGTAAATGTTAGGTTGCATAATAATCATTCTGCATGAATTACGTGGAACAAAACCAAATACAAAACCAAAAACTGCAACATATCATTATAAAATGCGGGTATCGCACGATCTCCGGGGAGGCGGCGAACCTCCTTGCCGGATCACCGCCGTGGGATCTAGAAGCGAAGGCGCTCGCGCGCGTCTACAGTTTGCGCGCAGACGCGCGTCGCCGGGGCGAAGATCCTCTGCCGCGCCAAATAAGTGCGTGGCGGAATGAGCTCCGGCGAGATCTCATGGCAGAGTGGAGACAACGACTGTCGCAACCGAGGGCCGGGCACGCTACCATAGCAGCGGTAAGACCCCTCTTTGAGGAGTGGCTTGAGAGACGCCACGGCGTCCTCACCTTCCGTCTGACGCAGGTGCTTACCGGGCACGGCAGCTTCGGTAGGTTCCTGTTTCGGATTCAGCGGGAGGAAACGCCCGAGTGTCGTCATTGTGAGGACCACCTAGAGGATACGGTGGAGCATACGGTAGCGGTATGCCCTGCCTGGGCTGAGCACCGCCGTATCCTCAGGGAAGTGATCGGCGGCGGCGACCTCTCGCGCCCGGCCTTAGTCGAGGCCATGGTGCGGAGTGAGAGGAACTGGGACGCCGTCTCCTCCTTTTGTGAAGCGGTCATGCTCGCAAAGAGAGAGGCGGCCCGCGTGAGGGAGCAATCCTCCTCCTCACGCCCCAGCAGCCGCAACTGGCGACACTACGGGCGTCGGGGATCGAGGGACGATCTCCGGCCACCGTAAGTACGGGCCTGCGGTCGGCGAGTAAGGGCAGCTCGCCGCCCGACCAGAACCAGGCCCGAGCGTACGGCGCGTAGCGTTCCGCGCGCGCCTCAAAGAGCCAATAGACCACCACAGACGGGGCCCTAAAGGGCTGATGTTCAGCCGGGGCTGCGGGGTAAGCGCAATAAGGTACCGCGACCTCGGCACAGAGCAGGAGAAGGAACAGGGGGGTTTTTAGTCAGTAAGAGTCTGACACTCCCTCCTGCCCGGCCCTGGGCGGGAGAAGTCATTTGATGATTTTCCCCTCACAAAAAAAAAAAAAAAAAAAAAAAATCATTATAAAATAATTGCACAAATGAATTAAACAATATCAAAAAATTATATCTTATCTAGATAATTATTCAAGTAAGGGCCAAGGTTAGCTCCTTGGGGTATCCCAAGCTTAATATTCGAACACTTCAATATTTTTGACGTAGAAATATCAAATTACAAAATATTTGACGTGTTTTAATTGTATATTTTTAAACAATTTTTTGCTACTAATCTTAACCAAAGTCATCTGAGGTAATATAATATTGGCTATGAGTTTAATTTAATTTGATTGTTTTTAAATGTGTACCAATTCCTATCATATAATAGTTTAATAAATCTGCTAAGCTCTGCAAAAATGTCGTTAGAAAAGCATTTCTTTCCTAATATTTTACCTAATCCCTTGTTGAATTGGCACGAGCTGAGTACCCACAACTTAACTGGCTAAAACTATAGCCAGCAAAGCATTGACAATCCGCCATGGTAATCACAATAGCGATTATGGTAACCATCATAAATAGTTGTAGTTTGTTATAATGCGTAAAATAAGGTTCAAGATACTTCTACTATCAATATCATTACAACATACATATTTTGATTCACTGCTAAATGCTTCTCATGGTGTTTTTCAATGCATATTTTTTATTAGTAAGTAGATCAGAGGTTACACTGTTGTTTGTTAACAGAACACCGATTACCGATAATGAATCAGCAATTACATAAGAACTACTGCCAACCTCAACAAAAACCATGTCAATTAGTCGGTTTCATATTGAATTTCTTAGCTACCAATAAAAACTCAATAGTGGTAAAGATACATGACACTATCAACAACTTGTGTTGTATGAAAACCTCGTCAAAGAGTATTATATGACACAAAAATTTTAACATTATCAGCTAATACTTATGTTGTATATATTTTTTATTAACAGGTATGTTAGTATGTCCGGCAATGGTCTCCATCTTCAGTGTTGGTCTCATCGCTGTAGACCGGTACATCTATATCCTTCACGGTCTATATTATCAACGATGGTTCAACACCACTCGAGTCAGAATCGGAATACTTTGCATTTGGATGATCGGTAAGAAATTATGTATCTACTAATATTGTATGTATTGTGTTGTAAGATCTTACGATTTAGTTTTAACGAAAAACCTGTTCACTGCCGCAAGCTAGTAGATAATTTGCCTGTCAAAACTTAAATTTGTAAAGGGAATTCATGTAATGATTCCTTATCAACATCAACATCAGCCTACGTATAGGCTGATCCCACAGCTCATCAAAGGCCTCTTTTCAATTTCTTACACGAAGAAAGTTTGAACATTAATCACCACGCTTGCTGAAGGTGGGTTAACGATTACAAGCTTATTATTAGAATTAATAAAGTCCCAGTTTCCTCAAGATGTTTCCTTCAACATGTGTTTGGTGTTGAAATAAACTAATAAAGTACATAATACTGAAAATAATCACGTTTTTACTTGCCAGGTTTCAAACCCACACTCTCATTCATGAGAAGCGGGCGCCTTCACCACCAGGCCATCGCAACATTATTATCTTTTGTTATCTACATTCACTTAATTATTTTTGTGATAGGCATGCTGCAGTGGACGACATGTTGTGTTTAACTCAATCGTTTGTTATGCAATGTAACTAAATGTGTGTAAATTGTGTTTAACACTTATTCCAGGTATAACTCTTGGATTCATGCCAGCAACTGGATGGACTAACACAGAGTTGATCGTCACTCGTTGTTACTACGTCTCTCTCTTCCCCGGCACTCTTATACTTATCAATTCCTTCCTAAGCATTGTACCAATCATGGTAGTCATCGTGCTATACACCATTATTCTAATTAAAGCCTTAAAAACAGTCAATGTTCTAAACAAAAGTGCCAAAAATAGTAAAGCGTACAGAGAAAATATGAATTTTAGAATCTCTCGTGGTAAAGCCAACAATATTCCGATTTCCCAACCGATTGAAGTGATCGAAAATAAATCAACACCTAAACTTACCAAGAGTGCATCCTATAATAATAATGTGTATGGAAGTGGAGATGGAATTATTACAAAACCGACCTTAACGACTAAATCTCAAAGTAACCATGAACTCGGTCGTACCCAAACGATGTCGGCAAATAACTTTGAAAATATTGGCAATCGAAGTAAATCTCAGAGTGAGTCAATGTTTAGCATTTGTACAATTCAATCTCAGGGGTCCAATCTTGATGTCTCAATGCCAAATCTTAAACCTTCAAGGTTTCAAAATCAAGTGAGAAAAATTTGTAACGTAAATGCTCTTTCGCGAAAGCCAAAAGAGCCAAACAAATGGAGAGCCATTACTATAGTAATGTTAACTTCTGGAAGTTTCGTAATCACCTGGATGCCATTTTTCATTTGTGTGACAGTGTTTGTCTTTTGTGAAGACAAGTTGACAAATCCTAGATGTATGTATATTAGGACCCTACTTGGAGGTCCTCTAGCGACTCTTGCCTTCTTAAATAGTATATTGAACCCCTTAATTTACGCGTGGTGGCACAAAGGTTTTCAAGAGTCCGTTAAAAACTATTATAGAGTATTTGTATTAAATTGTATTTGTAAGATCAGTAGATAGTGCTATTTAGTAATAGTTGTTAGGATTCTCAATTATTATTTATTCAAAGTTAAAAATAAATTTATCCATGACAATATCACAGAGCTCTCTAATTGTGTTGTTGATAATTTTGTGGAATGGAGAGGTTTCATAAACTTACTTCAATGGAACTTTTTTACTTTCTTTGATTCTTTAATGTTATTCGATCGTCGGTTGTTATCGAATCATGACCTCAACACGTGATGATTGCCTACATTGTTTCACTTTGTTAGGTTTAGAAATATGTACTTATCTACATATTTATGGAAGAAATTCATTTATTACCAGTGCTCCCCCGCCTTAATCACTAATAAGACACAGGTACCTTCACTTGATAATTGTAGGTATTCTATGTTATTGTATGTTTGTGATAATTTAACTAGTTTAATGTAATATTTGTTAATAATACTTGTATATAACGATTATGAATGATTATGATTAAGATATTACTTTATGACAAGTTAATATAAGTTTTGTGCTCCAAAATGAGTAGTAGCTCTAGTTATTCTACTTTTCATGAGCAAATTTATTTATAAACTGTATGTAATGAAAGGAATATATGTATATTGAATGCAAAATGTTACGACAAATACTATTGCTCCAAAATGATCTGAACTGTCTTAGATCTGAACATTTTTAATGTTATTTTGTTTGACGACTTTGCGTAACAGTACCTATTTGAAAAGAAACTATTTAGAATGAAACGGGACCAAAATCTTACAAGCCGAGTTAATACGCAATTCTTTCATTTACAATCCATACAGGTATATTCATATCCACATTGCCAGCAATGGGTTGGACAGGACGGACGTTCAGGGACTTCAGATGCTGGTACATCGCCGTCTTCCCTTCTGCTCTGCTCCTCGTCCTGTCCATCGTAGTCCTCTCCGTGATCATCATGGTCTGCATCCTATACATCCTCATCCTTCGCAGTGCCGTCAAAGCCGTCGACAAAATCAGGGAGTTCAAAGAAAATAGCTACACAAATAAAGGCTTTATTGATGACTTAGCAAATTCTGCTGCTGTCGTTTCTACTTCAGATTCTTGTGGTAGCTCTATTGTAGAGATGCGTAAAATTGATAGCGATACCCAGACTTATCAGAGCGATGCAAGTAAAGATAGAAGGATGGGATGCTGTAGGATGAGCAGTAGCCATCCTAGCAAATTGAAGGCAGTCAAAACAGTCCTCATTGTGACCTTGTGTTTTCTTGGCACATGGGCACCGTATTATGTGGCTGTAATAATGTATGTAAAGTGCGATATCATGAAGAATGGTTACGAATGTATTCCGTTAGAAATATTAACCTTAGGGCCTCTTTATTTGTTAGGCGTTTGTAACAGCCTCTGTGATCCTCTGATTTACGCGTGGCGGCATTCTGGTTTTAAGAGCACATTAAAAAGGATTTACTGGAAGTGTTTAGCTAAACATAAGATATAATGCATTGTGACATTTACTAATTATTAATTACTGAACTAGGTACTCGTAAGTGTAAAGCAAACAGTATTGAAATGTTAAAGTTTATTGTAAGTAATTAAAATAAATAAATTAAAATGTTTTGTATTTCAGTTGTTTTATTTTAAACAAAGCATGTAATCCTACTATCCTATGTATGGATGTATGTTTGTTATTATTTCTTATTCTTTCACGCCTAAACAGCTGGACCGATTTGGTTGAAATTTGGTAATGTAGATAGGTGATACCCTGAATTAACACATAGGTTCCCTCATTTCATCAAAAAGCTAGTCAATAATATTGAACAGATGTGTCGATTTAATAAATGGGCGAAAGAAAGAAGTCTATTCTAAATATGGAGTAACAAGAAAGAAATAGAAGGTCAGTGGTATGATGGCATCATGGATGACAGTTTAGAACCTAAGAATATAAAGGACAGCTGAGAAATTCGCAATTTTTTTTATTATGAAAACGAACCTTGACCTTGTTTCATAAGATGAGGGAAGTAGGTAGATGAATGGTTTAGATATTTACATTGTAGGCCTAGCTACGTGGGTATGTAAGTTTACTGATGAACGCGATGCACGCTTCACCTTATTTGGTTAAAAAACATCCGTATTTACAGTTTTTATTAGGTACTGCCATGGGCACGATTACCAACTCGTCCATGATTTTACTTACATATACAATACCCAAAAATTTTAGTAAACAACTACCTACTTACTTATTAGGTATTTTACCAAAAACAGCCTTTAAAAAAAACAAAAGTAACCGTCCCAAGTCTCAATCATCAGCACCTGATGGTAAGCCGCCCATGGACACCCACAACACTGAGTCCGAGGACACAAAACATGTGCATTGCTAGCCTTTTGAGTTAGTTTATAGATTTGAGGATATCCAGGGGAGTACTAGATTGGAGTTGGGGATTAGGGTATACTCACTCACACATCAAAACATAACGCAAGCATTTCTGGTCGGTTTCTCTGAAGCCGTGATATCACTCCGGTCGAGTTGGCCTATTCGTGCCGAAGCTTGGTTTCCCCCCGTTCATATAAAGAAATTAACTCAAGTAGGGGTAAAACATCCTATAAAGATAGACCAATCACACACACGACACACACGCTTGATATACAAAAATCACTTATAATTACGTTGGCAGACCATTCTAGAACAATATTCACAATATACGATCTGTTATAACATTTTATTACCCAGATCTACCTACTGTTAAGTAGCTATAAAGATTACTACTGTAAAACTATATCAGGCGGTAAATAATACCTACATGTAATTTAGGCCACAAACATACGATCGTGATAATGACTCTGAAATAAGTTTTTACATAAACACTAGGTCTAAGTCTAAAGTTCGTACAACCTTGAAATACTTAATTACTTTTCTTTTTTTACTTAGTCATGGAAAATTAGACGTTTGAGAATCAGCCGGGGTTGCGGGGTAAGCGCAATGAGGCACCGCGACCTCGGCCTAAAGCAGAAGTAGGAACAGGGGCGTTTTTAGTCAGTAAGAGGCTGACACTCCCTCCCGCCCGACTCTGAGCGGGAGAAGTCATTTGATGATTTTCCCCTCACAAAAAAAAGACGTTTAAGAATATAGTATACAATAAGTACCCAAAAAAAGTATTTCATTCAATATTTGTTCAAACAAAATAGGATGATGAGTAAACAGTAAGTTTGTTGTGTTTGCATATTTGTCTGTTTGTACTTGAAACTTTTTTCTCGTTTAGCTAATAAACTTGTATTTGAAATTGCAACAAAAATCTAGTTACCCAGATCAAGTTCGGAGCAGAAGCTAGTAAACTAAGTATCACTTCTTATTTTAAATCGAGTTAGGTTAGGTCTACGGCAACATTATCGTCTTATGAAAAATACACGACAACCACAGCCTTCAAAACCTTATGAAACGAGCGTACTCCTCTCTTACTAGTCTCAGACGGAAACCTAGAAAGCTTTCTGTCCATGGGCGGTGTGCTCATAACCTAGGCAGCCTAGGCAGGTACTATCAGGTTATCTGTCATCTCATAGATCTCCCAATCCATGAAAAAAATGTCTATTTGATAGACATTACACGAATGTCACAGAGGTTTGGTGACGCCATGTTCCTACCCAACTTGTCGCGTGATTCAGCTTAAGGATTGGGAAGGGATGGAGGGAGGGTTGGGATTGACATCATCGGTAACCTCACTCACACGGCGAATAGAATAACACTACCTAGTTTTAAAATTATACTTGAAGTCCTATAGTCTACTAACTTCCAGATCTTCTTAGAGAACAGCAACTGCTGTTATTCAGCCTAATTCGATCTTACACTTAATGTACAATACCGACAACGTATCTTGGCGAGTCAGAAGTTAGCGAATTAGCTGCGCAGTACACCATTTTGTTCCAAAAAGATCCATTGCGCAGACAAACGGCTAACTTCAGACTCGCCAAGATACGTCGGCCGTACTGTAAGGAGGACCACGAAACTAGGACAAATCTTCGTAAAAAGGTTGCATTTCTCGATGGAGTCAAAGCAACTTTCTCTCTCTCTTTCTTATATACAATGTACTCTGTCTGGAAATATTTGGAATCCTAATTACCTAAGCCAAATACTTGGTAAACATTTGAAAGTCCTGTCTTTATTTACTTATAAGTATATACTTTATGATATAGCCAATACCTACGTTTTTCAAGAAGGATAATAATAACTAATTACATGTATATCTACCTATACATAAATACCACAACCGCCACCAGTTAAAATGAGCAGATATTTTAATTGTTGTTGATAAAAAGGATTATAATGTTATCATTTGTTCAAATCGCTGGGAGTATTTGACAATATTTATTGCTTGATCTCTCCCCAAGATAATTTTGGACATACTTTATGTATATTATCAGGAGATTATCCCTAATCGAAGGCTATAAGATAACCGGCGCGCTGACATACGTTCAGTGGGTAAAATGACTCGGTTGGTGATTTGCGTACTCCTCTGTGTGGCCTCCTTTGTACAGGGGGGTCACGAAAAATATGAAGGGTAAGTGCCTTTATATATTTTTTTATTGTTTTCCTAAGTATGTGGGTTTTCTAGTTAAACCTTTAGCGTCTTTTTCACCACCTGCATATAATATGTATAGATAAGTATCGATAAACTTAAATAGAGAGAAAAAAATAATTGAAAAAAACTTATGGAGAAATAACGTTCTTTATTCAAATGTATATGTAGGTATATTCTGCACTATGATCTAATTCCATGAAGTAGTCCTTATTTCAGTGACATAATGACCACAACTGGGCGTTCAATATTTAATTAGGAAGAATGGCCCAAAGCCCTAAAATTCGACACTTTTCGATCACCGGCTTATACTTATTTAAAAGAAACTGATTTGACTCAAGTTGAAAAAGCTACGTGACTACACACAGTGCTACTGAAAAAACCACTTAAGTACCTACCTACATACACTTTTATGTGTCAATTTACTTAAGTAGTACCTAATGTATTAAAGGCAACATAATTTTAGCTTTACAAAGCAGTTTCACCCGAAGGAGTAGGAGGAAGTAAATAACATAACACAAATAAAAAACAAAATACTAATTGGAGTAGTAATTAAATCCGGGAACGAATGCCTGAAGTGCTCGTAGTGAACTCGTAGATGGCGTTGCCAATCAATAAACAAGCCACCTATTACAACAGCACTTAAAAAATGCACTATAGTTTATAATAGGCAGGAAACAAGACTGGAACTGACAAAAGCACTTCTATTTATCCACACCACATCTCATCTATATACCTTGATTTCTAGACACCAATTGTATCGCGTGGCTGGGCTTAGCGAGCAAATCAGGGGTTTGGAAGCAAGCCTTGACATCCTATTAGCTAAACCAGCAGCCAGGTCCGAATCAGGCAAGCTTGAGGCTCTGATCCGTCTGGCCCCTGAGGAGAAGGAACAATGGCTGCACTACTTCCACAGGAACAACATGATGTACACAAAGATTGCCGACAATCTCGCCGAGTAAGTGGATATCCTACTAATAAAATAGAAATGTGAAAATTTGTGAGTATAGTTATACCTATGGCTCTTACTGATTCGCTTAAAAATAGCTGGATCAACCTACAGAATATGTTTAGATATACTAATCCCGGTAGAGCGACTGAAGCTGAAGTTAGTAAAGGCTAGTGTTTGTGTTATGTTTTAACATTGTCGTCTTTATTCTGAGTGGATTGGATTTATTAGAGTTAGATTAAATTCGGCCTAAACTATATGCATCATGTACCTATAAAACGCTAAGATAAAATATATTTTTAATACATTCGCAATTTATCTGATTAACATTGCTTACAAATTGAAATAGATTACATAATAATGTTATCCAAAAGCTGTAATAAAAACAAGATGGGTCTACATCTACTCCAATAAAAAAGTAAATACCGGGACTATAGTAACTTTTTATTACTAAACCCTCGTATATTTTTATGATAGACTAAAATCTAGATTAGTTTGTCTCGAAATACCTAGCCAAACATACCCATTACAGTTTCTAAGAACGCAATAAACTTTAGGAGCTTCCATAAGTACGTTAAGCAAGATAAATAAGGTGTACCAAAACAGGACGTTACCGAACGTAATGAAAAAGGCTGGTATTTTATGATAAAGCGGATACTAAATTCAATAGTGGAACTTGAGTCTTATATCTAATTTCTTATTAATTTCATGAGTGGTACCTATATATTTTTTTTCAAAACCCTAGTCATGATCGTTCCTTTTATTTCCTAAGGATCTTCCGAAAGGAAGAAGCTGAGATCCAGTCCAAGAAAGCAGCTGCCAAACGAAGTGGAAAGTCCATGTCATGGGACACCTACTACAGGCACGAGGAAGTAAGTTACAAATAACCATGATGATATTATCTTTATCATAAGCTGACACATTTATAACCAAACATGTTATAGATTGTTGATGATTTTTCACAAATTTTTTCGTTTCTTATTTCGTAATTTTCTGCACTACATCTCAAAATTAGTGTAGTTTTGAGATGCAAAAATATGCAATTTACTATTGTTTACCATTTTATTGTTGTGCACATTGCTTATGTAAAATTCCATTGTAAGTACAACATCAACTTTTTTTAGATTAACGCATACTTGGATGAACTTGCGGAAGAGCACCCTGACCTCGTGACCGTCGTCAACGCAGGTCTCAGTTTTGAAGGTCGCCAGATCAAATACGTGAGGATCTCCTCGACCCGCTTCGAAAACCTTCGGAAACCGGTCATCGTCATCGACGCCATGGCTCACGCCAGAGAATGGGTCACCACTCCCGTCGCTATGTACATCATCCATCAACTCGTTGTGGAAGCCCCTGAGAGCCCCTTGACTCAATCAATCGATTGGATCATCATTCCTGTAGTCAACCCCGATGGTTACGAATATTCCATCGATGTGGTAAGTCTAACAAATAATATAGATACCAAATAATTCTAATGACATAAAACTGTCTTAAACTCTCACTAACATCTGGTATCTAAATCTTGACCAGAAAGGCTTTAAAGGATTTGTCTTAGCATACATATTGAAACAACTTCTAAAATGATATCTTGATGAGTGGTGCGTGACTGACAATATGTATGACGACATGGTCCCACCATCAGAATCTTCCAAGCATGTAATTGGGCACCCTATTAACTAAATTTCCCTTTTAGGCTCCATTTGTATTCATACACAACGCCGTAGCTAAAGTTCTTATGAGGAAGAGGTTATTCCTTATTCGGAATATTTATTTTATTAATTTGATCATTGACCTGCTTGTTAGTTCTGACTACAGGTCAATGTTGCCGTTCATCCTTGATGAATACGATGGCATGTATGTAACTTTTTTCGTCGTTCTACAGGACCGTTTGTGGCGTAAAACTCGTTCCACTGCTCATGATGGAGCAGATGAATGCCCCGGAGTAGACGTTAACCGCAACTTCGACCACCACTGGGGTACTGCTCCAAACAGCGCTAACCCTTGCTCTATCATCTATGAAGGTCCTTCCGCCTTCTCCGAGCCTGAGACTAGGGTCGTCAGAAGCGCAGTCACGTCCAGCCTTGAGAGAACTTCTCTTTACATTTCTTTACATAGCTACGGAAATATGTTCCTGTACGCTTGGGGTAACAATGGTAAGTTTCTTTATGTTCAAGGCAAAAACAACTAAAAAGAATTTTCCATGATGAAGTCTTCAGAAATATTAAGTGAATATATAATTACCTTATTTTACAGGTACACTACCGCAGAACGGTCTGATCCTTCATCTGGTTGGTGTCAACATGGCTACCGCTATCGATGAATTGGCTTTGGATGAGGCTAACAGGTACATTGTGGGCAACGCTGCAAACGTTCTCTACTACACGACTGGTACCTCTAGAGATTGGACCAAGGCTGTAGGAATCCCTCTCACCTACACATTGGAGCTGCCTGGATACGATTACCTTTTCGAAGTCCCCGCCAAGTACGTTGAGCAGATCGTGACAGAGACCTGGGCTGGTATCGCTGTAGGTGCTCAATACGTTTTGTCTACTTGGTAAAGATTTAAATACTTAACAGCAATTTGATTGTACATAATAAAGTAATTTAAATAAATGTTTTGTTTTTATTTCTCGTCTTTTTATTATGTACATACGTACCCAATATTTTGGCGATTACTATATATCACATACTATATTAATCAGATATGAAAAATTTAAGAGATTGATGACATATTATGGAATTAACTAGATATTTTTATGGTTCCGTCTTATTAACCGTCCACGGCCGAAGTTTGGCCATAGACTATAACACGTAGCACACATCTAGGAAAACCACCATGCCAACAAAATGATCGTTACTCCATGATTCCTTCTCAGAATTTAACAATAGATTCATTAGGCTTAGTTTTCATAACAATCTCGTAAAGCTACGACTTACGTTTACCTTAATTCCTATCTATTCTATTCTTCGCTGTCCTGACTGTATCAAGTCGCTCCATCAAACATTTTACAATAATGCGTGCTGAACTGTTAAAATTAACCTTACTTCTGACAACTGTTATTTTCCAAGACTCAAAACAATTTCGATTTACGAGGACTATTGAAGCAGTTGGGCATCCGTATTATAAGATACTAATGACATTGGGCACTTGTAAAGGTAATCATTTTATTTATTTCGAGATTTTCTAGCTTCCGACTGCGGCTTCGCCCGCGTTGTATGTTGACAAAACGCCTGAAAGCCTATGTGTTAACACACATCGATAAATTCTTACAAACTTTCACATTTATAATATTAGTAGGAAGTAGGATTACTTACTTACTTTCCTTTATGGGCACCTACTTTATAGCTACGTACATAAATTGCGTTTGAGAGTACCTACAAACCTCTCCTGAATGCTATTGTGATAAAAGATGTCAGTTTAATGTATAGGTACAATAGATGTGGAACAAACCATAAAACATGTAGAAAGACGTTAACAATAGACAAAAGTCATACTTTTATTATTTCTATTTTCACTTGGTCTCAGTGCTTTTGACACGGAATAGAAAATACAGTGGAAGTGCCGTTCAGACATCGCGCGCTAACCAACATCATGACTAGAAATACAACATTTTGGCACATTTGTTGTCAGAATCGTTCGATCCGTTGTCATGATTGGTTGTCATGGTTGTCTCTAAGAAACACGAAATATATTAGAAATTATGCCTTGTTGTGCGGTTTTCAACTGCAAAAAAGTAAGCAGAAAAAAAGATGAGTCTTGTGGTGGTGTATCGTATCATCTTTGAGTATTAACCTTTGTTAATTTTAAATATATTAGATTTTAATGTAAATATCACATTTCATTACTTCAATGCAAACTATAAAGGGCCTTATTTTCATTACAATTAAGTTTAAATCTACTTGTTCGTTATGTGACGTTATATACAATACATTCTAGTAGTTTCGACGCTACTCATTTAGGGATGCGACATATTCGTAAAATAGGTTCATATCGATAATTTGTCATCATCATCGTTCAGAAAATTGATTTTTGACAATTTTTGTGTATAATTCATAAATGTTTAACTAAGATTGCATAGACACATCAACGTTTTAACCACACACAGCGTGCATCCGTCTGTGGCAGGTGCGGGTGGTTAATCACCATTTTTATTTTATAACTAGTTTTCGCCCGCGTGCTGTGTTGATAAAAAGCAGCAAATAGCAATAGAACAAAATCTAAGTATACATAAAATTTGGTATTTATCGTCTCATTTTTATGGGTACATCTCCAATGGGTAAATACCCTATTACTTACAGCTTGGCAAAAAAGAGTCTGACGCGGTGACAGTTGGAATTAAAAAGCGATGTTTGAGGCAACATTGCTTCACTTGTCAACTGCTAGTACATTCTTTGTCAACAGTGCGTCTTTTCTAAGTGTTTTTCAAAGATTTACAAAATATATCAACTTTAGCTGCAAAATTAACAATTTAAAATGAATAAAACTATTCGTAGTAGTGGCAGAGCAGTGATTTACCACGTTTATTTGCGGTGTTTGGCCGAATCTCAAGCGGGACAAGTTTTGTCCGCTATAGAAAGTGTTTATCAAAGAACTGCTAATATGACAGGTATTTATGCACCTTAAACAAGACATTATACCTTAAATATGGTCCTTTATATGTTTTCGGTGCGTTGTTTTGTAGATACCCAGATTTATGTTACTTTTATTCTTGTTTATACAAATTGATAATTTAGGTTATATTTTGTAGTTTGACAAGTTTCGTATACGCCAACCTCCAAGACAAGAAACTTGTAGTTTAATGAACATTGTTCTAATAATAAAATACTGTTCTTATTTTAGGTAAATCTGTCAACACAATAAGAAAAATTGTTGAGGAAGGTGAAAAAAGTAATGGTATTTTTTCAACACCGGGAAAACATCGCAAATCGCAAAGGTCGCCCGAGGAAAGATTTGGATAATCTCGATTTGTGTGCAATTAGACAAAAGGTTCATTTCTTTTACACTGTGAAACAGCAGGTACTTACGGTTTATACACAGACTACTCCAGATTTCATTAATTAAAAAAAGCTGATTTATAACAAAATATCATGTTTCAGGTGCCTACATTGAGAAATTTACTGCCGGTAGTTAGAGAAGACTTAGGTTATGATGGAAGCCGTGAACATCTCAGAAAGATATTACATTCTCTGGGTTTTTCATATAAGAAGTGTAAAACGGACAGATCAGCTCTAATTGAGGAACCTCACATAGCAGCAAAGCGGGAGCAATATTTAAAAATCATTATGGACAACAGAAACCTGCCTCAAGAACTATAAAAACAAATAATATATATATTTTTTCAACAAATAATATATATATTTCAAACAAAACGTGTTCTCTCATTATCCTTGTAACCATACTATTTGTCAATTACTAATGTTGCGTCCAGATCTGGCGAATGCGCCGTTTGCGAACGGCGCATGTGCATTTCGTACATGGCTCTTTTTTTCCAAATTTCTGCGTCCGCGTCGCGCGCGCTTCTTACGAACAACACATTCACCAGATCTAGAGGCACAACAACAATCTCACTGCTAGATTGCCTTTGAGGCATTATTATCTTTATGTGAGTGGTGGCGCGGTCTAGTAAGTCTACACCGATTTCGTGCAATGCTTAAGCGTCCTCTATTAAAATTGTTAATACTGGACAATAAAGCGTTCAAAGGACTGCACTCCTCACTTAGGATTGAAATCATGTTCTCAAAAATAACAAGTATCAAAAACTGTCGAGTCGTAGTATTCCGGGTTGCCACAGTTGCGATACTGGTGACCTCATTTATTCCACACTCTTTTTTGCCAAGCTGTACTAAGACTCCGTAGTCCGTCCGTCCATAGATAGAAAGGCACGGATCTAACTAATAGGTAAGAGTTACAAATATTTGATAAAACCTATATTATATTATATTTTATACCGCATCGTGTCGAGCACGGCAACCGCTACACAAAAATAATTCTTATACCATGATTCAGTGTTCACTTGCGACGGCGCTATGTCTTATTATCCGAATTGCTAAGCTATCAGGAGTTACACGTGTTATTGTGAGTTAACCATAAAAGATAGACATATGCTGTAAAACATTTTATTTAGACAATTTTATTTAAAATATTTCCGTCATACATAATTTCTATGTAAGTTTAACCATTAAGGTTACACACGCGACTGAAACTTACAAAAGGGAGTAACTTCTCCCGTTTTCCCAACATTTTCCTTCACTGCTCTGCTCCTATTATTTGTAGCGTGATGAAAAGTATCCTATAACCTGCCCAGGAGTATAAAGAATAATTGTACCAAGTTTTGTTAAAATCCGTCGAGTAGTTTTTGTTTCTATAAAGAACATACAGACAGACAGAGACAAAATTTTTACTGATTGCATTTTTGGCATCAGTAACGATCACTAATCACCCCCTGGTAGTTATTTTGAAAATATATTTAATGTACAGAATTGACCCCTCTACAGATTTATTATAAGTATAGATGTTGTACATGATTTTTATCAGAGTTCCAAAAAGGAGAGTGACTCTCAATTCGACTGTAACATTTTTTTTGTTTTTTCGTCTCCGTTATTTATGGAAAGGAGATAAAACTTGTAGGAGCGCGTAGTGCTTTTATATGTTAAAATCGAAATCTTTAATAATAACTTGACCATCTCCAAAAAACATTAAATCTTCAAAAAATATGTTAATATTTTTCTTTTTTTCTATTAGAACCTTTTTCATTACTGATCATTTGTAGGTATATCGTGTCGATAAATTATATTGCTCACACGAATACAAAAACATCGATATATTGGGATACCCTGCCCTATCTGAGTAGCAAAATAGTAAATGTCAATTGGTACAAGTGCATACAAATATGACATCTATTTCAAAGAAGTTAAGCGTTTTGAATAGAATGAATTTGTTACAGCGCCATCTAGCGTTGAGTGGCTGAACCCGTTTGTAAATTGTTTTATTTAAGTTTTTTACACGATAGGCGCCTTTATTGATTGTGACATGTGAAATGATAACAACTTTCGCTCATTGTTATAAGACTCAATTTTTAACAACATTTAAAAGATGATTTGCTAAAGTTGCGTTTCATCTTTTTACCCAATTATATAGCTGTTTTTTATGTGTGTAATAGACAATTTGATTTGCGAATGTGTGATTTTGGCGACACTGGTTTTCCTTTTGAAAGAGTGTAGGGGCACTTCTACTTAATTTTCTGTTCTGTGGCTTTTGATGACTAGTATTGACGTCGTGACTAGTATTTAGATCACTAAAACACAATTCATCTTCTGATGAAGATGATCAAGTCAGGATTGGCCGACGTCAATTTTATTTTACTCGTCATTAAAAAAGTACTGAAAGGAACAATATGTTTGGTAAGCAACCGTTTTTTACTTTTAAAGGTTTTATTATATGAACTGTAGTAATGTAAAATATTCTTCTTTACAGACCATGTGCTTTTTACGGATCAGCAAATTTGGCCCAAAATAGCAATGAATCGTATTCTAGATATTTACTACAAGTGCGATAATGGTTAGTAGATACTAGTAATAATTATTGTCTCTAATTAATTGACCGATTGTCATAACCACCTCACAGTTTTAATACATCCATAGATGTGCTAAATGCAGATAGAATGCGTATAATGCAACAACCACTTTTCACAAGTTGTGTCGAGAAAAAATACCTACCGAATGATGTAAATTTGTCTTTTTTTAAACCTAAAACACATTAATAGTTTTTAATTTCTACCTTTATAGCACTTCTATTTATTCCTGAAAGGGTTTTTTTTTGTGAGGGGAAAATCATCAAATGACTTCTCCCGCCCAAGGCCGGGCAGGAGGGAGTGTCAGACTCTTACTGACTAAAAACCCCCCTGTTCCTTCTCCTGCTCTGTGCCGAGGTCGCGGTACCTCATTGCGCTTACCCCGCAACCCCGGCTGAACATCAGCCCTTTAGGGCCCCGTCTGTGGTGGTCTATTGGCTCTTTGAGGCGCGCGCGGAACGCTACGCGCCGTACGCTCGGGCCAGGATCTGGTCGGGCGGCGAGCTGCCCTTACTCGCCGACCGCAGGCCCGTGCTTACGGTGGCCGGAGATCGTCCCTCGATCCCCGACGCCCGTAGTGTCGCCAGTTGCGGCTGCTGGGGCGTGAGGAGGAGGATTGCTCCCTCACGCGGGCCGCCTCTCTCTTTGCGAGCATGACTGCTTCACAAAAGGAGGAGACGGCGTCCCAGTTCCTCTCACTCCGCACCATGGCCTCGACTAAGGCCGGGCGCGAGAGGTCGCCGCCGCCGATCACTTCCCTGAGGATACGGCGGTGCTCAGCCCAGGCAGGGCATACCGCTACCGTATGCTCCACCGTATCCTCTAGGTGATCCTCACAATGACGACACTCGGGCGTTTCCTCCCGCTGAATCCGAAACAGGAACCTACCGAAGCTACCGTGCCCGGTAAGCACCTGCGTCAGACGGAAGGTGCTGAAGACGCCGTGGCGTCTCTCAAGCCACTCCTCAAAGAGGGGTCTTACCGCTGCTATGGTAGCGTGCCCGGCCCTCGGTTGCGACAGTCGTTGTTTCCACTCTGCCATGAGATCTCGCCGGAGCTCATTCCGCCACGCACTAATTTGGCGCGGCAGAGGATCTTCGCCCCGGCGACGCGCGTCTGCGGGCAAACTTTAGACGCGCGCGAGCGCCTTCGCTTCTAGATCCCACGGCGGTAATCCGGCAAGGAGGTTCGCCGCCTCCCCGGAGATCGTGCGATACCCGCAGATTACTCGGATAGCCATGACCCTCTGGGACGCGACCAGCGTACGAGCCGGCCGCCGCTTCAAGTCCGGCGCCCACACAGGGGCACCGTAGAGGGCCATGGATCACACAATCCCCATATACAACCTCCGGCAGGAGGCGTTTGGCCCCCCGAGGTTGGGAAGGAGCCGCTTGAGCGCGGCCCCAGACCGTTCCAACTTAGGGGCCAAACGACGAAAATGCTCCGTGAAGTTCCATCGGCTGTACCCGGTGATACCGGAGTGCCTCCAAAATGCAGCTCCAGGGCAACGAGTTGAAGGCGTTGGCGATGTCCAGAGACACCGCCACGACGACTCGCCTCTTGGCCAACGCAGTCCCCGTCGTGAGGTCCCTCACGCGCATGATGGCGTCCACCGTGGAGCGCCCTCTGCGGAAGCCGAACTGGCCGTCCGCTAAATCCGGCCCCCTTCCAGACAGGTGCCCGACGAGGCGGTCTGAGATTATCCTCTCGAACAGTTTTCCCACCTCGTCGAGCAGCACAATGGGCCGGTACGCGGACGGAGAGTCCGCAGGACGCCCCGGCTTCTTCACGAGGACCAGTTTACCCGTCTTCCACGACAGCGGACACTGGCCTCTCTCCAAACATGCGCTGAACAGACCATTCCTGAAAGGGAGGGTGGGTGTGTGTTCGTGTATTAATTATTATTACCCTTTACCTTTGATCAGTTAACTTCATTGGAGGCTTCAAAATCGGATATAATTTTCCTACCTACCTACATATTTAAACTTAGTGACTTTGTCCCCATCCACTTCTTCCAAGTAAACAGTATATATTAATGGACACCAAAACACTACGTTCTAATGGATTGTTTTATTATGAGAAATTGCAAAGTTATAATTTTTTTATTTTATTTTCAGAATATTACAAAATATCAAGAGTTGAAATCACACTTATAATAAACAATACAAGTAGTTTTGCGTTTTCAAAAGAAGGTGTAGGCAAATCTGAGTTTTCTGGAATTTTATACTTACCAACGCATCTTAATTTTATGATTTATTCAATCACTTTATTCTCATGCAATCCAATTAAAGAAAACACTACGCCGACGCCATCTCCTAGCAAAGCCGACACAGAATATACTTATATGCCTTTCCTACGTGACAAAGTAAAAGCAGACCAATTTTCCGAAACAATTAATATTTAATTAGTAAAAACTACAAATAATAAATAATTAGGTAGGTGTCGATATTTATTGCTTGTCGTAAGTTAGTTAGGTAATTTGTTAGTGATATAGTTATTACAAATATATGCAATTGTATTCTTAATGTTTACTTATAACTTAACTACAAACATTTTTGACAAGGCACAAAATAATTGATATTTTTTATTTAAGTAAATAAATCGAATAAATTACAGAGACGTACATACCCATATCTCATAATAATATTTTTTTAATCTTGTAACCCAACATTTATTGCTGTCTCGCTTGCGCTTATGAAATGTCTGTATAGCTATCCTGCTGTCGATAAGACAATGGTTGAAAGATATATTGACAGAACCAGTGATGTCAACTTGAGACCTTTTTTCCAAAATCTAGGGTAAAAATTACTAAGGCAGTTGTTATAGTGGTGAATTTGTAATTATCAAGTCTATTTGAAAAAAAAACATTAAATTACTAGTGTGTTGACTAGATATATATTTTAAATTTTAAATTAATGAAATAAAAAATTCATTAGTGACGTCGTACTATCTTTCTTATAGTAATAGATACTGTAAAACCATTTTTATTAAAGAATATTAAGATGTAAAAATCACTGGTTAAGTAAGCACTTACAGAATGAGCAATGTTAATGTAGACTTTTGTTTCTGCTATCAATACACAAAATCGTATTGTTAGAAAAAAACCATTTTTAATCATTATTTTCCTGGCTGTCAAAAAAAAATTTGAACATTTTCGGTGTGGAAAAGTGGGGTAAAATATTTTTGAGTACTGGCAACACAAGCTCCTACATAGCTGACAGGTATCTGAATGTAACGGAACGCTCTGTTTATTTACGTTCGCGAGTCAATCGCACGCAAATCACAATAGTCATTACGCACAAAAATAAAAATTCTCAGTGTGATGCTCTTTAAAAAGTTCTGAAGATGTTGTGGTATCTACCATGGTCTGAAAGTATTAAAAAAAGAGCCTGCAGGTATCTGCTACAACGATATCTGGGAAATTTCCTCGAGGAGAAACTGACTTTGGATCAGCTGAGTGTCGATTTGTACAATGGTACTGGGACAGTTTGCGATGTTAGCCTTGACTGCGATGTGAGTATATTTTCTTATATTGCTCCGTTTCCTCTAAAATGCCGCGATAAATAGATTTGTTATAACTTCGCGTTACAAATTAAGCGTGTTCACAAACTTGCCAATAAAATATGCGCAATACGGACTAGCACGTGTTATTATTGAATTTCAAACAAAGGACAACTTAGATCGTGATCACATTTCGTCACTGACTTCACTAATACGCTTGTTTATGCTTATCACTGCGTTATTTAACACGTGGGCTAAAAATTTCGTGAAGATGCCTGCCCTTTATTTATTCTCGATGGTCGCCTTATCTCGCTGCCTTGATAACAAACGAATTGTCAATCACAATTCTACATTAATTGAATGCATTTAATAAAAAATTACATGAGCAAATAGCAGTTAAAATTAGGCATATTATTAAACTACCCTCATAGTTGAAAAATTGAAAGAACAAAGAAAATTTTTCGTTTTTGCAATTTTTTTCCTTAATATGTAGTCATTATTTTAAAGTATTTCTTTTTAAAAAATGAGAAAAACCTCGTTTTTCAAAGCCTAACTAAATAAGCACTTTAAATAAAAATATGCTGCATGACAGTATAACAAAAATGTAATTTAAATTAGAATAGCTGTGTCAACAAACAGAATAATGAATGAATTAAAATCTATTTACTGAAATTGTTTGAAGTAAAATTGTTGAATTCTTGAAAATAACTTTTTCTAGATAGGGGGTAGAACAAGATTATATTGCATTAAATTATAAAGATTCTTTATGTACATTTAAACAATGCCAATCCATTGTTAAGACCAGGACTAAACATTTTTTTGTATAAATCACAAATTTTGGTCCTTAGTCCAGGTCTTCAATGCACATGAACAAAAGAAAATATTGTGTAAAACAACAAAAAAAAAGGGTACAATGACTGTAACCTTTTTTGTTATCATCTGTTGTACAAAAACCTGTTTATTTTTTTTATGGTGTACCTTGTATTGTAGGCTCTCAACGAGCTGGGAGATGCACAGAATTGGCCCTTGGAGATAGTGGATGGCTATATGAAGGAGATAACTGTCTCCATCCCATGGTCAACATTGTTCAAAGATGATTCCGTTGTCAAAGTCAATGGGTTGTCGCTTACCGTACAGCCAAAAGTACGAGCTGAACCAGGTAACTTATTCTGTTTATATTTACTACCTTAGAATAGGGTACCCATAAAAAATCATATTGATATTAACTTTGGGTTTCACAAAATTAAATAAGTAATCTCTAGGTAGGTTCTCTCTCTCCTTCTTTGGTTGAAAGTTTTCATCACCAGACTACCAAACACTATGAAATTAGGTTTGGAACCAACATAAGTTACTTTCCAGTTCAATTCTCTAATTGTGCATTATACTGACAATATTAAACCCAGTAACATAACAAACATGTGGATAAATAAAACATCTCAATTCATATAAACTTTAGCAAAGAAACATAATACTATAACAGGAGCAATTATGCATAGTTTTTGCTTAACATAACATATTACATATATTAATCTACATTTACCCTCATAAACACAGATCATTTATAAAACAACCTTCATTCATTACCAGCAGTGGTATTGTTGGCGGCAAAATATAATCTTGAATTAATTATAAACAGCTCAAAGTCATTAGAACAATACTTTAAATTCCATCCTTATGTAAAGGATGTTATATTTAAATTTTGCAAATACCCACACTACTTGTTTATTAAATAATTTTGTAATTAAAATTATATTTTGTCTGCACGGTTGGCGCGGAAGCTGAGAAACTGGTTGCCGCGCGGCGTATTCGATTCCTTCACGGAACAACCCTTTGTGTGATCCACTAATTGTTGCTTCGGGTCTGGGTGTGATGTGTATGTGAAATTGTGTATTTGTAAACGCACCCACTACACAGGAGAAACAAGTAGTGTGAGGCTACGTGTAAAAATATAATGTAATTTCGATTCTATACAATATCATTGCCCGAAAAACGTCATAAAGTTTTGTTTGGTGTATAAAACAAAATAAACCAATACCGCATCCAAAGGGCAGATTATATAATTTATTGACTAAGTTGTGCTCATATCAAATAAAGGCACACACAACATAAATATAACTAACTGCATCCGACTGCACTTCGCGCCTTATTTCCAAAAGAGGGTAGGTAGATTTTACAAATGAAGAATACAATGTTTAGCACATATTTTGTAGATCCCTTTTTACTGCAATTGGTAAATAGGGTGTGTGTGAGCCACAAATTGCTCTTTCAGGTCAAGGTTATGATATAGATATAAATTATGTAGATAATTCTGTTTCTAAATTCAGTCAATATCGCTTGTGCTATGCTGTGTTTATGAAAGGTTAAAATGTTAAAAACAGATAGAATACTCCTTTTCATGTTATTAATCTGGAGATGAGACCCTCAAAACCGGGCGGCCCACAGCCGATGTACGCTTTGATACACACAATAGAGTATTATTATTTATTATACACCATATACATACCTATACACAAAAGAAAAAGGATTAGAAGAAAGAAGATATAAACAAGTGGGTACTCAATCAAAATAAACTTGAAGGTGTTCACATGTTGCAAAATAAAACGACATTTATGATGAAAGCACGAATGTTAATGGTACCTACATTATAATAATCTTACTTTATGGGTATATTAACTAAATAATATTAAAAAAAGGTTTTTTTTTTTCTTAAACAGTATCATCGATGCTGGAATCGATGTGGTCTTCCATGTCCTCTTCTATGCAACTAGCCGCTGATTGTCTGAAGGAAGAGGATGGTCCCCAGGATTCCCACCCCGTCGAAGGCATTGAGATGTTTGCTCATGCCATTGACTCAAGTACGTCAAAATAATATACTGACTTGTTTTTTTATAGCCCGTTTACACAAGTGTTAATTTCATTAAACGAATGATTTAGCATTTTTGTGCAGTGCAAATTATTGATAAAACTGACAATTGCACGAAAAGTTCCTGTGTGTTAGCTATCTTAATTGCTCAACCACAGCCAAGTAATATAATTAAGATAAAGACTGTATAATTTTCTATTATCTAATGATTATTTGCTACCACATTAGTGTGAGTAAACAATAAAAATAAACACTAATACAATCTAATATTTACGTATGTACTTTCCCTTTTTGATTGTCAAGTACCCATTGTAATGTAAATAGGGTGAATGAAAATGCACTAACAAAAGCAACCACTAGAAATTAGAATTTTAAAGTTAAAACCATTGTTTTCATTTCAGTACTAAGCCGTGTCAAAGTAAAATTTGAAAACACTAAAATTCGCATTGAACATGTACCCAAAAACGGTGACCGAGGCATCGCACTTGAGGTCCACATAAAGAAGTGAGTATTTACTTATTAAACTTATTAATTAAATAAGTCACTAGGTCAGGGACGAAGTGCCGGCCGACATATTGTAGGGCCATTATGTAGGATGTCACTACAACTGGGCCATACGTATTTTTTGCATATAATATTGGTATACATTGTTAAGTTACTGCCTCGTAGTTCGCAAGCGGTCTCGATTCTGAGATCGAGCAAAGTATTATCTGGGGTTTTATAAAATGTCTCAGTTATAGCTCGGAGGCTGGACTTTTGCCCGGAATAAGTCTTAGTCTAACCAAAAAAATACATTTTATTATGTCAAACTAAATTCCAACATATGTATATTTGCCTATCTCCTAGGGTATAAAGTGCTAACAAAATAATTGGCGAATGTGACGAAATTTTTTTGCCCTCAATCACACCTTTCTTATTATTATTTTTAGTCCAAAGGTTTTTTATTAAAATTTATCAATTAACAAACGAACCAACTTCCGTGACATGTTATGTTTAAGTATATTTGTTGTTTTTTTTTCGATAAATTTTGGCACCTAAATTGTCATTTCGATATGACATTAATTTACGCACCTGATCAAACAAAGTGCTCATAGTTACTAATAGATAGAAATAAATAGTATTACATTTATTATTTGGTTTATACACAAAATAGACATATTATAAATCATCATCATCATCATCATCAGCCCCTTTCAGTCCACTGCTGGACATAGGCCTCTCCTATTGCACGCCACTGGGATCGATCTTCGGCCACTCGCATCCAGCTCCTGCCAGCCATCTTGCGCAAATCATCACTCCACCTTGCCTTATTATAAATAAGATAGGTATAAAGTAGATAAAACAAATAATAACAGTAATTAAAAAAAAAATAAAAAGCAGGTACTTAAACATTTTTTTTTTCAATAATGAAGGTGGTTTACCTAAGCACCAATTCATACTTTATATGCCATACTTAAATAAGTTCACTATATTTCTACAATACACCATAGTGTAATATTTTCCATTGCCCATACCAGACAGTTCAGGACCCTACAAATCTTGCCTTCAGCCAAAAAGTACCATACATACCTGAGTCAACAATCAGTAGTAATACACACCTAAATGATGTACTAACTACAATAATGACGTCACAAACTAGTTTAATTCGGAAAGGTCCAAAGTGAACGACATTGTATGCATTGGTACTTCCTTGTCAATACATTTGACCTCTCTTCGGGCGTCGGATTAGAATAATCTTAACGCGACGAATCAACGTCCTTCGATTTATCGCACATGTCATTGTTTCGTTTACTTTTCGACTGAAAACGTCGAATACATAAGCATTGTGTATAGTATTATGTACTAAACTTCCGATTTAATTGTTGTGATTACATTAAGTTACAAAATTGGCATTTGTAAGTATAGAGGTAAAAAAGCAATTAAAAGCAATTTGTTTATTTTGAATACCTACAAAAATAATTTTAACTTATTGATTTTACAATGTTTTGATTTTATTTATTATTTCTATGTAATTTAAAAAATATGTTACATCACAACTCCGAGTATAGTACAAAATTCATTCATAAAAATAAAATATGATTAAAAAAATTATAAGTAAATCTGTATTAAAGTTTACTAGTATGTCAAATACCTATTTAATCTAATACAACAATATCTCAAAAGAACTTAGAAATGATATCACAAAGTATTTATCAATGCACAACACTAATGTGAATCAACATTGCAATCTTAATACATTCCAATCCTAATTGTAACGGTACTCAAGGCTGCTAACATATATATATTGACTAATAAATCTCATACTCACATAATGTTGTAATAGAAAATGCTACATGTTACAAAAGCATTAAGGCTTTAATTAGCTTGTTAATTGTGATGATCTTGCTTTTGTATAATTATTAGTATCAAGCCGAAATTGAAATATATTTTTAAATATTGCCAAACAACTAGCGTATTATAAAATGATTAAGATTTTAATTAGATTGTTAATTAAAATGTCGGCATATCATGCGCAAATTTACCTTAGAATGACATTAAAATATATTGGCGGTAATTAAAAAAAGAAAGAATTTTTTTATTATAATATGTTTTTGACCACAAAATATCTCAAAAACTAGTTTCACTAATTATTTACTGTTGCTATTTAATTTTATTTTAAAAAATATCAATTAAAATTATTTGACATCGATGGCATTCTGTCTAATTAATCAACTTGTTATTTATTCATGACTTAAACATTATATTTCACGAACCACCACCATCATAATATGCATAAGTTTGTTCCCTAAAAATTAACATACGCATAACATTTTAGTATCGACTACTTCGACGAGGCCGGGACAGAACCCACCCCAGAAGTAACAGATCCTGACAAGCCGAAAACTTACATAGTAGCAACTTACACGAACAAAAAGATCAAATTCGATGGAGTCACGCTATACACAGACGAGTTCCCATCGAAACTGCGGACTATGGCGCGCAGTCTTATCATGGAGAAGTCCGTATCCTCACAAGCTGATAAAACTGACAGTCAAGTCGAAACTCCGGACATGAACTTCCAAAGCACGATATCTGATGTATTTTACGAGACTAGAAGTGTCATATCCACCATAGAAACCGACTTAATCAAAGAGGCTATCCCTGATGACAAAAGCCGACCGGAGTCAAGGGAAACGTCCCCTGATGAAAAGCTCAACCATCCTGATCCAATATTATTTGCTAAGTTAACCGGAGAACAGGAACTCTCATTGAAACTGAAACATACGTCTGAAGTGGAAGGGCCAAAGGTTGAAGTGAAGATGATATTTGGGTCCTTTATTGTGTTCATTACTCCGAGGCAGCTCCATACATTGATAGAGCTCGCTGATGCCCTCAATCAGCCGGATATTGAGGACACAAGGTATGTGGTACCTGATTTGGATGACACAAGGTATGTTATAACACTTGAAACTCATTTTGACTATGTATAATGTAAGTGTAGGGTAGTATCATATTTTCATCTTTCTGATCCATCATCAACTTTAGTAACTATTTACTTTTAACTAACTTTGCAAAGTTAAATGAGATTTATTCATCTTATAATATTTTATGCTATCTTTCTTTTACCCTTCTTACTTCGCTAAACACATACGATACATAAACTTACAACTATTTACTTTCTGAACTTTCTTGTTACTTTTAACCCATTTTCCTTTCAACTTTTTACATTTCATTAACCAGTAACATTTCTTTTAGAAATACCACTTTTAACAATGTGTTTTCCTCTACAGTAACATACCACTACGTCCTAGCGGTATGGCCCAGTGCAAGCCGATGAAGCCAGCCGACTTCCAACTGATAGAAGCTCAACTACTTGGCACCTTCGAGAGGCATAATGCGAAGCCTGCTGGCGGTATGTCTGGCTGGTCTGGGCCAAGTTACGGTAAGCACCACAAAGGAACAAGCTTTTCAAGTTTATTTAGTGCTGTCCACCTTTTAAGGTGATTAGACATTCATATATAACTAACTATGAGAGAGCTATGCTTCGGCATGAATAGGCCGGGCTTGACCAGAATGAAACCTCGGTCCCACAAAAAACCTTTGTGAAACAACGTTCGTAGCGTTGTGTTTCTCTCTTAGGAGGATGAAAAATAGATCTAAAATAAAAAGCACTCTATAGCTATTGGTTGACACATATGATTATAAAGCCGCTATTCTTATTATTTTTTTAAAATCTAATAAAATCTCATTCTTGTACAGACGACACAGAGAATGACAATGAGGTGTTCCACCCAATGACCTCGCAAGGCCACATGACGGAGAGTTTCTCGTCATCCGTCAGCTCAATGAGCGCCAGTATGACTTCTAGCGCCACTTTACCAACAGCTGCACCCAGGATCAAGAGAAACAAGAAAGGTAATAACCGTAATACGGAGTAAATAGATCTAGAGGGATGAATGGAATCACACCACATCATCAGCCTTTAAGTGCCCACTGCTGAGCTAAGGTCTCTTCTCATACGGAGAACGTTTGAGCATTAATCATTTCGCTTGCTCAGAGCAGATTGAAAATTTCAAACTTATAATCTGAAATTATAAGTCCTGGTTTCCTAGCGATGTTTTCCTTCACCAATGAATGGAATAAATACTGAAAAGAAGTAGATTAATAGATACAAAACGCAAGGTTAGTGCAGAGGCTAAGTAATACGCGGCTGTGACTGTGAAAGTGTCGTGAGTTCGATTCCCGCATTGAACAAATCTTTGCGTAATCCATAAATTGTTGTTCTGAATCTGGATGTTATCTGCATTTGACATTGCATGTTTGTAAACACGTCAAAGACCAAAGAGATTGCCCCAATGTTAAACAAAATCTATGCAGCCCGTTTTACCGTTTTTGTTTTGTACGTAAGCAACTATCATTTGTTCATGTCTAAACCCATGTGAAGCTTAGGTTAGGGTCTACTTCTTTCTTGATACTTCCAAGAATATTGTAAATTTCAAGAGTGGTTGCATAGACAAAGCCAAAGTATTAAATAAGTACTTTTGCATCTACAGTATTAGTTGGGACCTCTTTCGCTTAAACACACTTTCAATTCTACAATAGGTTTTGTTCAGTACTTTGAGTCTTTATTAGTTTCAGTTATTATAATTTACAAAAGCCTCACGTCTGACGTCATTACAATTTCGCCATTATAGCGCTTGAGTTTTGAAGTCCAAAAAAAAAGATCTTATAGTTATCATTTAACTATTTTAAACAATGTGCCTTGTTCCGGGCTAGAACAAAGAAAATGCATTTATCTGGTACCAGACGATATGCAAAAACTAATAAAAAGAAAAACTGTATGTAAAAAGTTGAAGCTATTTGCAAGTCATCTTTGTTACTTGCAACGCAGGTACATTTGTCCCTTTGGGGGGTAAGTTATCTAAAGTATGGGCGAGAACTATTATTATTTACTAGACAGACAGAACCGATTTCGCAAAGTTCTTTGTTCCCCACATTACCTTTTAAACTCATTTTTTTTTATACAATCCTCATTTCCGTCTTTTAAAATAATTGTAATTATTATTAAGTCAACAGATAAGATAAAGTTAGTCGTGTGCTTAAAGACATTTTAATTTTAACGACAGTTAGCTTTTACCCGCAATGCGTCTTATGGCATGATATTTTAATTATAAAGTTATGAATAAGAGAATCATGAGATGAGAGAAACATGCTCAAATTTTAGTAGTAACCCTTTTTCTAACGTGCCTAACGAATAATGAAGCGATTCTTTAATCAAGAAAAGAAAAAAAATAGTTTATGTCATATAAAAAGTATTTAGATGTCACAATATATGTATTTTGACTAATGGGCAGTCTGAGATTGTTAACAAAGATATTGATGCTCCTGCAGCTAGTCATAAAAGTAATGGAAGCTAAAGTTCTTTTTATTTTTTTATTTATACAGGCTTTAATCGTTAGATGACTATGTAGGTAACGGTAAGGTAACGGCTAAAGGTAACGGTTGTACTATAATTGGGTAGTTTACTAGGTCAAAAATAAATAAATTCGACATTTTAATACAAAAAAATATCGAAAATTAACTATAGTTTTATTCATCGATCGATTGATACACAAAATTTTAGATTTTTTAAGCTAAATTTTAAGAAATAAGTACTCTATTTGACGCAAAAATACTATGACGTCATAACTCAGTTTTTCATACACATTTCATAGAAAAGTATCGTTTTTGACATTTGGATAAAAGTATTGAATTTGACTAGTTGGAAACTACCGTATTTCTACCTACCAACATTGCCCAAAGTGTGATCGAATGTTCGCTTTAGTTTATTTGTTACTTATCCACTAATTCTCAAATAATAAAGCTAGAGAGTTTACATGTTTAAGCACGCTAATCTCAGGAACGGTTCGAACTAAAATGTTATTTTTGTGCATTTATAGACAAAACCCGCTCAAATCAAAGTTTAAAGTTTTTGCAAAAGCTAGTATTAATGGTGAGAAGACCCACGGTGGAGGCAGTAGATTGTCACTAGCTAATGATATTAATACTAATTATTATTATTTTAATTTCTAGTTCCTCATATCGACGGTGACCCTACAGCAGAGGTGTCACACATCAGCTTGAGAATAGCTTCTGTGGCCTGTGTGTTATTACATAAGGTATAGTAAATATGGCTTTAACATAAGGCGCCATATAACTTTTTTTAATCACCTTGGTCAGGGTCACAGGAAGAGTCAGACTTACTGACTATATACTACCCCGTTACATTTGTCGCTCCAAACCAAATTATACTTTTTGTGCTTTTATAAAATTGAGTCAATGGCATCACGAGTCGTTTCTGACAACCGCCTTTTTTTAAAAAACTTCTTGGAGACAGCTGTGCTTTATGTCCTCATTCAGAATGACCGACAGACTAACACTTTTTATCTTTAAGCTTTGTTTGACGTTTAAAAGTGGCTGTTCGAAGTAAATGACTTTGACTCTGAATAAAAAACTGACTGATGAAAAAACTGATTAATAAAATAATCTTAATGAAATAAATACATGGGAACAATTATTTATATTAAATTTAATTATCATTTGTATTCCAGGATATTCTAGTCCCGACATTGTTAGGTACTGATGTCATATCACCAAGCACGGCTATCAAGTTGCAAGAAGTAGCAGACGCCTTCTATGCAAGCTTGGAGCCTTTCTCCATTGTTGATGACTTCAGTGCAGCTAACGTAGCTCTTGATAGGACCACTGGGAAGAGCCATTTGAGGTAAACATAAAAATATTTAAAAACATTCATAATATTTAGATCTCCTTATTATAAATACATCAACAGCCGGTTTTCTCCTCACAAATTGTTCCGGATCCGCGTGCTAATGCCCCTTACACAGGAGAAATCACTGCAAAAATAAATATAAGGCAAAGTTTATTAAATATAAAACACAATTTTGAATAGTTTATCAAAAATAACTGTTATTTTGTTTGCCAGGCTACTAACATCAGAGATATCAGTGGACGGCAGTGAGAAAGTAACGGCAGTGGGTAGTCAGTTGGTCTGTGAAGCTTCCGTCAGACATATGCTTGTTAGAGAGTGTCTGTACTTGCCTACTGAGACCGGGGAGGAACCTCAGGGGTACGACCTAATAAGGTTCCAGAATAAAGGTGAGTTATATTTATGGCAATTAACTTCATTTTAATTTTTTTTAAAGTAGAATTGGTTTCCTTTACATTAGAAGTCAGTTCTAAGCCGTAACTGTACTTCTAATTTACAGGACCACTCAAGCAAGGCGGTCGTTTAACACTCACATAGTCTTATCTGAGTGTTAATTTGAAATGTTCCTTGTAGAAGTTAGCTTATATTACAAAAATATTATTGCAAAATTGTGCAAATAACAACTCGTCACTATCTATCTATTCTTTATGTGTATGGACGCAGAAGTTACAAACAATACATTGCAGAGGTTATTTTCACAACTTTCCAATTTAAAAAATGACAGAATATTTAATTTTTAAAATATTAATAAATTGGTGAGAAATGAATATTAAACTGTGACAGTGTGAGGACAGTTCCTTACCCATAAAATACTTAAACTTATAACGATATATTTTGTTCCCAGACGATGATGACAGCTCTAGTCAAAACGGTATGTCTCCAACCCACGCGAACGTTCGCATCACTTTCAAACAGACGTCTAAATATGCGCGCATGGCGGGCGAACAGAAACTCGTCAACCCTGCCACTGATATACTGTAAGTATTACTTAGATTTTACATTACAATATTCAATAAAGTTTCTACTGTTGTGTTTGAAATAGATCGAAGTTAATAAATAACTATCAACTCGGCCCGGTTTCAAACGGGAGCAATCCTGAAATTTCTCCTCTATTTGTAGTTTTTTTTTATGTAATAGCTCGGCAAACGAGTACACGGATTACCTGATGGTAAGCAATCGCCGCCCATGGACACTCGCAACGGATGAGTTACGACTGCGTTGCCGACCTTTTAGGGATTAGGGATTTGGAGATTTAGGGATTGAGGAGGGATTGGGGAAGGGGAAGGGGAAGGATTGGGCCTCCGGTAACCTCACTCACATGGCGAAACACAACGCAGTGGTTATTTCACGCCGGTTTTCTGTGAGGCCGTGGTATCACTCCGGTCGAGCCGACCCATTCATGCCGAAGCATGGCTCTCCCACACTTAAGTTTCAAAGATTTAAGCATACATAGGGACAGAGAAAGCGACTACTCTATCAGCGAATTCCATAACCTTCCATTTAGATAATTTCTTTCGTGAAAATATACTTAAATTTATTTAATTTAATATTCTGATTTAGGAAATGTTTCATTTGATTAGATGAAAGGTATTATCAAATTCTACTTTAGAAGTATTTGCATTATAATTTATATCATTTTTTTTTATTATGAATTTAACATGTTTGTTTGTTTGTTCTATCGTTTAACATATTCTTCCTATTTGCAGTATAAAATGTACGCCGTTCTACTTGGACGTGGAACTGACGATAGTAGAACGTATGTGGGGGACATTCTTCGGCGGGACCGCTGCAGCCACTACACCAGCCTCGACGAGCTCCTCCCAGAACCAGACCAGTGTCACTTTGCAATGCCCTGACCTTCAGGCTGTACTCAGGTACGACACACGAACTATGCTTTTAATGTGGATGAACTTTTAAAAAATACAGAGTTAAGTTCCTTGTGGTTTGTCAGTTTAGGTGGTAAACGATATTGGCATGTATTTTGAAATTAAAGAGATCGTATAAAATACATTGGCTACAAGGATTATTTAAAGATAAAGATATATTTATTTCGCAAATATGGGTAACAATCAAGATGACAAATTTTTAACAAGCAGCCATATTTTACCATTGGGCATGCAAAATATATAACATTGCTCGATAAGTTAAATAAAAAAATTAAAATTAAAACAATCTACAGCAAAAATACAAACTTAATACAGACTAATAACCTAATAACAATATAACTCAATAGCAATTTACACTTTAAGTTAGACATAATCAGTTTATGTCTAACTTAAAGCAGGTTAACAATGACATACAAAATCTTTTTCATTTAGAAACTCGTTTATGTTATAATATGCTTTCATTGCTAAAAAGCTACGAAGCCTTTTTTTAAATAATAGGAACGGCAATTCTTTCCACTTTTTTGGTATTTTATTAAAGATTTTTGGAGCCATGCAAAAGTTAAATTTAGTTTATTTGCTAGTTGTAAACATTTTAACCCCGACGACGTCAAAAAATGTTGTTGTGTTATAAGTTCGACGTGCTTGTCTGTCTGTGATTGTTTTAGTTAATTGCCTAAACAGAAAGCTTTATAAGATCTCAAAAGGAGGATCCTCAGACGAGGCGAGGATCAGCCTGACGAGCTACTGCCCAACAGTTGTACGTTGGGATTTTCTATCAGTGTGTAATTGCGCACATTTCCTTTAAATATACTTCTCACACTACTTAGATCGCCCAAAATATCACCTAAATAATATCTTTTTCTAGATTCCCAATAGCGGACCTCCGTTCCGGTATAAACCGTGAGTTCCGTCGCGTCCGGCCAGACTACTTACTGTTCAAGTTCCAAAACGCCAGCATCACCTCGCAACAAGTACCCAGTGCCAGACCTCAACCCACGACAGTCAGCGTACGATCCACCATACTGGACCTGTTTTATCACGTAAGTATATTAGCATAAGGTGGAAAATTGCGTGCAAAATCACTTGGATGTATAAATATTTGAAATTTTTCGCATTAAGTCCTCTAGTAAATATCGCTGAATAGGTATCATTTGACCATTAAATAATATGATCATATTTTTATTTTTATTTATTTAGTAGGTACAGAAATAGACTACAGATTAAGCATTACATATTATTATAATATTAAGAATACACATTATATAAACCTGAGTTCCTATTATATGTAGAAGTAGAAGTATTCCACATACGTTTATCGGGTCCCCGAACAAAGTTGTAAAACCAGGCTCTTATTAATTTTATTTGTCGCATAAAGAGCTATGGATATAAGTATGATAAGTTTTAAAAAACGACAGACGTACTTACAATAATTGATAGTTTGAAGTACAATGGAAATTGTTAGAGGAGGCCTTCGCCAAGAGGCACACTCAACTCAGACATATTTTATAACTGAAGAGACAACCACAATACAGTGGAAGAAGAAAGCAGTTCAGGATAAGGGGCTTATTATATATTATGTCGCATAAAACTGATATCCCCATTTTGTTCTGTAGGAAAATGACATATTCCCGGCTACTCACATAGCGCGCACTACTATGGACGACAACGTCACTGAAGGGAACATCCTCAGTGGACACGTCACATCTACCGCCATACCTACGTAAGTAACTGCTAGAATAAATTGAACGCCAATACTGTTATAAACTATGATTTACGCCCACTTTGATTCATGTTACAAATACTTTAATTTATTTTGTAGGGGATGTTATATTGTGTCGTCGTGTTTTTTTTTTCACTTAATCATACCTATATTAACTTTTACGTGACTACCCAAAAAATAGTGTTATTGAAAATTAGCAAAACATACAAACAATTTGAAACTATGATAACATCAGTAGCATAAAACTGTCGCAGTTATCAGCGCCTCTCCCCAGAACAGTACCCACATATCAATGAAAAGTGTAAGTTAGATACAGAATTTTGACTGACATTACGTGTGTATTGATACATCTTCATTTTGCAGGATATCAATAACCTTTAAACCCAAAATCCCGGCTAAAGGTCCATTCGACGGTTTCAACGACGAACCGAACTTCGAGCCGGCACACTCGAACCCAATGACCACATCGTTTTATTTAATGAACAACCTGAAACCCAAACACCCCAGTCCATTCAGCGGGAAGAAAATGGCGCACCAGAGCGTTACTAAACACGAAAACGATCCCCAAGGTATTTTGTCATTTTGCTATCTTTTACCCGTGATTCAACCAAAATACAGCTTTATTTTCTTCATGAAAAGATACATTTTATAGTCTATATGCGGTGCGTTTAGTCTTCCGTTATCCAAAGCCTACTAATTTATGGATACAAAATTTCAAGAAAATTGTTTGCGTGGACAATGAGTAAAGAGATGATAAACTCTCAAATAAACTTATTTTACTTATAACTAGTTTTCGCATTTATAATATCAGTTTCATCAAACTGTACAGTCCATATCTCAAATTTCTGGGTTTTTAAGATTTTCTGTTTACAAGGGTCTTTGCTGTCGACTCTATATTGCACAGTATCAAGTACAAGAAGTACCTTTAAAAACTCACTTCTCTAAATATTTTCTTTACCTTTTATGTTTCTTGCCCCGCGGGTATCGAAAGAATTCTTCTAGGACGGCTCTAAGCCACCCGTATCTTTTAAACTAATATACAACCAAAAATCCTTATGTTTATTTTGTTCTTTCATCATTATTATATGATTATAGTACAAGAAGAAGAGCTGATAGTCCCGGGCAACGAGGAAGAAATGGCAGAATTTACAAATAACTCCATTGACTTGTCGGCTATACATCTCGAGTTTATTCTACCTATTCTCAGCTTACAGCTTGAGTAAGTATATATCTATATAGAGTATTATATCTATATAGTATATTAGTGTTTATTTGCAAGAGTCTTGTACGTTTAATTATGTAAGACCACATAATATGGAGATGTTTGACTTTAATTGTATTCTAATTACACTACACTACATTTAATAATTTTATCGGAATTTCAGAAACAATATTTTTTCTATGAATTTTGGTATAAAAACGCAAATTGTGACTTCATCACATTTGTGAAGTTAGATACAGCATCATGAAGCACGTCGTGAAAAAATGTTTTTCATATTCATTGAAAAATATACCCTTTTTATGACAATGGGTTTATCGCTCGATACCTACGAATTTATATGAACGTGCTTTATATTTAAAGGCACAAAATAATGCTCTTAAAGCTGAGCAGTATATATTTTTATTTTATTTTATTTATTTGGCTCACCAACAATTGTTTACACGATAAAATATTAAATACATTCATCATAATACAATACTTGTGTAACAATCTCTTATAGGTAAGCACAGCATGCACTATACTACTTAGTTAAAGTTAAGATTACAGATTTCATACAAATAATTATGACATACATACATATAATAAACGATCAGTGAACCGCGAATACAAATTCGAAGAGAAATAATAAATTAACACAAATTTTTATTAATTCCCTCACATCAGATCAAAGCAGCTATACGAGATTATCTACAACCGCATAAACTCTGACCTGTTACTATGGGAGCCACAACCTGCAGAACAGTATGACATCAACCCCCTTCTCTACCCTGACCTCAACCCCGCCTTTGGTGCGTTCAAAGGCGTCGGAAATGGTGAGTAGAACTTTAAAAACTTCTTTAATATTATTATTTTAGGGCTGATTTTTCAATGGTTGGATAAAAGTTATGTACGGAATGTTATTATGATGCTGTCGCGTCAGAATGTTTGTATAAGACAGTAACAGCAGCAATTTTATTCCTCAGATAACATTTATCTGACTAATGAAAAATCAGCCCTAAACGTAATTTAGTTTATGTTTTGTTAATTATGTATAATACTTTATTTTAAGGTATTATTATTATAAGGTTATCTAATATTAAATGTTATAAACTCAGTCAGGTTAAGCTGATATGATGAATAAAATGTCTTTATTTTTTTACTAAGGCGAGTACCTAATTATATTAGTTAATATATGTTTCTGTGTGGTAACTTTCATGAGACATATTACATTAATTATTTATGTTAAACGGCTTACTGACTACTGCAGTCAGTCAGTGGCTCAATACAGCACATAAATATGAGCCCCGGCGTGGCTTGAAACTAATCTAGTTATCTTGTGGCACTGTTATTATGACATAAATCTTGAAAAAAATTTCTATAATAAATTTTAAAAGTATCTTTGAATGTCTCTTATAGTTCGGTGGATGCTGTACTATTAATTAGTTTTGGCACCCTACCTCACAATAATAATGCATTTTGTTTTTTACTGTATTATGATTAAGCTATCTTCAAGTTGTAAATATTTTAGTTTTTCATGTTGATATAAGCTATTTTTATTTTTATTAGATTTAATTATCTTTTATATTATTTTTAGCCATTTTAAATATTTTCTATTGCATATTAATTAGTTTTAAACAATTTTTTTATTTAATTCCATCTACTTTTAATTTTATTATCTTTTATTTATTTTTAAGTAGATTAAAATTTATGAATAAGTAGTTTATGTATTACTATTTATGCATGTGTATATATGTATGGTATCTGTTTTTAATTTAGATTCTGACACAGAGAGTACATCGTCAGAAGAAGAGAACAACTTGTACTACTCGACGTATGATAATAAGCTGCGCAAGGGCATCGGGAACTGTCGGCCGCACGAGGAGACAGAGACACATAACTTCTGTCTCACTCTCAAAGTCGGGAAAGGAGTGCTTACTATGTATACTCCTGTTAGGGTAAGTTAAAATTTCCTGATACAATATTAGAATATCAACAAGCCACATGGGAGTGTTATGCCTCGTCCCGAATAGGCTGCCAGATTGATACCACGACCTCACAGATGCGCTTATCACCGAGCGTTTGAGGTTTTCAGAGACCCAATCCCCTCCTCCAAAAAGGCTGACAGCCTTGTAACTCCTTTGGTGTTGCGGATGTTCGAGAACTGTGCCGATCGCTTACCATCAGGTGATCCGTCTACTCATTTGTCATTCCATCTCATAAGCCATATTTACGTTCATGTAGGTGTGTGACTAACTCTTAAACTGCTGAATCAACTTTAATTAATTTTGCTTTAAAAATAGACTGACAGTCTGTTTTCCTCAGCCCGCAAGTCAGATATTATTTAAAATTCACAGTGAGACTTACATTGGCTCTTCATAGCTATACAATAAAAACCGCACGCACACTATCAATACATAACACTGGCCTCTTTTAATTATTTATACTAAACCATTTCTTTTGTATTATAATTTTCTTCTTTAATTATTGTATTTAACATCTTATTCGCTTAACTAATGTCGAGACGATACGGATTTATATTCAAGAGTAACTACGTGGTAAATGTTCCACATCCATGGGTTGTAATATGTGGCTTGAAACTAGTCTAATAAACTGAATGTTAAATAAAATAATTGTATCTTTATCATATCAAATCAAAAATTGCTTATGCTTTTCATCCTTACATTCATCTTCATCACCTACACTTTTGATCTTCTATCACTTCAAAAGCTAAACAAAACCTGTTAATTTTTCTACGCAGGACAGCAACAAGCGCGTGGTCCCCGGACAGATGGGCGAGTTAGTACTGGAGGCGTATAACTTAGCCATGTGCCAAGTGAGCGGTCTCAATGGAAAGCCCAAGACGGCGCAGCTTTCTCTACGAGCCGACAGCACTACACTGTTCCATGATTGTAAGTGAATAATTGAGAAAATGCTTTCCTGCTATATTTTTAAAGCACACAGACACGAAGATGTGATTATATGACCTAGTATGAGGACTTGAAATCAGTAGTAACTAAAGGGCCAGCCACTCCGCTATTAGTCCTTTAATAAAAATTTTCTTCGCCATTTTATCCAAAGATAAATGTCCAATTGAAGACAAGTATCAAATATCGTACAAATATAAAATTTTACTTTTTACACACACATAGTTACAGTCCACATAGATATTTATTGATAATCCACATTTCACCTGAACTAATTTCTTCGTTGTCTACCAAACGTTGTCTCACACTAAGATTTTCCTCCTACGCCATTTTTACTTTACATACATAATTATAAAATAAAAATTTAAAAACCCAACCACTGCGCCAACTGTTCCAATTAAATCTTTAAACGCCTCACCCTTTTATCTCCTTTAGCAATGATCACGATACCATCAGAGAAGCCTCCGCTCCGTGAGTACGGTACCTTGCTACCGTCCCACCTAAAGAAGACCATCTACCCTTCTGGCAAAGGAGTAATCATCAAAGACAAACTCCTGAAGAAGGACATGTTCACTATGGCACTCAAAGTCGAGCCTGATGCAGAGGCATCTAATGTTAAGGTATGAATATTTTTCTGATAATTAAGATCATTAATCCTTATTTTACTAAGCAATAGTCAAGCAAGCTCGCTTCTCTACTGTTGTTATGAGAATAAAATTCCATACGGCAAACTTTGAATTAATATAAATAACATTTGTAATAGATATCGCTATAGTCTGGAATAACATTTATCTTGGTATCCCGGGTGAGCTCGCTGGAGAAAAGCTAGTTTTGAATATCATCATCAAAGAAATCTACCGTGAAATGTAGTAATTTTTCAATGCATTAGTTCATATTTTCACTTTTGCAATAAATTCTATCAGCGTGTAATTCCGTGCTCAAATCTATATCGTGCTAGAATCTTTATTATTACTTAAACTTTTCTTAGTACTTAACGATTTTGTTCTAAAAACCATTAGCAAAGGTCTGGGTTAAGTAACCATTCAATGACTTAAGTTTCAGATGTTGAATCATCTCCTTATTTTGATTTAATTAATAATCAAAATTTTCTTTAGAAAACAATAATGTAATTCAGTCATTCTTACACTTAATTTTTACCTTCTTTCTTCCTATACAGTCAATCATCATAGCTCTAGGCATAGAGCAGGCCACACTACGCTACAGAGGCGAAAAGGGTATAGCTTGGTTAACACAACTAATGGACGTCATCGATGTGATCGACTACCCCGTGCCGGGGTACACTCCCTCCACTGTCTTGTCTGAGTTACATGTACATGTCATGGACTGCGCTGTCGATTACAGGTATGTAACACAATATTATGAAGAATTTGTTAAGAACGTAGAATGTGAAACAATAAAAAACATAACTATTGAGTAACAATCTTAAACGCAGAACAATTGATAGGATTGAACTTGCGATAATTCTTCTAAGAACCACTAGCCTACTTTTACTAACTAGTCTACTGTTATATTAATATTTCGTTTCATTTAATCTTCATTTTTCATTACAATACATTACACGAAAATGTTTCGTCTTCTACTCAAAATCTTGAAGTATCTCCATTTACAAAATATTAAGTTTCGTAATTCTGATTTATACTATTAAGTAGGTAATACATACTCGACTAGTTAATTTTGATCAATTTCGTTTCTACCCTAACGATAACATTGGCTGCCTTTGGCCACATCATCGTTGACCACCAAGCGAATAGCCAATCACTGTTTTGAAAACCAAAATTTCTTTATTTCCAGACCGATCTACTTGCCATTCCGCACAGTGCTGACACTAGGCAACTTCAGTGTGTCAAGTAACTTAATAGCGGCTACAAACACATCGTGCCTTCGTTTCCTAGCGCAGGAGTGCACACTATTCCTAATGCACTTGAATGGGACGAAGCCTAATGCCGCAGTACCACTTGACGATGACAAGTTACCTGATATCGTGAGAGATTATGTTTGTGTTATCGATCTGGGAGTCTTTGAGTTGTCTCTCCGAATGGCTGATAAGTCCAAATGCGTGAGTATTTTGCTTTTGTATTTTTTATTATTTAGTAAAGCTTTGGTTTGGTGTAGCGAAGGATAAGGTTTAGCAGTGTTATAACAATGTTACAAGGTACTAACGACTGTCGACAATTTCTTTTCTTGTTCTAAAAAATTTTTTTTTTTCTCGTTTTCAATCTCGTTGATATAGTACAATATGATAATAATAATTTTGAAATTTCTTCATGGGATTAATGTACAGTCAGCCCAGTTATTTAGGTGACTAAAAAGGATTAATTCAGTACAGTATCTTTATATTGTAACGATGGCCCAGCTCAGTAACCAACTAGAGTAGTTTTTTTTTACACTACAAGAATCTTTCTCAAGCAACTGGCTACTTTCGCCCTGTTCAGCTTTATAATATTAGTACCTAAATACCTATAAATTTTGGAATTATTTGACATGTTTACTAAAGTAACTTTCAATCCAATTGCAGCCACCCGACCAACCGCATGTCGACTTAAGTGCCTCAAACAACATGGTGACACTACACACATGCTGGGATTCTGCGTCAGCACTGTGCCGACTGGTCACCTACGCAGCAATGGACGGCGACTCCCAACCACCGTTCGATCGATCATCTCGACACACCAGCATTTGCTCCGACCAACCTTTAGAACAATTAGTTGGTAAGTAATCAAGTGAGAGAACCATGCTTCGGCATAAATGAGCCGGTTCCATGTTAGTTATATGATACAGGAAACAACGGTTGAGTTATGTTTCGGTGTATAAGTGAGGTTGCCGCAGGTCCAGTGCCCAAATCCCACAATCCCTTAGTAGTACTGCAGGTGTCCATGGGCGCCCCATTCATCGCCTCCTATTCCATTAAAAAACACATAACGAACCTACTACCCGTGCGCGATAAGTTGAGACTTGAGCGCGGTGACGTCACATTGGCGTGTTTGTACCGCCCGCAAAAAAGCGAACATAACAAGCAGCCGCCCGCGGCTTCGTCTTTGTTTTTTTTTAACCTAATTTATTATGTTACTCAGGGAGGACGCTGCCATTTATCTAATCTTTTTTACACTATTCGAATATAAAATAGGACACTAGGTATTTAATTATGTATCACCGAAAGTGTTGACTATGGTTTTATAATGAATAAAAATACAATGTTTAAGTTTATACATTTATTTTATCTATTATTTACATTTGTTGTTCTTCGTCCTCAGTCTCACTATAATCACTTGACGAAGAGGTATTCGATAAATTTACAATTAATTGCGATTCATTTGTCTCTTGTAGGAGGTCATCATCCCAATACTTTTGTCGAAGCCTGTCCACATGGTTGACTTCTTTTTTCCAGTCACTCTCACTTATGCTGGTAATTGCATCTCTCGTTAATTTTTCTATTTCCCTTTCAGACTGGTTGATATTTTTATCGGCTACTCTTTGCTTGACCAAATTCCAAATATATTCGATTGGATTGAGTTGTCAATAGGTAAACAAAACTGTTTGTTCCGTTTTTCGTTTTCAAAAAACTCTAACACTTTTAGCACGAGGTTTCTTTCTCCGCTATGCAGTTTTACCCTTCACAATGATAACAAAAACACTTAACAAGAACTATAACAACAAAAAAATAACACACAAAATAACAAAGTAAAAAAATTTCAGAGCGCGTCGGTACGTGACGTAGGCCAGTTAAAAAAGGTATACCTAACAGGTAAAAAAGGTATAGGTAAACCTTTTGTATCTGTTCTGTGAGACTAAACAATAGTGATGCGAACGGTACAATACGGGCGCCATCGGGGAAGTGCAGGGGAAGCGGGCGGGGAGTCGCATTCCTAGCAGGTCTCAACTTATCGCGCACGAGTAGTAAAACTCCTCGATGTTTCGAGTGTGCATACGGACGACGCCTATAATTACCATAAGGTCTAATTTATCCGATTTCAACCAACCTGCCAACCCTAACTTTGTTTATGGATCACCAGTCTACGCTTTCCCTTTCAAAGATTAAAAGACAAAATGTATGTTGCGTGGCTACTATATAACTATATTTTTTTTAAGGTCTAGATGACAAACCCGTCGAAGAAATAAGGGAACTTTCCCCGAGCGAAATTCAACAGGTCAACGACCTCATGGCTGAGGCTATGAAAGAGAGCCCTAACACCACTTGTAAGTCGCTTACATTGCTTAATACTTTAATATTTATTAATCCACAATATTTTAACATTTCTCACTAAGTTACTATACTGCTAAAATGTTGCATTAACTCTTTATCTTATTCAACTAACTACTTGTTTTAAAACAACTTTCTCAGAAATCTGAACGAAATCTTACTATCTATATATAATATTATAAATGCAAAAGTTGCGATGTATGTATGTTTGTTACTCAATCACACCAAAACGACTGGATGGTAATGGATGAAATTTGGCACAGACATAAGATACACTCCGGAATACGACATGAGCTTTTTATCAACATACCATGCAATGTAGTATCTTTAAACCCCTTAAATTTTTTCCCAACATAAAACTCTACAAACTAATCATCTGATTTCAGTGGAGGAAGAGGAACTCCAAAATTCAATGGAGGAGAAAAATAAAACTACGGAAATATTTTACTTCCCCGATGAATCCAACATGAAGCGAAAGCCCGTCTGTTCAGAAACATGCGACGAGGAATCTCGCTCCACGGCCTCCGATGAATTACCTCCGAAATATTTCAGTGAATCAGACGGAAAACCTACTAATATACAAGTTGCTAATGACTTGGGAGACCCTTCGGCTACTCCTAAGGCCACACCTCGCAGATCTAGGAGGAAAACGGTAAGCTTATTTCAAGTCTAGTTGTAACTACCTGCTTATTAATTAGTTTAATTATAACTGACACGCTTAAAGTTAAAGCTCTTGAAATACCTTTTCCTTTTTTTTGCTCGACGTTCAGAAGTGCCTTCTGTGGTCTAATTGAAATAAATGATTTTAACTTTGACTTTGAAACTTTATTACAGTGAATTACTTTTCTACTTCCCACAATGTTTGTCGGTTTTAGCCCATTATTGGGTTTGGTATATGAATAAACATGTTCGAATAATAGTGTAGAAGTGAAGACCTTTTAAGTTTCCATCCGAGCTTCAAATCACATTACAAAGTATTAGTAAATATTTACCATTTAAGGCTCATATTCTTGTACAGTATTTTATGTGTCGCGTCTTACGCCGCTAAAAACATCATAATTAATTTAATATTAATTAATAAATTAATATATCTCACGAAAGTTATAAACGCAAATAAACAATGTTATTGATATTTATTTTAGTGATATTTCGGATACGGAATGGATACGGTTATAGGAATGATTATTATACTGCATACGGTTACGGATACCGATATGAAATTATTTCGGATTATCCGTTAGTTTCGTATAATTACAGTTACGGATAAATTTTAATAAAATTCAAAACTAATCTCAATTAGGATCCGCCACTATCCAATATAATTCGAAATTTTTATTTCGGTTTCGGTTACGGTTACGAATATTTTTTTCCAAGTCAAAGTCAAAATCGTTTATTCTAACTAAACCATAAATAGGTACTTTTGAAACGTCAAAATAGAATGGTAGTCTGTCAGTCATTTTGTCTGTGAAGCTTAGGTGCTCATTCCAATTGTAGATTCGAATGGAGAAGAACGAGTAAGAATATCCATTTTTTATATTGGATATCCGGTAGTTTCGATAACGGTTACGGAGCTGCATTCATCCACAATTCAAGTACATTTTCTATTACAGACAAAATCAAGTAGCGATGGTGGGAACACGGACGATGAGTTTTGCTTCGTGGATCCTCAACCTATGAACATGGATGACGAGATGGATGATCCGGGCGTGAAATGGGCAAGCCTTAAGGCCATCGCTCCAGAGACTTATTTCACTAGGCCGGCGGCCAGGGCTGATGTCCTAGACCCACCTAAGAGTTGCCCACCACCCATGTTAAGGTATTTTATTACTGAAATAGACATGATGATTCAGTCAATAATTATATTTTCCCCTTATAAACATATTAATAATGCAATTTAATTTACTTTATAATATAAGCGAAATAACTATTATATTTGACGCAGAAAAAAGAATGACGTCACGACCATGAATGTCGAACAAAATTCATAGAAACATATCAGTTTTGATATTTCTAAAAAAGTTAAGAATTTGGTTAGTTGTAACCATCCTATGTGTATGAGATATAGCTATGCTATTGCAGAATAAGTAAGAACTAGGTTTGTTTAATTGCTTGGTGCTTAAGTTTACGCATACGCTACGCCATAATATTATCTGAACAACATCATAATATCCACTTTTTAAAAGTTATGTTATAATATACGTGTAATATCATGGGTCAAACAATACACGGTTACCAGACCGTTCCTCATTAAGATGGATCAAAGATTGTTAGAAAACCGGAATCATATATGACCCTTAAGTTTTTGCCATATCAAGGTTCTAGGGTATCATAATCATCTTTAACATTGTACCTTTTATTAAAAACTAGCGGCCCGCCCCAGCTTCGCACGGCTCTTCAACTATTTTGCTGACAACGAAAAGATCCCGATTTCCCAGCTCTCTACTCTACTTTTCTAAAACTTTCTTTCATAAGAACCTTCACCGGACAATAACAATCATACCAAAAAACAGTTGGTAAAATTGGTCCAGGCGTTGCTGAGTTTTGGGCTTACCGACACATTTTCGATTCATTTTTATATACAACTAGCGGCCCGCCCTCGCTTCGCACGGGTCCAACTATCTCGCTATCAAAGGGTCACTTTTTTTCTAATCTCCCCCTCTACTTTTCTAATATTTTCTTTGATAAGGACCTTCTCTTGACAATAACAAACACAACAAAAAAAGAATTAGCAAAATTGGTCCAGGCGTTGTTGAGTTAAATGCGCTTACCAACACATTTTGCGATCCATTTTTATATATAAGATGAAAATTGCATACAGATACAAACTATGCGAGATGAGCATAACATGGAACTTGTACGGAGGTAACGACTTCCGAACTGTGGACCAACCGCTACCAAAGAAGACGGTCACTATCGAAGGCGACCCTCGACCACAAGGATCTCCCACAACGTCCAAGTTAGTATGCCCATTTTCTACGATTAAATTACACGTTTTGCTATTTCTTTAAATGTTGCTCCACACTAGGATTTTCTCCTGTGTCGTGGGTAAGTTATTAAACATACACATGACAGCCAGATTTGGAACAACCATTTATGGATCCCACAAAGAGTTGTTCCGTGCGGGAATCGAATCCACGACTCGTTGCGCGGCGATATTAAGTTTTTTGTCAACTTCTTACTGAATATGACGCTTTATGTTAAACAGACGTAACAAAGAATACGAGCCGTACGAGTCAGGGCGTGCGGCTACGGCGGCGTATCGTTCAGGCGGCGTGCGCTGGGCGGCCGGCAGTGACCGCGTCCGCGCCGCCCGCGCCGCGCCGCGCCGTGACCTTAGGGAGCGAGGGGGGGTACACAGGGACCATAATACTAAAGTCAAACTCTGTCTCAGCAAGGTATGTATGACACGTAATGCTGAACATATGCTATGCTGCAAAATAATCTGGATTCAATTCTCCCAAACTAAATTTCTTATCAAAAGAGTAGTCTGTGTCAAAAAGTATACTTAATTAAAATACACGATAATTTTCTTTGAGTTCGAATACCGTGTTTGCTGCAGACCGCCTAGTAAAACACAAATAAATGCACTGCTAATACTTAAAGAAATAAAACTTGTGCTATTAAGTGGAAAGTAAGTGTTAGGGAAAATATTTAGTTTTAATTCCGCGACAAAAATCCAGGCTTGTTGCAGGATGCAATCCCACTCCTATGCAATCATGCATATGCACATGCAGCAAGGGTCCCACCCTCCCGCCCACATGCATATGCACACATACACAAAACGGAAAAACATGCCACGCAATCAAACCTATACTCGACACGTGTTTCGCCCCTCCACAGGGCATCCTCAGGAGATGTTGACTCGACGAGCGCTCGGCGAGTCGCGGAATTAAAACTAAATATTTTCCCTAACATTTAATGTCATGGATTTCCGCAAAGTAACGCCTGATTCTATAAATTATGGAAAGTAAGTAGTGGCAAAGCAAAATAAGTACAATTTAAAGAGGAAACTTTGATATGAACTTAAATAAAGTGCAATGTGTTCAAGACTACTTAAATTTACATTAAATTAGATATTCATATACTGTAGGCAATATAATTTGTTGTATTCTTCAGGTAAAGTTCATATACGAAGTATATCCATCGGGCGGAATACCCGCGTCTCGTCAGACACTAGCTATCAGTAAAATCGAAGTGTTGGACCAATTAGCATGCAGTGATATTAATAAGCTGCTCAGTCAATACAGGCTTAAGGATGAACCAGAAAGGAAACATGCTCATATGGTAAGGGATAACCTGCTTTATTACTATTGTGCTAAGTTTAATTTCCTTTGTCTTAGAAAAATATTATTCATTATTTGAATTTGGAAATGTTTAGTATAGAAACCAACTTAATTCACATTCAATTTAATGAGGAACAAAATAAATAAAGCTTAGTTTTACCATTAAAAATTAAAATTGGATATAATTTTCGATCTGAAATCTACTATTGTCAACCCTTAAACTTCTGCCATAAGGTGTTAAATCCTTTAACAAATATTTTTTGTAAATTTATTTCAATGCCTATTTCTGCCATAATCAACTCTAAAACACGCGTCCTAAGCTATATAATCCTAAAATAAATATTTTACTCCCACAGCTAGTAATAAAAGCCGTGCATCGTCGGCCGGACCCTGAACTACCAGCTCAAGAATGCTGCTTGAAGGTGTCTCTCCTCCCTCTATGGTTCAACCTTGACCAAGATACTTTAAATTTCCTCAACGGTTTCGTCAACAAACTCGGCTCTGATGAGTATTTAGGTAAGATGAATTTGCGTTTAACATTATTTTATTTACCGGCTTTTATTTGCCTTGCTATGCATATGTATATTTATGGAATCTTGCTCGAGCTAAAATTTCGTATGCTCTTTCAATTTGCATATCTGGCTTTACAGCCAAAATATGTTTTAAAGTATTTAGTCTCGGGTCCGCCAGTAACATTGTTTTTATAGAACAAATTTTAGAAATAGATCTTCAATCGATAGATTTCGCGTGTAATAGATCGATATTAATCGTTATTAGCGGTCGCTTGTTCAATCTACAGACGTCTTTAAGGAGGGGAAATCATTAAATGACTTGAGCGCTAGGGAGTGCCCGCTATTGACTAAACCCCCCCCCCCCCCTCCGTCCGTGCTCCTGCTCTGTGCCAGGGCCTCGGTGTATAATTTCGCTTGTACCCGCAACCCTGAATGTTAAGACTATATCATATAGTTATAGAGTATAAAAGTTAATTGCATTTATCTATCGCAAAATTTCGGTTTCTACCTCTCCGTACACTTCTAAGATTTTTGTAATATCTTTATCAAAATTTTATCCCCCGTTAAATCAAAACAGAAACAATCAACTTAAATATAAATTTCTTTATCAGAGGAAGATTCAAAAAGCGTGGGAGGGTTATCGACAGACTCGAGTGGTTCACGTCAAACGACGCCGACGCACCGTCCTCCAGTGATGAGCATCGGGAAGGACCTTCGAGACCCTCCGCCCACACCTTCGTCCGCTGGAGACGCTGATTCTCTCAATGAGGGTGGTAAGTTACAAAAAAGAAGATTTTTTTTCAGGACAATACTTTTGTATGCCATTAAAAACTCGATTATTATCTTAATTGAAATTCTATACTATGTTTAATTCAAACAAAAAGTAAATAGAGACGATCCAGCTTCCTAACTAGTTGGCACAAAATACATCTATATATATAAAAATGAATGGCAAAATGTGTTGGTAAGCGCATAACTCAAGAACGCCTGGACCAATTTTGCTAATATTTTTTGTTTTGTTCGTTATTGTAAGGAGAAGGTTCTTATGAAAGAAAACTTTGGAAAAGTAAAGGGGAATAGCGGGAATTAGCAACCTTTTTGGTGCCGTACGTGGCCGTTCGCTTGCAAAACAAATGACTGACACCGAGGTAGTCTGATATTCGTGCGAATCAGGGGCGGTCTGCTAGTAATTTAATATAACTACTATGGGACAGTTTTGTTAGTTTCTGTCTACTTAAAAAGTAAATTAAAATAAAATCTCAGTATCATAACAATTTTGGTATATCATAAAACGTAAATGCGAATATAACACGTAAAGCTCCCTTAACTAAGATCCTCTTTCGTATACAGTGTTACGGAATGAAGAACCTCTAATGGAGACTTACGAAGCCGAGCGTCTCGTATCTGAGAACCTCATCCAGCTGGAAGAGGACTTCCAAAAAATGGGCGTACAAGAGAAACCGACCGCCAAAGCAACTGTCGACACTGAGCCTTTTGACGATTCACCGATTTACTTCCGGTAAGTTTCTTTTTATATGTTTTACTATGGAAAGAACTTACGTATCACCCGATCTTAAGCAATTGGATCCGTCCATGGACAAATACAACACCAAACGAGTCAGAAGTGGGACGTGGGCGTGGCACGGGACGGCTACAGCCTACCGTGATTTTACTATTGATACATACATCATTATATAGCCATACAAATTGTAGTTCATACGCGAATAATCTCATTCGCTTTTCACCAAAAAAGTTAATATTGTTCTAAGTCGACGACGCAGGTGATAACTGTAACATAGAGCCAAGTGTAAAGAGTAATATTAAAACACTTATTTCTGAAACCAACATTTTCTGCTTTTTAGTGTATGGTATTATATCCGACTTAAAGAAAGGGATGTTCTTAACAAGATATTTTTTTCTAGGCGCTTTGTGTTCTGCCCCGAGGTGCCAATTCGGCTAGACTACGTGGGCAAGCGAGTGGACCTGTCCGCCGGACCTATAGCCGGCTTGCTCATGGGGCTAGCACAACTCAACTGCTCTGAACTTATGCTCAAGGAATTTGACTACAAGTAAGTTGTCTTACAATTTTCATAATCACTACATCATTGTAGGTATTTTGTAAGGAGACATCATCATATTTCGGATACAAATAGATAAGTAAACTATTTGTATCCGAAATATGATGATGTCTCCTTATATCTGAAAAAAAAATACTGGATATAAATAAGTATTTTGTAGTAGATTAGGTACTAGATATAAGTATTTCGTAGTAGTTTAGGTACTAGATATAAGTATTTCGTAGTAGTTTAGGTACTAGATATAAGTATTTCGTAGTAGTTTAGGTACTAGATATAAGTATTTCGTAGTAGTTTAGGTACTAGATATAAGTATTTCGTAGTAGTTTAGGTACTAGATATAAGTATTTCGTAGTAGTTTAGGTACTAGATATAAGTATTTCGTAGTAGTTTAGGTACTAGATATAAGTATTTCGTAGTACATTTTACTAGATATAGTATTTTGGTAAATTAATGAATAAAATACGATAATTTTGAATATTTAAAACGTTGAAAATTTGAAGCAAAATAATATTGACTCAGTAAAACAACCTAATCTTGCAAATCAGTCCAGTATTCTACCTAGTATTTCTATTTATAGAGAATTATGTTAAAAAATTTCAAGTGTACTGATAATAACATTATTGTGTTTCAGATTGGGTTTACTAGGTATAGATAAATTATTGTTTTGGGCGGCCCAAGAATGGATAACGGACATCAAGCGAAATCAACTGTCCGGACTACTCGGTGGCATTGGACCCATGCATTCATTGCTGCAATTCAGTAAGTTACCTTCAAATTATTTCGATAATATTCATAATCTTATTTTTTCAAATAGTTACTTTGAACAAGCGGCCAGTAATAAAACTTGTATTTTTCTTGTATGTTATTTGAATGTAGCTTTCCATTGTAAATTGTTTGAGTATTATCATACACACATGAATTTCTCCTTTTATAAGTTTGTAATAATAATTAGTGAATAATTAATACGTGTGTATTTTTTTATTTATTTAGCTATACGCGCTATACGCTATTCTAGCTATACGCACTATACCCTATTCTAATATGGCTACAATAGCTAGCCGTTTTGTGACGCCAGTCATTATTTTCTTATGCAGCCATAAAAAGCCTTGATGGTGGACACCACACATCTTTTCTCATACGCGTTAACTTTAGAAAAGAGAAGACCAGACTATTGGTGTGACCTTTCAAGAGACCTTAATCCATCAAACTTCAAGCGAGCGTGCATATCTATTGTGTATCGAATTACCACGATTGAAAGGTCAATATTGTTTAGTAAAAATAAATGTAAAAATCCTAAATATGGTTTAAAATTGTGTTTCGCAGTCGCGGGTATAAAAGACCTGATCTGGCTGCCGTACGAGCAGTGGCGGCGCGACGGCCGGCTGGTACACGGGCTGCGGCGGGGCGCCGCCTCGTTCACCGCGCGTACTGCCGTCGCCGCGCTTGATATTACTACGCGACTGCTACAACTCATACAGGTATACTTGCTCTACTATACATTCAGGGTGATTAATCTTTGGATTTCCCGTAAATTTTTGTATGTGAGACTGTTACTGACTAAAAACACTCCCCGATCCTTCTATTGCTCTGAGCCGAAGTCGCGGTGCCTCATTGCGGTTACCCCGCAACCCCGGCTGAACATCAGGCCTATAGGGCCCCGTCTGTGGTGGTATTGGCTCTTTGAGGCGCGCGCGAAACGCTACGCGCCGTATACTTGGGCCTGGTTCTAGTCGGGCGGCGAGCTACCCTTACGCGCCGTCCGCAGACTCGCGCTTACGGTTCCCGCAGATCGTCTGTAGAAATTTGAGTTATGTCTGTGATCTTGTTCAGCCTGTATACACTTATTTAATTTTCATAACAACACAGATTCGACTTTTATAAGCGCACATTCTTATCACCTCTAGTAGTACATCAGCTGATACTAGACAATATTTATCACAATAATTAGTAGAATAGTGTGACGGAGAAGGAGGCCCAATCTTCCCCAATCCCAAAATTTTCAAATCCCTAATACCATCACCATCCACAGGAACAGAGTTACGACTGCGTTGCCAACCTTTGGCAACGCTTACCAAAGTTACTGGCGCTGAGTGCTTACCACTCATATGTTTGCCGATCTATCACATAAAAAGGAATACTGTCTTTAACACATTCAGTGCCAGCGACTCGCCTAGAGAGTCAACGTAAATTTTATTCCAGCGCCTGGCAAGTTCAACGTAAAATATATGACGATTTGGCGGCAACCGAGATTTCATAATGAAAATCGTAGTGGTAATGAAAGTGTTAAATACACTATATAATAAAGAATATATTTTTGTAATACAGGCCACCGCAGAAACAGCATTCGACATGCTGACCCCGGGTCCGACGCTCCAGTTACAAGAAGCGTACGCGCGTCGCGAGCGGCGCCGGCGGCGGAGACACGACCCCGCGCGCCACCCCGCCGACATTAGGGAGGGGGTCGCTAGTGCCTATCAGACTGTGAAAGAGGTACGTATTTAGTACTAGGTTCCTAGCGATCAGCGTAATGTTTTATAACCTATATCTTTCCTCGTAAATGGATTAACAAACACAAAAAGAATTGTTCAATTGAAACCAGTAGTTCCGGAGATTAGCGCGTTCAAAGAAACAAACAAACTTCAGCTTTATATATTAGAGTTTGTAGAAGGAATAACGTTTAATAAAAAAAAAACCCCCCGATCTCTTAGACTCTCGATATAGCGTAAAAACGGGAAACACAATAAGTAGTAAATTTTGTGTTCGAACACCCTACTAAACTATCTACAATTTACCAGTATACATTAAGAAAAGAAATCAAATTATCTATTTGAGTCCTGCTTAACCCACCTTTGGAAATATTTTTAACTAACATTCCCAAATGCTCGCGATAACTGCCGATTTTCTTCGGTGTAGCATGCCGCATGAGACGGGCCTGTCGATAAGTCATGAAAGCTTTGAGTATGTGCGTGCGCTCTGCCGCCGCGTCGGCCATCATCGCGGCGAACAATTATCCTGTTATTGTCATTACTCGCCGCGGCATGCCTTGTTATTATTTTACTGTTCTGTGCGCCTGCCTTGAAATGCCCGGCAAATAATGCAATATAAATATGTGCTTTTTATAAAATATCAGGCGTATATTACTAAGATACTGATGTCGTCTGCCAGTCTGTCACATTAGATATAGATATTTCATGAATAGCTAAACTTAGGCAGAAAGGATATAAACTAAGAATAATTACAGAACGGTAGTTCTCTCCAAAACGGCCCGTCAAAAGTGAAGCAAGATTCAAATTTAAGCGTGCGTAAGATTATTGTAGTAACGGTTGACGTTTTTTTTTATGTTTTATTACAATCTGTCTCCTCTGTGGGACATTCAGCTGCATGTTGGTTGGTGCTATTGCTGGCGCGGTCGTTATGTGACCTTTGTCACATCCTTTGTCCATGTTGTTTAGACAGTAACTGTGTTTACTGTGATAGGATTAAATATTGAGGTATTTTACGCTTTAAACGTCGCGCTTTGTTGTGGTTGGCCATTAGTGGCCGGGCCAGAGTACCTATTTGGATGTCATTCGATGCGCTCTTTATAAGTTTTGGTATGGCGTACAATTTCCTGTTTCACTATGGGTAGGCGTAGGTCACGGTGTAATATTCGTTTGGTACGAATCAGGGAGCATTGGTTATCATCCGGAGTGCTTTATTTTGAAACCTTTGTATGATTTCAATGTTTGAATGGAATGCAGTACCCCACAATTGGATTCCATAAGTCCAAACGGGCTTCAGTATTGCCATGTACAGAAGTATTTTATTTTCGAGGGATGGTTGGGACTTTCTTCCGATGAGCCAGTAAAGATTTCTCGTTTGGATTCCAAGTTGCTTTCTCTTAGTGAAAATATGTTTTTGCCATGTGAGCCTTTTGTCCAAGTGCAATCCGAAGTATCGCACATTATCTGCCTGTGGCACTGCAATGTTATTTAATGTGACTGGCGGACAAGATTCCCTCAGCATAATAATTTGTGCGACCTTCAAACGTGCGACGGTTGACGTAACGCACACATTGAACAAAATAATTTATTTATTTATTCGTTTGATCTTACAAGCTAACAGATATATATCCAAAACGCTTACATAATTAATTTAGTGAACTAATTAATTTAACGAACATAATTAATGATATGACAAAGTAGACAAAAATAATGCTGTCATTACATCAATTTTTCCCTATAAGTGCGGAAATTGTATCTCTTACACAGGTACTTAAAGCCGCTTACTTTATTATTCTTTAAATGAATAACTAATAAATATCCTGCCCGTGCTGAATAAGTTCAATAACTAATGAGTTATCATTTAAGTTTTTTTAAATATTCATGCATTTGAAATTATATGCAATTTCAATAAAAAATACCGAAAAAATAAGCAAGTAAGTAGTAGATAAATATTTGTTAAATAACATTTTGTGCATTTTCTTTTTTGCCTTATTGAGACGTGTTTCACCTTAAATAAAACACAAAATGTAGGAGATTTTTCCCCATAACGGCAACAATTTCATGATCTGTCAGTAACAAGATATGTTTTTTTTTTCATTTTAAATAATATTTACGAAAAAATCTAAGTAACTTCTCCGTGAAATATTATGTTATTAAGTTCCTTATGCAGTTCTAATGTGCTGTGACATCTCTTCATTGCGCAATCCGACGTTATTAATAAAAATATCGGGAGTAGTTTTCAATGCAACTCGAGTTTGACCACTGACAGGTCGCCTAATGAACTTGGCCTCGCCTAATGGCTATACTCGGAATTTTAATTCCATTTCAGATTTGACAATTTCAGTGTTGCAACGTTATGACACGTAATAAATAGTGACGTTGCGAAATTATTCGATACGGATATCGAATATTTCTGAATCGATTCCTCTCGTTTATAAATTTACTCTCGTAAACTAAGTTTATCAGGCAATAAAATATTTTTGAACCGATAATTTAGTTTTGACAATTAATTAACAATCTGAGACTTTTCTTTTATAATTGTGTGTGAAATTAATAAAAAATGTGATCATGAAGGAACATAACAAATAAAACAGACATTTTATAAATTGTCGCCGTCATCGCTATCGCTATCGCTGTTACTTTCTGTAACATTTATTATGAATTGTGTCTGTGATATTTCAATTCAATTAACATATCTAGCTTACTCATTTTTTCCTCTTCTTTGACAACATGGGATATGCATTTAGACCATTCGGTAGCCGTAATTTTTTGAATGCCTTCTTGAAACGAATTCACTGATTGTTTATCGATTTTTGTGTTCATCACTACACTTCTATATGTGGTATCATTATTTCACAAAATGACAGTAGGTCATTTCAAATCAGGAATCGAATTAAAATTCTGACTATAGGTTTGAGTTGCTTCACTTTGATGATGCGTAGGTACCTACGTGGTTTCTAGGTATAATTATTCTAATGATATAAATAACTAATACCAAAATTCATTCATTCGTTAGTTTTGCCAGCACTGCGTAGTAAGCAATTTTAGTTATAGGTAATTTAGCTTACCTTTTTTCTCTCTCCGTTTCAGATCTTTTTATTGTTATTTTGTTATAATGTATTTATATCTTTTTTGACCTTGACATTCATGCCTTTTGTTGAATAAACAGATTTCATTTCATTTCAAAATCAAAATTCAATTAATATTTTAATTCATGCAACAATCGTAATTTTGGTACAACACTCTTCACGCGTGGTTTTATTAATTAGTCTTTTGTCGTAAACTAGCTCTGTTTACATCACCTATCATACCATATTTCAACCAAATCGGTATCACCCGTTAAGAATAACAAACAAACATGCCTTCAATAATTCCTACAAACTTTCACATTTATATCATTATAATTCCGGCTTCATCTAGTTTTTACATAGAATTTGTCGTGCAAAAGTGCCGTTTTATGGCCTATTTGCAAAAATAAATTCATTGTTTTCATAGGATTTAAAACATTGGTTAGTGAATGTAAGTGTTTTGTGCAGGGTTTCGAGGACACAGCAGCTACGATGGCAGCAGCGGCCCGCTGGTCTAACGGCGTGGGTGTCTTGCGGCACCTGCCGGGCGCGGCCGTGGCGCCGCTGGCGTTGGCGGCCGCCGGCGCCGCCGACCTGCTGGGCGGCGTGCGCGCCTCGCTCGCCCCGCACCACTCGCGGCACCACGCTGACAAGTGGCGCGCTCACCCGCCACACGCGCACCCACAAGGTAACTAACTACTACAACAAGGTACCCGGCGGTTTTCGGTGGGGCCGTGGTATCACTCCGGTCGAGCCAACCCATTAGTGCCGAAGCTTGGCTCCCCCACACTTAAACTATTTGGCGGCTGTGACTCCTCTAGTGTTGCAAGTGTTCATGGGCGGACCACTTAACATCAGATACATACGCTACTACGCTACCATGCTTTGTTCCGTGGGAAACATATGCTTCGGCACAAACGAGCCCGCTCGACAGGAATGACACCACCACCTAGGTTACCGGAGGCTCAATCCCCACCAGCTCATTATCAGAGAGGCGGGAAGCCTCTTTGAAAAGGATGGAATACGCATAGCAATTGCTTGTGCCATGGCGTCCTTCAGATTATCTATCTACTCGTAAAAACTATACGAGTAGTTTATGTTACTGGTAAAGATGCAAATAATAATGGGGTACTAATGTATTGCCCGGCAACTGCCTCAACTCCAGATCTTATTACTTTTCCATGTTTCTAACATTTTATATTTTTCTTGTTTCAGATTCAATAGACTAAGTAGATCCCGCAAATCAACAATGATCTCTCTAACAATTTATTCTTGTGTATAATATTGTAAGGGCGGATTGCACTAAACTTGAAAATTGACTTCTATTCGTTAGCGCAGTACCTTTACATTCCTCGATAATAAAACAATTTAGATTTAGTATATTTTTGATACAACGTCGCTTGTTGAGTCAGCCACACTATATAATAATTATATTTGATAGTACCTATATTTTGTAGTTTCCTTTTAATGCTTTAATCGTGTGGTTGACTGCGGAAATCAATATAAAAATACATATCTAAGTCATACGCTCAAGATCGCAGTGTCACAGTACAAAGTTTAGTACAACCCGCTCCGTCTCCTGCTCAGCTCACCACGAGGCTCGTCCGTCGACTGCCATTACGTTCACATTTAGTTCATCGAAATAATTATGCTATTATTACTTTTAGTGTAGCTCTAGATGTAAGGTTCTTGGCGTTGATCAGTAGGAAGGCGGCTAGAAACATGTACTTGCCTCTATTGGTATAAACCCATGGACACACGATATTTTTATATACTTAATAGGCGATTTCAAAACGTGTGCTCATCGAAAAGCGATTGTAAAAAGGGCGCGTAGTGATTCTAAAATGTGATGTATTTTTATACGAAGTTATAAATTTCTTAAGCGAGGTACAAAACTATTCTTTCTCGTTTCTGATATTAAATTTAAATTATTTTATATATTGGACAGTTCATATAATAATAATAGTGCTGACTCTGTAACTCATTATGGTAGATTAGTTTTAGTTTTTATTTGTGTATTTCATTTTGTTAATGTTTACAAGTACATGAATTTTCGTTCCTCATTGAAAATCTGTACTATAAACGAATTTTAACATTGTAATTAATAGCAGAACATTGTCTATAGATACCCTATATTCCTATATTTCGGACAAAGGGATCATAGTTGTACTGGATATATCATTTTTTACAAGTACTACGTCATTTACACCTAAAGCTAAATTACAAAATGTAAAAAATGTTAGCTCCATTTCAACTATATACGTAAGCATGATTATCCAACACCTACATATGAAGAGTTGAAGACTGTGGTGCTCCCGTTGAACAGTCTAGCATTTGAGAGCATTTAGTGGCTCCTTTAGATTTTTATATAAATAATCGTTGTACGGAAGTTTGGGTGCCATGACAGATAATGTGAATTTATAACATTAGATATTATAATATTACACCGAACTCCTATTTGGAATGTTTGTAAATAGGTTTATTATATATTACGATAATGACATTCGGGTTTTACAATTATTTTTTATTAAATTCAATTCAATAGTGTAGCAGAAGTGTGGAGAATTTATTTGAAACAAATCGCCTAACGCAACGACTTTACTGAGTAAATATCATCAACCGGCCGCGCGGAAAGCCTGAGGTAGAACATATGACGGTGGAAGGTTTATGCTATTATTTACTCAAGTAGAAAGCTTGTTTGATTTATATGCGTGATTCCTTGATATCTAATAGAGTAGTAAGACTCCATATTGTTTTTATTCAAACAAAGAAAATAATCCTTTTGATAATAAATCAATAATAAATAATTAAATGATTGCAACATTTCTTTTATTTATACACTAACAAACTATTACATAACACTTGTAGTATCTACATCTAAGCTTCTTGTTCCACCTTTTCAGGGTATTTATCAGTGAGGAAGCTCTTCACTTCTCCATACTCTGTCTTGAGGTTCAGGCGGATTTTCTCATGATTTCTGAACTTCTCGTATTTCTTAAGATAAATCTTGTAATGAGGCATAGTCTCATAGAAGCGAGGGAACTTTCTCTTCTTCAGAATTACTCTGTCGTTCATGACATACTGTGTGAAGTCTAGAGTCTCATTTTTCTGGATCTGATCCTTTGTCCTCACCTCTGAGGGACTGGCTACTACTTTAGGGAAGTTCTCATTCTCATCTCTATATTCAACTAAATGCAATTTCTTCTCCTCAGCTAACTGCTGATGAGTTCTCTAGAAAACATACCATAAAAAATGTGATTAGAAAATACATAGTACATAAGTACATAGTACAAAGTACAGTCTATTGTCATTCGATTTTCTACCTGTTGCAAAAGGCCAATGAAGAATGCCTTAACAATGTGCTGCAGATTGTTAGATCCCTCAACTTTGGCTCTCAAATCCTTAATACCAATAGCTTGACAGATTTCCTTGATGGCTCTGTGGCACATCAAGCCATAACCTTCATTCTTTTTCTGCACAAATATCTTAGTTTTACCAAAAGCTGTGAAGAAGTCATGATAAACTGAAAAGAAAAAATATTATATGCAATAAGTACCAATTTTTTGATGCCAAGCAATAATTATTTTATAGGAAATTCCTTACTTGTATGACCATTGTAGATTTCAAAGTGCATCAGCTTTTGGCCTGCTCTGTTCTTAGCCTTTCTTAGAGCAGCTGGTGCTTCTTTGGCTCTCCCTAGTCCAAACCCAGCTAAGCCTTGTCCATTTCCAGTTACAACCTAAACAAAAAGAAAATATCATAGACAAAAAAATCTAAATAAAATAGGTTTTAATGTGATATCCTCACCATAGCTTGAAAGTTTCTGGTACGTCCAAGACTTCCTTTCATGATCAGTAGAGATCTGAGCTGCAAAACTTTGGTGTCAAAACCAGTGAATTCATCTACAAAATAACATTATATATTATATTATTGGGCCAATAATTGAAAAACCTTATATTTTTTTAAATCTTATAATAAATAAGTACCTTCTCCAATTGGATCCGGGGGTCCCAGACTGCGGCCAGGCAACTTTGAACCTGACCAACCTCTCTCTATGGGGTTAAGTCTCAGTCTTCTGAACTTTGTCATAGAATCTCTGATCTTAGTTAGCTTTTCAAGTCTAAAACAATATTAAATAGTTATCTGTACATTAAAAAAAATATTTGACATAAACTAAAAGAGAATATACTGAACATTATCATAACAGATGGCTGGACACTTCAGTTACTATATTGAACTCCAAAAGTGGAAACACTGGATTTTTTTTCAAGTTAACCATGATAAACACTAATACTTTACCTTTCCTGGTCATCAGGTAATCTCTGTTGCTTCAACAGTTCCCTACCCCTGATCACAGGTGCAGACAAACCGGGCCACAACATATTGATCTTGCCAACTCCAATAACTTGCCCACGGTTCAAGTCACGGATCCGAATGCGACCTGTACCTCGACCACGACCCTTCTTGGCACCAGCATTACTTACAGATGTCACAGACTTCCATAGCTTCTCTGCTGGTACTAAAACCAAAAACAATATCATTTTCTTAACTAAAGATTTAACTTTAGCTATGAACTTCTTTATGTTTTCTTGTTTTTCCTGTTACATAGAAAAGAAGTATCCGTTCCAGTTACTTACACTTGTTGAAGAAGTTTACACAAGCTACAGATGTAGTGCTGAAATTAGTTTTAAGGTTAGGCGTAACATTGTTTTGCTTTAGCAGAACATTAACAGGTCGGCTAATAATATTACAAAGAGTCAATATTTTAGTAGACATTTTGAAACAGAGCAATATCTGTTTCTTTTATTAATTTGATAAAATTACAATATTACAAAATAAAATATTGCACTCATTTCTTAATTCTTTATTGACAGACTTTTGACAGCTTGACTGAGGTTGACATGACACTGACAGATCATGAGTATCGTGACTATTCTTGACCATTGAAATTGAAAAAGAAATTAAGAAATTCTAAAATATGAACCCCTTCTTAAACGAGTAGTTATCATAATTGGTATTGAATTTATTAAAGACTTATATTTCCAAAGTAAATCGAATCGAAAGTAAAACATTAGAAACACAGTTTGATCATTTTACTAATTACGAACGCTACGTAATTTTTGACAGTTGTTTTACGTGGCTGACTGTGCTGCCTGCATCCCCACTGCCACTTTTGTTTGTCTTCGATTAAAATACAGAATTTCTCTGTATTTAAACTGTTTTACCTTCAGAACTTGCAATCTAAATTAAAGCTTGGTTTAATTCTAATATAAAGTAACAATGGGGCTGTGTAAATGTCCAAAAAGAAGAGTAACGAATCAATTTTGTTTCGAGCACAGAGTTAATGTTTGTGAATATTGTATGGTGACGAGTCACCCGAAGGTAATTTTCAGATAATGGTATGTTTAATTGATGTGAAAGTACTTAATATGAAAATATATGGTTTATTTTTCTCTCTTCTAGTGCATTATTCAGTCATATTTGCAATGGTTACAAGACAGTGACTACAATCCCATATGTGAAATTTGCACAAAATCTCTCAGTGAGGGCGAGTGTATTCGACTTACTTGTTATCGTAAGTAATAAGTGATATTAATTGTTAGCTATGTACTAATTTAATCGAAAATATATGTTCCAAGATTTAAAATTTGATAATATGATGATAAACAATCATCTATTAGGATCTATAGTATACAGTTGTAATATGTGCCATGTATTAGTAAGTTATCAGTACTAGTACCAGTTCAAGTCAGTACTAGTAGCAGGAGCAAGAGAAGGAACTGCTTGGATTTTAGTCAGTCCATCTGGCATTAAGGTATGGTACTAGTCATTAGATGAACCATAAAAAAATGTTAACACAATTATTTATTTCTTTGAGTAGATACATTAATAAATAAACATTAGAAGTTTGAAATAAATAAAAATAAGTATTTTAAATAATTTAGTTGAACTAATGCAAATTTTTGTGCCATCGTGAACTACACAATTTGGACACTAGTGTATTGTACACTATAAGTAACTATTTTATACTTACCAAATTACATAAAATCTATCAATGCAATATCTCAATACAAAATTAAGGATTTTGCTAATTGGTTTTCAGTGAATAATGAGAAAGTATAATATATTCCTAGTAACCCTTAATGTTAAGATTTAGAACCATGCTCCACACAGCAGCTGGTACAATGCTACAAGTCCCCAAATAATTTCTATAAGTTTGTATGAGATAATTATTTCCGCTGCAACAGGCCATGGTCGTAGCACTGATGTAAATGTTGCCTTACAAATTCACCAGAAATAGAGTGCCACTCTGCTGCCTTGCTTAGAACTAGAACAGCAGGTGTGAGGCCTTTGGTGCCTCTGGTATTATGATATTCATATTTTTTTCCAGATGTATTTCACTGGACATGTGCTGAAGCTAAATATAGGGCCTTGCCTCGCACAACTGCACCAGCAGGCTATCAGTGTCCATCATGTGCCACTCCTGTGTTCCCCCCATCCAATCTAGTCTCACCAGTAGCTGATGAACTTCGAGAAAAGCTGGCTGGAGTAAACTGGGCTAGAGCTGGCTTAGGTCTGCCTCTGGTTAGTAAAAATGAATGAAACCTATTAATTATTACCCCATAAACTTGCTTATTTACATAGTTTAAAAAAACATATCCACATAATTTTTGTATAATTATAAATATAATTTTTGTTAAAACATGAATGAAATGTTTGGTATATAATGGTATACAAAGCATAAAATGTAAGTATTCATATCAGGAAGGGAGGGCCAACTTCAAAATTGGTGAGTGTACAATGATGTACAGATGCATGAGAAAAATGCAAAAAAAAAAAAATATGAAAGGAATTATATCAGATCTATAGGTCATATTAATTATAACATCAGTAGTATTTCTGAACCAATAAAAACATCATGAGAAGAGCATACCACTAAAAGGCCGGTTTTTAACTCCCCTTGTGTTGTGGATGTGCATGGTTGGCAGTTGGCACTGATTTTCTTTTGTTTTACAGCTTTCAGAAGACCAAGACATGAAAGGCGCAGTTGGACGTCGATCCCAATCTCCAATTGATCATCATTCACCATTTTATACAAGCACAGTGGACAACCCTCGAGGCACGCCAGTGGGCGCGAGCGATGACGAGTCTACCGGCAGGTCCGCTAATGGCACTCCACATTCCATTGTACAGATATCTGACGAACCAGTCAACATTTATGACAGCTCTTCACTAAAGAGAACTGACAGTTTACAAGGTTTGTTGGCAAAATGTTAATTTGTGGTATAGGTTCATGTGTCGATAGTATAATAGTTAATCAATTTTCCTACTGATGACGGCGGTGAAATTTGTTTATGAAAAGTATATCGGAAGCTTATATTTAATAGGAAAAAATCTCAATATCTTATTGTTGAATCTTTTGATATGTTGTGTTTTTATAGTTCATTCATAATTTGATATTTTATTTTCAGGAGGTCAAGCTCCACGAAAAAGCGTTAAGACGAATGAACCATTAAAACTGAATACAAACTATGATCATGATGAGAATAAGTACAAGCAGAAATCTACATTCGCCTGGATCAGTAGATGGTGGAAGTAAGTTGTTTGTTTTTATTTTAACTACTAGTGCCAGTATGCAGAAACCACTTCACTAAGAACTATGGATTTCCAAGAATGGTTGTTTTTTTGTACATTATTTATTTATACTCTGTAGCCTCCGCAAAAAACAACAGTATATTTACTCGAGTTAAGAGATATCTATGTAAACTATATGGAAGTACTTTAAAAAATAAAAATTATTTTCTTTTTATAGGAACTCACTCCCATCTTCTCGAGTGCGAAGAGCCGGAGGCATCTATAGACGTTATTGGATCATGCTGTTCGTTCTGATAGCAATAATAGTAGTCCTAGTGCTACTCAGCCGCAGAGACGTCGATGATGAGAACCCCTTCGCTTTTATCCAGGATGATAACCAGAGGGTATTACAGAAAAACTGATAAAACGTATTTAGTCTCCAAAAACAAGCAATTTCAAAAGTGATATATAATAAACCCAATTAGATGTATTATATTAATTTTATTTCACTTTAAATAATATGTTAACTTAACTATTCCATAACATAATGAATAAGATGTTAAATAAAGTTTCAAAAGTCAGGCTTCATTTGTTTTATTATGTGAGTAACAAAATGTAAATACAATAAATTGGTAAATGCTTATCAAAGCTGAATGTGTAAATCATTTGTTAATATTGCTACAATTAAAAGCTTAGCTTACATAACTTTTGAACATGTCTCCACTTCCTTATTCAAAAACATTACAGAAAAGATATCGTTGTAGAAGTCGGGATAATATTCGCATGCGCGACGACAGTCTGGCATCCAATTCATCTCCAAGAGAATGGGTTGAATGACCTTTTCATTTCCCACTTCACGCCAACTCAGCATAATATCGGCAGCATACAATGCTTTAGATTGTGGGCTCTTTCCTATTCCACAAGGAGGCCCCTTTAGTGTAGCTGCATCAAATAACTCTGACAACATCTTGAATATTGATTTTTCAACATCTGCCCAATCATAGTTGGCAAACTGCCTAGACCACTCAGCTTTGAAATCTGCACATAACATCTTAAAAAGTTGTGCAGTACCACTGTAATTCATAACTGTAAAGTGTTTTTCATAGTCTTCAAAGCTGTCTAAAGAGAAGGGTTTATTAGCAAACCTAAGGAAGAAATTATTGTAAACATAAACCTCTGTTGGTCGAACAGATGTTAACAGTATCACATAGCGAATGTCAAACTTTACCAGGCCAACATCTGGTCTTTCAAAGAGAACTGGCTTGTCAATATACTTCTGGGCTATTTTAGGGCCAGTCAGAGGTAATCGGCATAGAAAATCTAAATTGTCACTGATATAGGTGTCCAATCCCCTTGCAAGGTTGTATGGTTTACATATCCAGTGGTTATCTAATCCAGCTTTCTTCCTCTGCATGTAATATGCAACAAACTTAGGTAGCTCAGTTTTCATATTAAAGGTTGTAGGCAACCAAACTGGGTTTGTGACAAGGGAGTTACTTTCATCACAGTACTTTTCTGAAGAACGTCTAGCAATTACCGCTAGCAAATCTTTTATTGTCATCACATATTCAAATGGAAATTGATTAACAAATTTCTGTGGCGTTTGAACACTTAAATCTTGAAATTCTTTAAAATGGTTAATGTACCATAGTACATCAGCATCATTTTCATTGTCAACTATTTCAAACTCTGGAGCTGTAAGATGTTCATTAATATATCTGTACTCTGAGTACACTTTTAGTTTAGTAGAATTATTAAACTCTCTTACTTTTAACAAATCCAGTTCTGGGAGAGTTTCCACTATGTGACCCTCTAGAAAATATTTGGAGCTTGGCTCCACCTGAACAAAATCTTCCCCAAAATGTTCATAGTGCTTCCATGGGATGAGCATTGCTTCTCTCTGCAAGGGATCAGGGAACTGACCCTCTACAAAATTTCTGGTGACCATGTCACCTTCTTCAACATCTTTTACTGGAAACAGTAGAGTGTAAGTTAATTGTTCAGGCACATATATGAAAGGCACTGCTCGGAAATTGGGCGTGTCTGAATGAGTAATGCCAGAACCCAATTCGTCTAAGACGTACCACACTGGAACTCGTTCTTCAATAGAAAAATCATCACCACCAATTGCATAAGTGTGTGCATACTTCCACACAGCTTTTGATACTTCTTCTATTTGTTCCTCTGTAGTTTCTGAAGATACTTGCATCAAGTTACACATTCTTTCCAAAAGCCCCGGCACATTTCTTAGACTACTTTTAATACTATTTGCCTTAAAAGTCCACGCATGGTCAATCAAGTAAACATGACTAGCGTCTGAGCACTCGATATCCCTGATTGCAATCACACTCCATAAGGGATCGTAGGGCATTTTTTCCGTATCTTCATAATCTATTTGAACCAGTTGGAATGTTAAACCGGCATCAAAAATTTGGTCAGTTATTTTCTTGCATACTGATGGCCAGAAATGTTCAGGTACACCAGATAGAACTAACTGCGGTTTATGTAATGCTAAGAAATTATTGTAGGTCGTTATCCCGTCCATTTTTGTCGTTTAGGCCTGTAATAAGCGAAAATCAACGAGACGAGTAGGTTATATTCTCGTCCCGACTTCCCGTTCAATACGATCAGCTGTGTTAACGTCACTTTACTGTCCAATTGTATTGTCTCACAGAACTGAGCTGTCTAATAACAGAGCACAGATTATATAGCGAAAAACTAAATTAAAAGTTCATTGACTCGAATAGTGTTGCAAAGTGCTTATTTCAATAAAGTATACTTTGTAATGCGTGTTATTGACAAAGCAGAATGAAAGTTTTACTTTCAGAAAGTAGCATGAAGTTATAATGTCGCTTATTAATGTAGTGGAAGTACAACTTTAGATGATATTCTTCTTTCAGATTAAACTCTCGACTACCTATTGCCTGCAACTACTTCTTTTCCCTGAGAGGCAGACCTACCTAAGCGCCGAAGGACGCGGACCTTCCACCTATTCCTCTTTTCTTTTAGTTTTTCATCTATTGCCATTTTAATAAAGGCCATGAGCTCATTTTTGTAATTTGCCTTTTCCAACGAAAGGCAAGTTTTTGTGGGTGAGAAACTTAAAACCAGTTACTGTCGTATATTTTATTAAACGACGTTTGTGTCGACGGGCCCATAAAACTTAAAAGAGCCATTGTTAGAACACACACTTAGCTAGTTAGTCGTAGATTAACAGAGGTAGAATAAATATCAAATTACAAGTCAAGTATTTATATTTGCATGGATTTATGCTAACAACCTTTTTAGGGGAACATTGATGGTTCTTATATACTAGATTAAGTTATCTGATAATAATAATTAGATCACATATATCGTCTTTATATTAATAATAAAACTATACAAAAGCAAAACCATTGTATGCAGAACAACATTTCATTAATTTGTTGTTAAGATTTTGTTGGTACATAGGAATTTGTGCCATCTAGCTGTCTAGTTTTACTCAAATCCTTAGCGTGCTACTGCTTTGTAATTTGGTTCTACACACTCTTAACTTTAGGTTGTGACTACTTGGTTTCTTCGTAGTCCTTAAAAATCGTAATATAGATAGAAACACATAGTTTAACAACATAACACTGTTACAGTGTCCATAGGACTCCAACTATAAGAGTTCTTAGTAGTATATAACAATAATAGTATAGGATGCAGTCGTTGGATAGTTAGTTCACTTACAGTAGAACCACTACATAATTATAGAACACAATTTATGTAACTATCTATTCAGTTCAGTTAGAGTCTGAGTCCATGTGTTCTCTGTAGTTGCGCCGCGCCTTTTTCACTCGTTGTCGGAATTTGAAAGCTTGGTACTCTGGGTCATCGGAGACGTCGTCTGTGGGTTGTGGGTTTCTAGTACTACTGCCGGCTACAGTTCCGACTCCACTGTCTGGGGTGCAAGCCTCAGGCGCTGGCCACATACTACAGCTTTCAGTGCTATAGCTACTTTCTAACTCACTTTCGTTGGTTTCATTCATGAGTCTCGCAACAGTCCTATTGTACCCTACTTTAGGTGAATGCTGTTCTACTTCGACAGATGTGCTGGCCCGATCTGCTGGCTCTTTGGGAGGTGGAGATTCGCTGGAATCTGATCTATGTAGACTGAGCCGACCATTCCGTCGAACTCTTCGTAGGTTCATCCGCCTGTGCTCTGGAGGTGGAGGTGACGAGTAGTTGCTTTCCGACTCTGGCGGCTCGACGCGCAGAGACTCTCCTAGCGAGTCCCGCGACCCGTTGACAGGTGTAGGTACAATGCTGACGAGGTTTGGCGGAATGTTTTGGTTGCCGTTCTGGTTTCGTGGAGATATCGGCCGACTGCTCACCGATTGGTCATCGTCTGAATCCACCTCCACTATCCTAAATAGTCCTGATGTGCTTTGGCCCCTGTAACCTGAATAAAAAGAAAACATATTGAAAGATTGTACATATTTTGAGACTAATTGTCGTGAGAGCAATATAAACCTGTTTTACCTGTGCTGGTGCTTGGTTGAGCTAAGTTGTCATCAAAATTATCAAAGTTAGAAAAATTATTATTATCACTACTGTCTTGTGCCATGGCTGCTCCTAGAAAAAACAAGCAGACAGATAAATTATTTATTTTTCAATGCTTTTTATAACGGTTAATTAAAATGATTGATGAAAATGAAATGATCCTCACCATTACTTCTTAAATTAAGTGGTTTTCTATAACTAGTGACTTTATTTTTTCTTTTTGCTGTTCTTGTGAGGTTTACACGTCGCCGTAGAGGAGGTCTGAGCATCTGAAAGGCAAATAATCCTTGATAAAAGTAGCCTATATTCTATTCCCGAGCCGGATCCGTCCAGCCGTTTTGCCGTGATTGTAGTAACAAACATCCAAACATCGTAACGTTCGCATTTATAATATTAGTAAGAAGTAAGATATGTGATGGTGCTGACCCTGCCACTATTGCGGAACATGGTATGCGTGGGTTCGTCAGAGTCGGTCCGCTCGCTAGAGGGCGCGGAGACCCGTGCGTGTCCCCGGGGCGCGGTGCGCAGGAGTCGCGGTGCGAGGCGGCGCGGGCCGCGCAGTCGGCGCGAGGCGGCTCGCTTGCCCTTACTGCTGGCGCCGCCCTTACTGCTCGACTTGCTCAGCGACGCGCGCGACTGCTTACTCCTCCTGCAACAACATCATCAGCCTATAAGTGCCCACTGCTGAGCAAAGGCCCCCATAGCAACTTTTATATATGGGGCAACTACTCACATCTCGTCACAAAGTGATATTGTACATTACTACAGTTACAGTGGAATCAAAATAATTTCTATAGGCAACACAAAGACAGATATTTACCATAATTGTAAATTATTGTACATATTACTTTTATTAAATTTTTTTAAGTAATTCCCTATAATGACAATGTATCCGCAAGTTTTCTAAAAGTTTCAGTTTCGTTTGAGCATGAAACTGGGTCATAAAAGGTAAAATAAAAAGTTTCAAGTCTTTACTAATATAAACTTGTGAGGTTCTAAATGTCTACCTGAGGGATCCTCTCTTCTGTGAGCGCAAATTCTTCGGATACCGCTGTGCAACGAGCCGCGCCAGTCTGTTGGGAACACGTTGACTGCGATTTCCATTTTGATTTGCTGTAACTAATTGATATAAATTATTTATAAATTCTTCACTGTTGAACGAAACTATTTTACTCCTGGCTTGAGGCTGATAAAACTTAAACTTGTTTATCTAACGTAGGAGAGACTTGGTTCAGAAAGAATGGGCCGGCTCGACTAGTGTGATACCACAGCCTCATATAAAGCAGGCGTGAAGCAACGTATCCATTGTTCTGCGTATAATGTTACTGAAGATAGACTCCCTTGAGTATCTGGGAAGTTTACAAAAGGCTGGCAACGCACATGTAACTCCTCTGGTGTCGCGGGTGTTTATTTGCGATGTCAATTGTTTTCCATGAAATGACAGGTCCGCTGGCTTCCTGCCTTATGTCATAAATATATGAGTGACTAACCTCGTTTCCGTGGTAAAGGTAGAAAGTCCAAAATAATCTGGTCAGTATCAGATGAGTCTGAATCGTTGTCGAGTGTAGAATGACAGGAACTGGATCCGTCGAGAGAGTCCGTCTCGTCGCCCAAACATTCCAACTCTCTTTGCACGAGGGAATCAAAGAACGCCATCATACGTGGGTCCTCGCTCGTCGACTGATCCGCGTAGTTGTGTGATATGTACTGAAAAGACAATAAGTAAGTAAAAGTTTTAGAGTCTTGCTTCAGCGCGAAATGGGTCGGCTTGCCCGGAAATAACGCGTCCTCAGAAAACCGGCGCAAAATAACCACAACTTTGTTTCGCCGAGTAAGTGAGGTTACCGGAGGCCCAAAGCTTTTCCCCTCCCTATAACCTTCGCTAATGCCAAAAAGCACCGATTGCTTACCATCAGTTACCGTATGCTCGATTGCTGACCTGCTATCACATAAAAAGAGTATATTTTGATAGGCTGTATAAAGACGTGGAGGGTGGGCAACCGACTGACGTGTTGTGTGGCAGATTAAACATGTTTGGTTGAAAAACTGGTACTCCACCAGGGCTGTGTTATGTGTATGTAAAAAAATGAAGGAAGTTTATTTTTTTTTTTTTGTTACATTGTAAATATTTGACAAAACTTTACATAATAAAGATATAGAGAAATAGAAAAAAAATAGAATTTAATCGAAGTCCTACTAGAGAGAATCGCGAGCTAACAATACATCAGTACTGTTAGATACATCATCATTATAAGTAAATAGTCAAACTTTACAAGAAACCAAAAGTGTTAATAAGGTTTAGAAAGAGACAACAACACCAACTTGGCCACTGTGATGTACCAGGGAGACATAGTCCTCGTGGCTGTATATCTCACGCGGATTGTCCGAACCTTGCGCCTCTTCCAGTAACGTACCACGCATCTTCGGGAACTCCACCGCTGACCACACCTATTAAGAGTGATTTTCAACTTTATGACAATAATAATAATACAGCTTTTTATTCCGAGTAACTTCAATAATGAATCAAAAAACATTTTTGAATTCAGTCTATATTTCTTTATCGACTCTATTCCTTTGTTATAAGGCACAATACATATTGAGGGAGTTATGAGTTACGTTATGCAAAGTGTATTTATGTGTGTAGCTGGATTATAAATTTTATCGCATTGTAATAAAGTAAAAAAACAATTGACAATGATCTTGGTTGGTGGTGTAGTGTATGCTTTGTATATTTCTTTGTAGTGAGTTTGTGTATGCTTTCATCAATTTTAAAAACAACATCTAACTATCTAATTGGTCCTTCCTAATATTTATGTGAACTTGGGGATGTTTATCACACTTTCACGAAAAATTAATTGACCAACTATTATGAACTTTGTATACATATTCTCGGTGGTACTGGAACTATCATATTACCTATACTTTTTATATCAGCAAACAAACAAATAAAATAAATATTTTTAGCAACGGGTAAAATTGCGCGGGAATGGGTGGTATGCTTTATCACTATACTTTTAAATTCGTCAATTTCTATGAATTTTAAATGAATTGCACATTGTCGTAGTTATTTTTTTATTTATAAAGTGCCAAATTCTTTTTAATCAATTTCTTTCTGATCAATTAATTGTACTTGTAATTTGGCGGTTTTGAAAATAATTCTTATACCCAATAAGGTTAAACATTACCTTTATTATTTTCTCGACACCCGATGAAGCAATGAGGCAGTAGTGAGGATTATATCTCACTTGGTTTACTATAGACCTATGGCCGTACAGGACTATGTGTGGGGGCGCCACCGGAACATCTGGAAGATTACCAATAATTATTAATTTAACCTCATAATCGTCCTAATTTGATACACAATAGAAGAACAATAGGTGCGCGAACGCCGGCGTTCGCTTCGGGTTGCATGAATTATACCTTAATACAAAAGATATGAACTCGCGGACTATGCCTTAGAGGCATTGTTTATCGACTTTTAAGTAATGAGTTGTAGGTGAGATTAAGTTCTTAAAAACACTTAATACTGTTATTATATTCCTGTTTAAGTAGTTTTTACATTGTAGTATTATATAAAATCTATATTACAGCACATACATTACTGAATCTGTTATTTTTTTCTCTGATTCAGTGCTTTTCCTTTCATAATGTCTTTCACACAATTTATTCCCACATTCATTTCAATTCACCACTCTTTTGTTTTTAAAGATTAATCCTTTTTTTATTTAAGTGTGTTCCAAGTCAGTTGAAAACTTAGTAAATTGCACAACTAATAAATTGCCCGAAACATTTAACATATTATTACACTTACGGTATCCAGCACCATCCTCCGGTATCTTCCACATATAGAGGTTGAAGTCATCTGATCCTGACATTACAAACTTGTCTCCCTCCCCAGCAAACGTACAGCTCTTCATCGTACAGGAATTATAATAGTCTTGGTGAAAGAAGTCTGCCACGGGTTCCGGGGAGTGTACAGCATAGAGAACTGGAGCTTGTCTTCTCCGGAGTGCTAGTATGTGGGTACCAGGAGAGTTGAAACGGACACTCATACAGTTCTGGCAAGTACCATTCACCCCTGCATACCGGATGACTGGGCTGTAAATAAAAAAAAAATATTCTAAATGGCCTTACACTTAAACAAATATATGTAATAGAATACTATTATTATCAGTTTAGAACAATATATTGAATAGGTTATAAAATCTAGTCGAGACTTTTTATATCCACACATATGTGGAACTTTTTATATCGGGTCTGATTACAAGTACCGAGATACTATAGCTTCCATTATACGATTAGGGAAATAACAAATAAAAATCGGATTAATACTAATTACTAACTACTAACTAACTAATAAAAAAAAATTAGGAAGAAATAAAAACAGAATTATTACAGCCGACTCGAAAAAACGAGAGACGATCTTCGGCCACCATAAGCGCGGGTCTGCGGACGGCGAGGCGTTTCGCGCGCGCATCAAAAAGCCAATAGACCACCACAGACGGGGCCCAATAGGGCTGATGTTCAGCCGGGGTTGCGGCGTAAGCGCAATGAGGCACCGCGGCCTCGGCCCAGAGCATTAGAATGAACAGGGGGTTCTTAGTCAGTAAGAGACTGACTCTCCCTCCCGCCCCACCTTAGGCGGGAGAAGTCATGAAGACACAAAAAAATTCTAATTCAATATTCTATGAACATTACTTACTGTTTAGGTGCACGAAGATCCCACAGAGCGACTCCATCGCGTGCATTCGCCGAGGTGAGTATCCCTGACTGCGAAGGATGGAACATCACGCCATGGAACGCCTTGCGACTGCGAGATATCACCAAGGATTCTGTAAAAAATCATAACCGAATAGCAAATAATGCAGCATTATACATTACTCGGAACTCCTTTGGTTTTTCGGGTGTCCATTATCGGCGCCGATTGCTTACCATCAGGTGATCCGTCTGTTCCCCTTGCCGACCTAATAACCATAAAAAAAAAAATACGTAAAGTTTATATACGCGAGTAAAGAGACGGCCCGCTGCTACAACGAACATGCGTACGGCGCCATTTAAAATTTGTAGTAGGTATATTTTTTAGAGCGGGGCTTTAGGCTTTTTTACTGTGCCGTGGATGCTTTACAAACATTTTATTTATGACACATCACATCCAGCACCGGAACAATTCATTGTGGATTCCACAACTCGCACAAAGTGTTTGGGAAAAAAATCGAACCCGGAAAAGGTTGCAGAGCAGCCCAGCTACCAATTTCACTGTACAGTCACCGTAAATGATACCTTACTGACTAAAACCGTTCCATTCCTACTACTGTTCCGAGATGCCTTACGCCTTGCCCGCAAATCCGAACAGTTCAACACATGGTTGTGCCATTTTGTTAACGAATAAATTATATAATTCAAATAGGATTCTTACCATGTACAGATTGCCTGGTGTCAAAGAGTAAGAGTCGTCCGTCATTGCCGGCAGTGGTGACTACTCGCTCATTGAACGGGTCGATGCTGAGGCTGCACACTGCACGCTGATGCTGCAGCACCTCTAGTGGACACTTACTCTCCGTGTCATGAACTATCACCTGCATGACATGTCCATTGTAGATTTATAATGAATAAATAATCCATATACGTAAGGATCAATGCCATTTTTTTTTGTAATGTTATAACTCAACAATACCTTTAACTATTTGGCAAAACTTTGTCTTTAATTATTTGTGGAAGTCCAGAGAAGGTTTGCATGTAGAGTAAATTTAAAAAATCTTGAAAAAGCGTAAAATCGACAGCCTATCGGCGGGCGACCACTAGTGTATTATAATTTTAGAGGCATGTGTGTGGGATTGTGATTTTAAAAACGTACTATGTATCAAGACATTTGCGTATTGTTACAAGTAATTGTACCAGCATGTACTGTGTCTGCACGTTTGGCGCACTAGCTGGACAATAGAATACTGTGTTGCAGGTTAGCTTCCCGCATGAAACATTGCATATTATTCTGTATATCAACAAATTAATGTTTTATGTCTGGGTGTGATGTACTGCGTGTCACTGTACAACTGTAAACGACCCACAACACAAGACAAAATACATGTCTGAGGCAAAATTTTCTTAAAAACCCTCCATGCATTATGGGGGGAGCGGGTGGAGTTACATTATTCTGTTCACATAGTATAGTGACTTTCTTAAAAGCTTATTATTGATAATAGAAAGATAAGACCACTTAAATGTTGGAAATTGCTGCAAATGGAATTTCAATACAGCCTGATTGTTTTTATAAACAGATTTTTACTTTGATGAAAATTCAATAAACAATAGGTAAATTAACTAAAAATCGCGGGTTACTGACGTGTATAAATTGAGAAAAGCTCTACTGGTTTCGAACCACAGAGGGGTTCTTCCTCATGAGCAGCGTGCGCGGACGCGGCGACGTCGCGCAGCCTACTGGCAGTAGTAGTGGCAGATTATGAAATAGGTATACCTTGAACAATTTCTTTTTAATTAACTTTTAAAAGGACCTACAAATTACCAAAGTTACAGATAAAAAGTATTGTAAGACACCAGTAAAAAATCTAACTTACAATATCATCATTTCCACCAGAGTAAATCTTCTGGTTATCATTGGTGATGCCAAGACAAAACACATTGGATTGGTGCAAGCCTTTCATAGGCTCAGGCTTGCCTTTGTCAAGGATTGCTTGCCCAAATTGCCATAGCATCACCCTTCTGTCATCCCCACCTGAAAAAAATAGATATTTATCACATGCTGTTTAACCGGTGATCCACACGAGACACAATGTGTTTTCTATTTGTTCACCATATATCTAATTATTTAAGAAACAGTCAAAAGTTGGTTCAGTCATAATAAACAAGGATTGTCATAAACAGGTGGTTATGATATTTTATAGCAGTGGCCTTAACTATCTACCTGTACATAATTACGACTAGAGTCATCTTTAATCGAGGACTTTATGGTATTAATATTATTTAAGGAGATTAGAAATTCTCCAAATTAGTACGCAATTTCGACTCGGTGCTAATTAATCAAATTCGATTATACCCAGTATTGACAAATAGTAAGTGTATTTTCTGTTAGTGGGTATCCGTAGGGTGTCCCTTCTCCCATTAAACAACTTTCTATTGTTTATAAATAAATAAAATCGTGATCATCAAACCGCAACCTACTTGTTTATCATACACTTATTACGGACATAGGTAATTAAAATTATATTATGGCCCTATTTTATTATTATTCAGGTTCGTTTCGCCTGTTATGGAGTTGATGGTGTTATCAAATTGATATCATGGGCTTGCAAGATATAGGAAAGAATGACAATAAATATAAACTGACATACCTGATACAAGTAATTCGCCATTGCTGGAAAACTCTATAGCATTCACACATCCAAAATGGCACACAAGATCCCGTCGGTATAAATTTTTTGCAACAGCTAAACGTTTGTTAAAGAAATTTGATTTGATATTTCTTATATCTCCGTATTCCCTTTTATATACGTATGGTAGAGGATTTGCAAAACCCGCTGCCATGTTTAGAACAAAACCACCATTTTCTTACGAATGAAACAAAACTTCTCTTGCCTTGTCGATCAGCTGTATTTTATTTTTAAAAACAATTTTACGTTTTGTTACGCCTGGTAACACGTCAAAATTGATTCTATTATTTGTGTTTAAAATATCAATTGGGACTACGGAAGATATGAATGAGAAAACAATTTTGTTGTTTTAAGACATTTTTACATATTTTTTTGCAACTTCATGTATTTTTGTTTTGATGAAATGAAAATTGTTGAACCAAATCATACCAAATAATAGCTTGACGCCTTGTGAGCATTAATTTTGTGTCAATGTCATTAAGACGTCAAAGTCGCATGTGGAAACGAGTCGGAAACACACGTGAATTTATTTGAAAATATAAATATTTCATTTGTTGAGTAAGCTAAGCTTAAATAATCTAATTTTTATACATTTAGAAGTATGGTCGTAGCTGAAACAATGAATAAACCCGTGCTTAAAGTATCAAGTAAGTAATTTTAATTTCGACCATTCAATAATTATTTGAGTCAGAATATTTCATAAACGTTTTTTTTCTATTACTAGTGGATTCAGAATCAGACTCATCCAGTGCTGATGAATCAGAACCTTCAGAAAATAATGAAATGGAAGATTTGAATGAAGAAGGTGAAGATGGAATCGAGGCGGATAGTGAAAGTGAGGCGTCTGATGATGAGAATGCTGAGGCGTCTGATGCAAAAAGTGAAGATGCAGGAAGTTCACAAGACGCATCAGATGAAGACGAAGATGACAAAGGCCCTCTAGTAACAAATGAAGGGTGGGCAGACTCAGTAGCAAAGATCTTAGGATCAACAAAGCCCAAAAACAAGAAAACTTTAGTACTATCAAGAGCTAAAAAGCATTCTGAAATAGTAAAAGCAGTGAAGGAAGAGAAACCTGCCTTTGAAGTTATAGGGGATGAAACTGAAGATAAAAAACCAGTTGAACTGAAAAAAGAAGCTGAGGTATCAGAACCTCCTGCAAAGAAAGTGGTCAGTTTAATTTTTTTCTAAATCATAATAATTTCTTTTAAATCACTAGCTTTAGGAATTATTCCTCACTGGTATTTTACCCAAAAATGTGTTATATTGACTATATTTCCTAAACATTTCCCAGTATTGTGCAATATATATTTTATAATTCATTTTTTTTAGTAATTTCAATGTTTTAACATTCCCATTATCTTAATTCATCAAACCACAAGTGAACAGTGTTCATGCACCTATTGTCTTACTATTATGCCTCTAATAACTATCATTAAAAGGTTAAAATTCCTATTGCTTTTACAGAAACATGAAAAGCCATCAATACGAGTAAAACCAAATATTTTAGAAAAGGATAGAGAAAGAATATTAACAAAAATAGCTACAAAAGGTGTAGTACAACTGTTCAATGCTGTTAGAAATCAACAAAAAACCATAGAAAAGGAAATGGACAGAAATGATTTGTCTGAAGGTAAAAAAGAGAAAATATTGAAGAAGTTTGATAAGCGAGCCTTTTTGGACACACTTATGGGACAGAGTAAATCAGTTATTGTTGATGAAGAAGCCAAGGTTGCTAAAAGTGAAGTGAAAGATGAGGATAAACCTAGATGGAGTGCTCTGAGGTAATTGTTTTTCTTGTTTTGTTGAGCTAGTTAGCTCAGTAAAAAATCAGTTATATCTCTATTGAGATTTTGTCAAGCATTTATTTTTATTTCTTTCAGAGATGACTTCATGATGGGTGCTAAAATGAAAGATTGGGACAAAGAGTCAGTTGATGAATAAAAATAAATTGTTTTTAATTTTAAGACTGTTTTAATAAATAATAATTGTAAATATCAAAGCTACCTATTGTTTACACTCAACACATTACATTACTTAAATAATATTTACACTTACAGGTTATTCATATCAATTTTATGTAAATAATTTTTAATTCTCAAAATGTTAGATTCATTTAATACATAAACTATTAAAATAATTTAAAAGAAATAACATAGAGTCACTGGAATGAACTAAGTTGTACTAATACCTATATATTTAATTTCCACAAGTCCTATTTTATAAACATGGTATATGCATCATTTCCTACTGAATGCTGTGTGATCTGTTTGGGTAAAGTGGAATATATCTTGACTGGAAGGTTCCAAACCATAGTCTCTATTGGTACATTTAAAGGGGCAGTCCAATCCTTCTCTTCTGGGTTTGGTAAGAGCTTCTCATTAGTAGTTACAAACTCGAAATGGAGCCTCCAACTTAGAGACACTGAAATATATAAACAAATATAACTTAAAAATCATTGCTATTCCATGACGACTGTAAAATAACATTTCGAAAATGACTTGTATCCAATGGTACACATGTATTTAGGATAGAAGTGTGTACCTATTAAGAAAAGCACAAAAAATATATGTTCTTATTACTCTTATATTATAAAAACTAGTTACTCTCGCGCGTTTCCACCCATTGCTCGGCTCCTACAGATAGTAGCGCGATGTTTTATATATATATAGCTATAGCCTTCCTCGATAAATGGGCTATCAAGCTCACAAACGAAAATAATTGGTCAATTCGAATAAGTAATTCAAGTGGAGATTAGCACATTCCAGCAAACAAACATACTCTACTGGTTTATAATATTAGTATGTATAGATTGATATTAAAAGCTGGAATCATTTGGTTAATTTTGAAAAAATATTGAATACAACAATTTAATTTGAGGAGTACAGTGTTTGCCAGGGTAACTAAAATTAGTTTACAATTAGAACTTTTTGATTTCCCTTTTTCATACAAAAACGGTGTATGCAATATTTACCATCATCAACTTCAAATGCTGGAGTGATGTGCAAAGGTATTGGTAGAATCAACTGGGACTGTGTCAGACCTAATGTCACTTCATGGTACCTTGCCACTGTCATGGATCTACTACTGGTCTCTTTGTTCATATTTTTAGATGGTGACTTTGATTTGATAACCTCCTCTGGTTGGAGTGATACTGATACCTGAAAATGAAATAATTTCTTTGGACCCTTAGGATTAAAATACCTAGTTTAAGTAATTTTAGAAAGCATAATGTTAAGCAGAGCTTGTCTTGGCAATTTTGATATAGTGATAATAGCAGAATGATTCCAAAATAAACAATTTACAATCATTTATTAGTTCTTCATTCCTCATTAAGTCGTAATTTATCATTCACATATTTTTTATGTAATAAATACAGATTTTTCTTTTTTCAATGTAGATCTTTCTTCTGCCCTGACATGTGTTTACTTTGAACATTATTAGAGTAAACATATGTCATAATTCATTTACCTGCATGCAAGTCACTGTGCCCACAGAAAAGTCAAATGTACCAACAATATCTTCACCCAACTTATAGGCAGACTTGAATAAGCAGAATCGGCCCACTTTACCTCTAGTGTTTGTTATCATGTATGAGTTTGGACTTCTTCTGGCTGTGAGATTCTGGAAATTAAAAATGCAAATAAATAGGCATTGGTATTTTCTTTTTACTGCAGAATATCCACAGAATACAAGTCAAGTACGTTGACTGATTTAACTATTTGTTATAATCTCCACTATCATGATTTATCCATCCAATTACATTCTTTAGGCAATACTGCTAAAAAGTTGTTTTACAGTTAAGATCTATTTTTCAAATAATTTTGTTAATGGTGTAGTTTTTATTTTTAGGTAAAGATAGTCTCATTAACACTAATAAGGCCCAATAATATTTACCAATGTATGTTACAAAATTGAGAACAAACCTGCAAAACTTGTAAAGCCATAGTCAAAGGTGTTTCAACCTTTCTTTCTTCAGAAAAAGGGTTAGTTGGTTGCAGTTCCTCAGTAGTCTCATTCCCGCACAAAGCTGCCAAGTCTTGCATGTTCATGATAGGACTGATTGGCAACACACGGAATGGTATCCTGACCATTTTAATGTGAGAACCAACTTTCTGTGTTGCTATAGTAATTTTATAGGAATATTTGACTGATGTCCCTCTGTAGGAAGGTGGGGCTTCTATAGGCAATGATTCTCTGTACCAGACTGAAAACACAATTTATATCATAATGATGTTGAATAAGCAACATTATAAAGAAAAGTTATAGATAGCTTAACATTACTATAGCCACTTTTTTTTAATTAAATATAATAAAATTATAGTGAAAAAATTTCAATACTGACAAGTTTTAGTTTCACCCAATGGAATAGTCAAGTCACAGAACAGTATCTTCGGTTTGGTGTGGAATATGACATCCCCAATATCACAAGAAGTAACTTCCAAAGAGGTTGTTTTCCCTATAGTTGGAGTCTTGTCTCCTGTATTCTTTGACGTGGAATAGAAGCAGTGGATCTGAGCTGAAGCCCATGCTAAATTTTCTAAAGCATCACTGAAAGTAAACGTAAGTAATTAGAGTATTGGACAACTTTTGATAAGAAATTGATTATTGCTATAATTAGAAATGTTACTAGTGGCTTTGTGAGTTCCTGTGTTCTGGTTGAGCAGTGTAGCAAAATGATATGCAGCATTCCAAGGCTTCTCCAGCTAAATAAACAGTCCCAGTTGTTAACTTTGCTGAGAGTTCGATCATTTTTTCTTCTCCTATATATGACTTTTGATTATTCTAAGAAATTATAGTGTCATAACAGTTATTATTTCATAAACAGTCCAAGAACTGTATATGATTTTTAGTTCAAAATATATGTGTATGTGGAAATTACAAATGCTCAGATAAATTTTGATGACTTGATAAACATCATTAGCTTAGTGATTAATCTTAAACATTTGTGTATATTTCCTTCTTTTTCTAGCGTACCAAAACACGTATCACTCGATTTCATCTGTCGAAGAAAAGTATTTATTTTTTTTACAATTATTTATTAACTTGAAACGCTTCTGACATTAATGCTATAGTTCTGGAATCTAACACAAAACGTTATTTTACGTGGCGTGTGTGCAAGGTGTCCTAGTTGTTGCTTATGATTAAACCAGTAATATGAAAAAACCCGGAGTAATTACAAAGTGAAAAAACTATAAAATTAAATTACTCATAACTTTCAATGACTTACACCAAACTTAATTTTTTTTAATCTATATTTTGATTTTTGAACGGGCATTCACGTTCCTTTGCATCCACAATTTTCTTTTTTTTTTTCAAAAAAGAAAAAATCTGTTTATTTTATGCAGGCAGTTGTTGTCCTTGTTGTTACTGAGCGATATTTATATATGAATTAAGATAACGATTAATGCAAATTGTTCAACATAAATACTAAGACAGACTTTTGGTATATTAGGTACTTTTCTGAAAATAGACGAGGAATACAAAGGTGACAACTGAAAAAAAGCTGTCGACTTCTTGAAACGGAACGACAAATTTAACGAATTTATCAATTTACGAATGGCGGATTTGAAAACTTGCACAAGTTTTTTGACTTGTAATTTGTATTAATTAGAAAATAAACAAAATGTTAATATCAGACGGGATAAATCATGGAAAATTGCAGTCAATAATTGTAGGAGAACTGAAGAAAGCTGGATTAAAGCATCGGCTAAAGAAGATAATATTGAAAAGTGTCAAAGTTAGTAGTTTTGCTTTTGTGTTGAAATTTTTATCAGATAAATGGCAATTGTAGTAGGATATTTAAGCGGGCATCTGTTTCAGGACCACAAGACAGTGTTCGGAGCACCATTAGTCAAGGTACCATCGTGCAGTGTAATTTGTTGTGGCAGTACATTGAGTGTTCCTATAGTTGTTACTGAGATGTCCTCAGTGCTCCGGTCCAACGCCCACACCGAAGGACTATTTCGAAAAGCCGGCTCACAAAACCGACAAAAAGATATAAAGGTGGGAATATTACTGACTTTTACATTTAATTATTTGTTGTTAAAATAATGTCTTTTAAATTTCTCTATTGGTTAAACTTCATGAACATTTCCCTCCAAAACAACTTTCTAATAAGTCACTGAATAGTGTGTCATGCTTGAAAATCCGCCCCTAAGGCTACCCACTGACCAATGAATCCCATTAGTATAAGTAAGTCTTTATGTCCTGGGAGCATAGCATAATAATATCCTGTATTAAAACTTTATAAGCTAAATGTTATTAAAACCTTTTGTGAATCTATACATTTATGGTCAATTCCATTAATAATAATAATAGCAACTTTTTTTTTTTTTTTAAATTCATTTAAAAACTGAGTATTGCATAATTTCAAAGCAATTAATATATTTAGGTATGTTAGACTGCTGTTTTATTTCACTAAAATCATTAAGAACAAAATTCTGAAACACAACTCTTTTGATTTTTGATGTTATTTATACTTATTTACACTATAGAAGAACAAGACATCATTCACTTGGGGTTTGATGAATAATTAAAGAAATGCTCACTCAGAATGCAAATAAAAATTCCTTTTTTAAAATTACAGAGGTTGCTAGACGCCGGTGGCTGTGTATCAGAAGGCCACCATCCTATAGATGTGGCCAGTGTCTTGAAGCTCTATCTCCGATGTCTACCAGAACCCCTTATCAGTGCAGAAGTCCAGGACTTGTTGTTACGATGTAGACTAACTGCTGGAGAGGATGCTCTGAAGCCCATACTGCATACACTTTTGTTACTACCAGTATTACATGTTCATCTGTTACATTATATTATGGAGGTAAAACTTTTATGATTATTTATTAAGTATCCTTAATTTTTATATTCTTATACTATCTTCTAACCGCATGATATGCGGACAATCTAGGGTTTTACCTATCTACATATGAAATTTCAAATAAATCAAAGAAATTTAAAATAAATTGGTCCAGTTTTGAAAAAGTAACAAACAGCCATTGATTTTCACAAACTCACATTTATAATATTAGTAGAATAAACAAATATTTAGTTTGAAGGCCATCCATTACATGAAGCTATTCTGTATACTTTTTTTCAACCTCAAAAGAACCTTAATCTCAATTTTAAAAATTTAATAGGTAAATTGTTCTGTATTTTGTTATTCCCACAAGAAAATGTATAAAATGTTTAGTGGTTTACCCAAATAGCTGTATGACAGGGCACCAGAGTGATTTTAAGCCACAGGCTTATATTCATAAAGAGCACTGCTCAACACAGTGACACAAGGTCTCTAGTGAAACAGTCATATGAGAAAGCTGTTAAACATATAAATTATTATTATATTTTACATACAGACATAATAAAGTAACTAAAAACTAGCAAGGTATAATATATTGCAGAATATTTCTAGTCTTCAATATGAATATAAATAGCATTTCAGAATCTTCATCTATACTTTTATTATAAAGAGGTAATTTGTAAGTTTGTATGTAGGGGGTAGGTAATCTTTGGAACTGCTGGTCCGATTGGCAAAATTCTTTCACTGATAGATAGCTCCAATGTTCCTGAGTGCTATAGGCTATAAAACATCACGCTACGATTAAATGGAGCCGAGCAACTGGCGAAATCGCGTGAGAGTAGCTAGTATCCTATATTTTTGTATAACTCAACAACACCTTAACCACTTTTGCTGGTTGTTATTTTCAGAAGGTTCTTATAAAACAATTCTTTAAATTGTATGTTTGTTTTAAGTTATTCCTTATTTGTTTCAGTTGTTAAACTTCCTAGCATCAAAACACAAAGACAATCTGATGGATTCTTCCAACTTGGCCATAGTGATGGCTCCCAGTATTATGCCACTGCCCGCTGCAGCTTCTGCTCAGAGACTGGAGCACCATGTTGCACTTGTTAAGGTAAACTTGTGTACACAGTGCTGTGTACATTTTCTTTTTACATTATGTTCACCAGGCAGTAATTTTTACCTAAGGTCATTCACAATGTCTGGTTAGTTAGATAAATTTTAAACTATTATTTATTTATTATTACTTAGAAGGTACATCACACATAATTTCTTATTAGCTCTCCCATATATAAGTGTATCCAGCTTAGATACGGGAGAGCCATGCTTGGGCACGAATAGGTCGGCTCGACCAGAGTGGTACCTCGGCCTTACAGAAAACCGGCGTGAAACAACCACAGCATTGTGTTTCGCCGTGTGAGTGAGGTTACCAGAGGCCTCCTCTCCCCCAAACCCTAAATCTTCCAAACGCAAAAACTCGGCAACGCACCCATTACTCCACTCTGTTGTTGTGATGTAACGAATAATTGTAGAATATAGTATAAGTATTTTGTAATTACTATAGACTATTTTGAAAATTTTCGATTTAAAAGTTTTAACCCAAAACCTGTGACGTGTTGTTCTTAAAACTGCTGTGCAATGAAATATGCTAACATAATATTTTTTGTTTTAACAAGATGTTCATCGAAAACTCACAGCACATAGGAAAACTAACTGAAGAACTGATGTCACAATTAGACGATGATTCCGATGGCTATCTTGCAAGGAGAAAGAAAAAACGACGCAGTGGTTCTCTTAACCGTAAGTTCACATTTATTAAAAAGACACAAAATGAATAAAATTATATAACGCTTTTTTTGCGAGAATCATCAAATGATTGCTCCCGTCCTGGGTGATGCAAGAGAAGTTGATCACAACATCGATTCTTCTGTTAGCAGCCGGGCCGAGTTATACATACAACTCCAGCTGTCAAATTCAAACTTTTTTTTTGCGCTTGTACCCTACACCTACACCGGCTGTCTATTCCAACTTATAACTATTTTTTTGTTGGTGTGAATGATTCAACGATTTCCCCCATCCAGAGTGTGAAAGTCATCAACCTTGGCTGGACGTTAAACGTCTACCCTACTGAATCCCATCTGCGGTCTTCTGAACGATTTTAAAGGCGTGCTGAACACGGCGCCGGTTCTGGTCTAGTTCTAGAGCAGAGGTTCCCAAACTTTTTTTTCTCATAGACCACTTTAAACATTTTGCTGGATCTGGTGGACCCCCTGCAACTACACTACATTTACTAACTTACTTCCAAAACCCGAAAAAAGTATATGTCTATGTAAATCTGTATTGTGACTATTTTTTAATCAACTCTGAGTTTTCGAAAAAAAAGGTGAGAATTATATTGCTTTGATTATGCTGTGAGTTCAAGGTCAGTCTAAAAAGCGTCTACATCCAACAAATTCCTACTTTACTTTTTTGTATTCTAAGGTTGACTTACAGTACAAGAAACCAATAAGCTCCCACTTCGGAGTGGTAAAAAGTAAAAATAAATATTTTCTTGTTTCGTAACTATTTATTCAAACATAAAAAATACTACACTTTTAATATGTTGTTATAACATCAAAACTAATAATCATTGACTCTTTCTGAATATGGAATATGCAAGTTCTTACAAAAACAATTGCTGAGCTTCTTATAATTTTGTCTTCTAATATTCATAGGAGAAGTCAAGTCGGGTCACCTAATACATTTTATATATAGACCCCCGTTAACGAGTTGTGGACCCCCATTATTTTTCCACGCAAGCGTAGACCCCTGTCGGGCTCCCGTGGACCCCTGGGGGTCCACCTGGACCACTTTGGGAATCTATGTTCTAGAGCATGGATACTTGGATAGGTCGCCTGCTTCCCCGTTCGGAGATGGACGCGCGATCCCTAACGCCCGGAATATCTCCTGCGGCGGTTGGGCCAGGGGAGGATTATTTCGTAAAACTGCTTCGCAGGAGGAGATAACTTCAGTTTCTCTCGCTCTGCGGGCAATAGTCAGTCGTGCACTGTTAGCTCTCACTGGAATGTTTGGTGATGCTATAGGAGATTGTATTTTAGGCTTCACAAGGGCCACATTCTTTAGACGTTTATTCTGTGTTCCACTTATCCTAGGTTTTCTAGCAAAGCCAGTATGGGCTACTTTTTCTTGTCTTTCCGACGATTTATCGGAGCTCGACTAGAAGAGTTTCGCTTTGGCAAACACAGC